TAACCCTAACCCTAACCCTAACCCTAACCCTAACCCTAACCCTAACCCTAACCCTAACCCTAACCCTAACCCTAACCCTAACCCTAACCCTAAAGGAACGCGGTATCAATATCTGGCCCGTCGCGAACCTTTCTAGCGATCCTATAGTCTTCAAAGGCTCCAGGGACTGGATTCGTACAGCCTCATGGACATCTGACAGCAAGCTTCTCGCGTTTGGAAGTTACGGGCAAGTTTTTGTGGTCTCCGTGGAGGATTAGAAGGTCGTTCAGAGGTGGGAGTCGGAAGACCGTTGGGGTTACGAGACTCAGAGCCTCGCCTGGATTGAGAGCAAATCCGGCTTGAAGCTGGCTTATCGGGAAACGGCGGGCTTGGAAGTATATGACTTTGAGGCGAATTTGAAGTATCGCTGGGGTCCTGATGATTACGCCCAGTACAATGGAGGAGGATCCGGTGATGGCGTGTTATTGATCAGAAGCAAAGGTTGGATTGGAGGGAGCGATGCTGATGGGACCGTAAGGTTCTACGAGTTCCCCATTTAGCCATGTCTAGTACGAATCTTTCTCGCTTTAGGGTACGTTTTGCTTTACAGCAGCACCTATTTAGACTGATATACGATTTAAGAGCATGTTGTGTTACCTTGATATTATTACATGACATTATCTAGTGCGTTAAGATAAAATGGTGAAAGAGTTTTCTACCCCTATTTACTTTTGTAACTCGATTCGGGATTTTACAGGAATCGTTCGACATAGATATGATACACATCGGCTGCTGCGATCACCAGTCCTAAGCCAAATATCTAACGACTTGCTCCATGCCGTCCTCGTGGCTTGCATGGCGTTCTCTTTGTAAGTAGCTGCTACGCCAACAATTGACTGCAGGTGATGCTACGGAGTTAGGTCAAATATGAGCTTCCGAGGCAATCAGGTATACACACCGACGACTATGCTAGGACATTAACCTCCGGATGCCGTTTGTGATTAAGGGGGTCAGATAAACGCCAAGGTATATTAGGCTGTTCCGTCACCGATCCAATCATTAGCCAAATTGATGTCGCATTCAGCGCATGTTGCACGCGGCACGTATATGCATGGCGATGCACAGATTATAGTGCTACGGGACAGCCTCGACGCATGTATTCCGAGACGGAGGGGACATAAAGAGACCGTCGACCCGGTTGAGGCCGAGACGATCTTTCTATTCCAGACTTGAACGACCGGCACTAAGCTTGGGAACTCGACTCGCACAACACCATGTACTCTTCCAGACGTGCTTCGTCACAGGCCGCCCTTGTTTCCGGGCTTCTCCTTTCTTGCCTGCCCCTTGCTAATGGGCATTGTAAGTTGTTTATCCAGAATCGTTGAATGAGCACTAACCGTGGGCGTAGATGGCTTCCCCGTTGTCTTAATCAATGGGATTACGTCAAAGTGGTGGGAATTTGTTCGGTATGCCAGATAGCCTCCATAAATGAAACATCCAGAGCCCTAAATAACCTGAAGCCCGACCTCTCTAGACGCTCACGGGTATCAGTGGTTCCCTGATTATAGTTGGGACTCGGAACCCATGGTCTGCGGTTGGAATGGAACAAAGACCGGCCATGAAACTGGCATCGCGAAGATCGAAGCAGGTGGCGTTATTGGGTTCCGAGCATTCGCTGCTTCTTACAATGCGGGCTTTGTCCCAGTACGCGATGTAAGCCTCGAGACGCCTTCATTCGGGGAGGATGGGTAGACTTACCGATATCACACAGTTTGATGCTCAGATTGATGGCGTGGGTCACACGGGCCCGGGTCAGGCGTACATGTCCAAAGCCCCTGGAGCTATTGGGGATTATGAGGGCGATGGCGACTGGTTCAAGATAGGAACAAGCGGTGCGTCTGATGGGATGCACTGGGACTCGGATCGTCAGCCCGAGGTAAGCCTCAGCTAGCCATCAACCAACAGGTACTTCGCCCGATGTTGAGGTGGAAGGCTAAGGCTTCCTAGATGAACTTCACCATTCCAAAGGCCACGCCACCTGGCCAATACCTTGTGAGGGTCGAGCACTTTAACATCTCACCTATGCTCGGGCAGACGCAGTTGTTCGTCAACTGTGCACAGGTGGAAGTGTTGGGCTCTGGGGAGGGTATGTTCCAAACGACTAACTTGGCGAGAAGGCTGAGCACGATTGACTGTTTCTTAGGTGCCCCTGGGCCGACCATCAAACTACCTGGATATGATCCCGCTGACCCGGGTAAGACTATGAGGGAGACAAGGCGCCAGGTGTGATTCATATCATTACGAATTGTTGCTGACACTCTCACTACATAGGCATCTGGCTACCGCGCGCCATGTATAACCCATACAAGCCGTCAGAGTTGCTCAAGAACTACAAAGGCCCAGGGCCGAAAGTCTGGACTGGTTGAAATGAGCCATACTTCACCGAACGCACTGTTGCTATTATACAAGACCAAGAAAGTTCACCCGTGGGGGCGCATCACGTTTTTCATCCATTCATAGGAATAGTTGGGGTGCTGCTCTGTGGAATAACGGTTTTCCATCGTCTGCGGTCAGTGTTGCACTGAATAAATGATATTGCATCAAGAAAGGCCTCCTGTCGTTACAGTTGATTTGCGTACCTCAGGTCATGTGTTATTAAGATAGTCTCGGGACTGGTCCGAATATTGGTAGAAATATTGTCGGAAATATTATAACCCCCACCTTTGGTAGCCTGTAACTGCATACCTATAGGCCTCTACGGTACCTACCTAGGATTCTAGTTAGGCGGTTATAGTGGATTTGCACCCTATGGGTTAGGTAACATGCTTCCTAATTCCTACCTAGGTACTTACAGGTAGATACCTAGGTAGGTAGGTAAGCTCTCAACTTCTACCTAGGTATAGATTGATGCTATCATCATCCTAACACACGATGCTTTGGTACATAGGTATCTACACTTCAACAGAGCTTTGCTAGTTCTCATTCTTTGAGCTATAATTGTTCATGCTCACATCATTCGTGACTAGATTGACTCGGTGAACAACTCTAGCCTGTCCCTCAAGCGACCGCGATCGCGAGAAGCGGAATGTCACAGCCACGAACTTCATAAACACGCGACACCCATTAAATGGCAACGCCATGATATTGAAACTGCACCAGCACCAGTGCTTACACCAAGAGCCCGATCGAGTCGCAACCTATGCCCAGCACCCTCTGATAGTCCCCCAGAAGCGTGGCAGCAGCCATGTTTGATTTCCAAGGTTAGGCCGTCATATGGGTACAAGTCACACTCCTCAAATACCTACCAATTATCGAAGAACCCGACATCACCCCTAAACCTCTGTCGCTGCCACGATATCGTCCTTCACAGTCCCGCTCCACGTCGCCGACTAAGCGCTCAAAGATGAGTCTCACGTCGCAAGCAAATCTTCATCAATTCGAGAAGCCGGCTCTGTTCGATCGGGTCCGAGGGAAAACTGCCCACATCGCCGTGAATATCAAAGGGCTATACAAAGACATCAAAGCCGCAGCTCTGTACCGGCAGCGCATTGTATCGCACGAGTACGCGAATTCTGGATCTTATCTTCGGATATCTTTTCAATACCCGTGCGTCCCCAAGGCTGGTCTCCGTCCCCTTAATTAAGGCGCTATGCTCATCGATAATTCATGTATTTTGCTTGCGATTCAGGTCGATCAGTCAATATTCACGGCCCTCTCCACATTGGATCTACAAGGTTGATTCTAGAAGCGTATGCTTTGGTTGCATCCTCAGACGCTGCAAACCGGTGGATTGAGACTTCATTCTACCGTGCTATGGAAGTTTGGGTCCTAGAAGGCTATATTTCGCCTGAAATACCGATGCGTTATAGTACGCTACACAATTCTGGATACCAGTCAATCGCTTTATCTACTCCTTGCTGATCATTATCAACATAGCGCCAATACTACCCAACATGATGGCTGTAGGGTTGCTTCATTGGATGGATACCATTATCCGGCGTCTTGCGCTGTATGCGGGCTTTTCCTCTTGTTGTATGACTCGAATTCCCGCTTCTCTGTTTGCTACCCAGCTTTTCTTACTGACTAGACTCTCTGGTGTCCATGGCTAATACGATTCAGATAAGTTCGCGCGAAGTGCTCGTCGAGAGGCGGGGCAAGATAAGCTTCGCCGCCAAAAACATTCTCTCGGCTACAAGAATGACCTTTGAATAACTCGCTAGCTGTATTGTCAGAGTAAACATCGAGGACGGCAGCGATACGAGCCAGAGGACTTGATGGGTATGCCCTAGCATAATCTTCGGCTCGTTGCTTCCATACGCTGAAGCTCACGACGTCTTTCCCGTGGCTAGTATTATTGCTTAGCAACTGGAAGAAGTCGTTAAATGTAGGCGCCCGCGTGTTTGAAAAGTCATAGTCACGACCTAATCTGTTCAGATCCTGCGCCATCGCGGAAACGATGGTTGCACTGACATAATCCACAGGCAGCACTGAGGACATTGTGACGGATGGGTCTAATAACGGGAACGCCCCCATATCTAAGTTACCCACAATGAAGTTGTGCAAAAAATCACCACGGTCGTGGCGGAAATCGCCAGTCTTGGTTGAGGCAGTGACGAAAGGTAAACGATAAACAGAGGCTTTCGCACCTCGCCACCGCGCCGCGGAGACCATCCTTTCGGCTGCGTATTTGGATGTCCCATAGCCGTATTCCCGGTCATTTTCGGTAAGGCCGAGGCCCATGTGCTTAGGTATTGTTGAGATCGTTGACACGAGATGGACCGACTTGGCCCGGCCGCGAGAGGCGAGTCGCAGAATCTCGTGCGTACTGATCACATTCGGGCCAATATAGTCGTGTAGAGGCCTCACCCAGTCGACAAGGCCGCCACAGTGGCAGATAGCGTCAAGTATTTCTGCTAGATCGTCAAAAACCTCCCTAGTCAAGCCAAGAAAGGGCTTAGCTATATCTCCGGGTATCGGCCTAACGAATGACGTGAAGTCGGATTCCCAAAGATTATAATCCTTCAGTGTGTTCACAATCCGTCGTTGGGCCAGTTCAGTAATATCGCCGTGGACGCGGACAAGGCAAAATGTCATGATTCCCCGCTTTAGTAGCTCGTGTAAGATGAATGCACCGACAAAGCCCGTGGCGCCCGTTAGAAGCACGGACTTAGGGCATACCGTATACGAAGCCGGGTCCTTTCTGACATTGTCGAATGCAATGCTGCTGTCAAGGTCGCCGTTGAGGAGCCACTCTGGGTCCAGATGAACTGACTCCGATATTGTAGTCGCAGGAGTCACAGTACCTGAAGCTGGCGCAGGGGATAATGTCCCGTTGCCCTGTAATTGGGACAGTAGAGACTGGCCGAGCGACCTGAGACTTGGGCTGAGGGAGATAGCGTTTATGGAAAGCATCAGGCCTGTTAGTGCCCCTAAGCCATTGCGAATCTGTACCGCTGCTAGCGAATCGATACCGATTTCTTGCAAGGGGCGGTCGATATCAACGTCGCGTGGGTGCTTAAAGGCCAAGGTCTTAGCGACTACTTCCCGAATCATATTTATTACAACGCTCGCCCGCTTATTAGGTTCGACATCTTTCAATATCACGCCAAGATCCCGCCGCTGGGATGCCTTCATGTCAAAGCGGGCTAAGAGAGTATTAAAAAGTGGTGGGATTTTGTCTTGTTCCTCACAATACTTCCGAAGCTGTCCAAGATGAAGCGAGGTCGCCACAGTTAGAGCTCTAGTGCTCATCACCGCTTGTTCAAGAACTTCTAGGCCCTGATCGGTAGTCAGGAAGTCGACACCAAAACGAGCAAGGTAGGTATTCGCGTTCAAACTCAACCTTGACGCCATCCCATCTCCAGCCCATGTCCCATAAGCTATCGATGTTGCAGGTAAGCCCCGAGCTTGTCGTAACTGAGCTAATGCGTCAAGAAACGTATTCGCTGCAGCGTAGTTGGCGAGACCTGGCATGCCCACGATGCCAGCGATGGAAGAAAACATTACAAAGGCGTCTAGATCCATATCTTTAGTATATTGATGCAAGAGCAAGGCGCCATCTACTTTAGGCGACAGTGTTGTTTCACATCGTTCTGGTGTCATGGCTAGGAAGACTCCTGGATCCGTTGTCCCAGCCGCATGGATGACACCTCGCAGGGGTCGGTCCGTGTGAAATTCTTCCATGATCGAACGCATCAGGATCGGGTCGGTTACGTCGCCGGTAATAACAGTAGCCTTGGCACCGGCGACGGAGATCTTCTCTACCAGTTTTTTCGCGCTAGAATTATTCATACCGCGGCGAGAGATAAGTACCAGATCGCGGATACCATGTTTACTCACCAGCCACTGTGCAACATAGGATCCGATACTACCAAGGCCACCCGTTATCAGAACTGCACCGTCGGGCCTTATGAATGATTTTCTTTCGGTCCCAGTAATGCTGTGTTGCATTCTTGGAACCAATATTCGTCCTTGACGGATGACGCATTCCGGTTCTGCGTTAAGCAGCATCGCCGACGCAATCGAGTCCGGCCTCGGGTCATCGTCTAAATCCAGAATGCGCAAGCGTAACTCCGGGTGTTCGTTTCTCACCGTTCTCATCATTCCTAGCAATGGTGTTGCTCCAAGTCTTATATCATGATCGTCAGATTTCACCCCGGTTCCGACAGCTAGGCGAGTCATCCATATCAACCAGGGGGCGAGCTGAATCCTGATTGAAGTTCGTAGTTGGTCGAGTGCTTCAGCAACGAATTCTCGAGTCTGGGATAATGTCTCGGAACCTGAATCCCAGAAACATATCAACCCATCTAGATGACTGGCATGTTCAAGCCGGTCAGGGTAGAGAAACTGTATGCCAACCTGTGAAAGGGCGTTTGTGACCTTCTTCGCCCAAGCTGTTGTAGGATGCCTACGTGGAAGCAAGACGCCCCAAGCACCCTGAGGATGAACTGCATCATTAGGCCTGATCGAGTGCCATTGCACTTCGTATTGAAGATTTTGTTGCAGTTGGCGCTGATAGGATGATGTGCTAGTGGCAGCTGTGTTTACGGTTTGCGATGGTCGGCGGGATGGAAGAACATAATCTCGCTGGAATACATGCGTCGGCAGCTCGACACGTCGGCATCCAAATGGGGCGAAGTAAGATTGCCAGTTGATTGGGACCCGTAGTGAGTGCAGATCAGCACAACTTCGTTGAAGGGCCGATGAACCATCCTTAGCAGTCTTGAGAGATGACAGCCAAACCATGTTGTTACCTGTACCTGTGACTTCAAGAGATTGAGCCCCCATACCGCAGAGCGCTGTGCCGGGCCCCAGCTCAAGAAAAATGTTGACTCCATGACTTGCCAACGTCCGGATACCTTCATTGAAACGCACTGGCTCGCGCATTTGTCTCACCCAATAGTCGGCGTTTTCGAGGATACCCGCATTAGCCATTCTACCGTCGACGCCACTGACGATACGTAGTTTGGCATGCTGATATTCTATGGTCTCTGCTACAGCTCGGTACTCCTCTAGAACACCATCCATAGAACGTGAATGGAATGCATGTCCGACGATTATCATCTTGGTCTTCCGTTCCAGTCGCGCGAAATGGTGCATGACTTCATTGACACCATCGGCATCACCAGAAATGACTGTCTGCATCGGTGTGTTGAATAAGGCGCTCTCAACTCTATCACTCTGGCCCAAAGATCGAATCACCGCTTCTACTTCGGCAGAGCTGGCCTCGAGCGACGCCATGCTACTGTCTTTTCCAGATTGGACCTGCATCAACCGACCACGCGCCGCAACTAATCTGCAAGCATCGGCCAGACTGAAGATACCCGCCACATGTGCAGCAACCAACTCGCCCAGGCTATGGCCAATGACGAACTCTGGTGTCACACCCCAGCTCATCCATAATCGCCATAACGCCACCTCTAGTGTGAATATCGCAGCCTGGGCAACGTCAGTACGACGGTCCAGTAACGCCGCACTAGGGCTGCCAGGATCCGACCACATAATCTCAAGTAACGGCAAGTCAAAGTTAGCAAAATTCGCTGCTACCTCAATTAACGCTTCGCGAAAGACGGGGTAGACCTCGCAGACATCTTTTCCCATGCCTGCCCACTGACTGCCTTGGCCTGTGAATAACATGGCAAGTCGAGGCGCTTGAGGAAATATACCTTCAGATGTTGGGAACGATTCATCTTCAATGGTCGACTGCATATTCACTAACAGATCCGCCTTATTGCGGGCCATCACCACCAATCTCCTTCGGAAATGAGTTCGCCTGGTCGCCAACGAGTATGCCACATCGCGAAGATCTCTTTCTTCAACAGCACTATTGATATACTGTCGAAGCCGCCTCGCCTGCGTTCGTAACACTTCATCGGTATGACCGGACAGAAGGAATGGTATGCTCGACAGCGAAGAATGTGTTTTCTCGGTATTTTTCATAGCTTCTGGTCTTATTGGAGGCTCTTCGATTATGATGTGGGCATTTGTACCGCCTATCCCAAACGCAGAGACGCCTGCTCGCCGCAGTCGATCTCTTTGCGCTGGCCATGGCTGTCGACTCGACGTGGGTAGCATATTAGCCTCTTGCCAGGACACTTCTTGAACAGGCTTGGTAATGTGTAACGTCCGTGGCAAGGTATCATGCTGCATGGATAATATGACCTTTATCAGACCTGCCAGTCCAGCGGCAGCTTGAGTGTGGCCAATATTAGATTTGACTGATCCAATCAGAAGAGGCTTCCCAGTTCGCCCGGGACCAAATACTTCCGCGCATGCGGTAGCCTCGATTGGATCACCTAATTTAGTCCCAGTGCCATGGGCTTCTATGTAGTCAATCTGCTCCGGCCGCAGCTTTGCCGCTTGCAACGCTGTACGGATAAGTCGTCGTTGTGCTGGGCCGTTTGGTGTTGTCAAGCTAGCGCTGCGACCGTCATGGTTGACAGCAGTGCCGCGTATTGTGGCATGAATATTATCGCCGTCTCGTTCCGCATCGGATAGGCGTTTAAGAATGACAACTACACTTCCTTCAGCCCACCCTGTCCCATCCGCGTCGGCGGAGAACGATCGGCAATGGCCATCTGATGACATGCCCCCAAGCTTGCCAAACTCAACATGCAAACCTTGGTTCAATAACAAGCTTACGCCACCTGACACAGCCATATCGCACTCCCCCTGGCGTAGTGCAGTACAAGCTAAGTGAGTGGTGACCAGCGACGAGGAGCACGCGGTATCGATCGTCATCGCAGGTCCCTCGAAGCCCATGTGATACGAGATACGACCGGAGATAGTACCACCCGCGGACCCTGTAACAGTATATCCATCGAGGTCCCCTGGGCTTCTGCTCATATTTGGGCTTAATCCAAGGTGACCAAGAATGTTGCTAACGCCGATAAACACGCCGGTCTGACTGCCACGTAACTGTTCCACAGTGTATCCCGCCCGTTCGAATCCTTCCCAGCATGTTTCCAGCATCATGTAATGTGATGGATCTAAGACGCGCGCCTCACGCGGTGAGATACCGAAAAAGGCCGTGTCATAGGCGTTGATAGAACGAATGAATCCCCCCTTTCGGCAATATGGGTGTTCGGAACCAAAGAGATCATTATCATCCCAACGATCTTCCGGCACATCTGAAATAGCATCACCATCATTGACGAGCAAGTCCCAAAATTGTTCTGGTGAGTATATGTCTCCTGGAAGACGACATGCCATGGAAATTACAGCAATATCATCACCTCCAGTAGCCATTGTCGGTCGCGAAACAACTTCACGGTGAGATAAGGGAGATTGGCATTCTAGATATGCCGCCAGTGTTTTGATCGTATATTTCTCGAAAAGCTTGGCCACTGGTATCAGCCTGCGTAGCTGTTTGTGGATTTCTTTCTGGACACGCACTACACGTATGGAGTCGCCGCCGATCTCAAAGAAGTTATCAAGAATGGTAATTTGACGATGACCAAGGATATCAGACCAGATCTCGAGCAATTGACCTTCCGTATTTCTAGTGGTATTTTCATCCTTCGTGACCCCAAATAGCGTTGTTAGATCTGGTAATGCATCTCTGTCAACCTTTCCGTTGATAGTGATCGGCAACGCATTCAACTGGACAAAGAATGATGGAATCATATAAGTCGGCAATCGTTCAGCTAGCCATGGACGCAGCATATGATCAAGAGACGTGGCAGCTTCGGCCTCAGCGTCCCTGAGCCCCTTGGGGCCTCGGACGCAGTATGCCACCAATCGCTCTCCGCGATATATCACAACCGCCGCGGAGACCATCTCGCTGTCTGTCAAGGCTGCCTCAATATCACCCAGTTCGATTCTATAACCGCGGACTTTCACTTGTCTGTCAATGCGACCGACACAGAGCAGACCGGCCTTCGAATAACGCACAAGATCACCAGTCCGGTATATCATACCTTCGTGCAATGGATTCTTGAGAAAATGAGAGCGGGTTAGCTCGTCCTTGTTACGATATCCACGAGCCACACCTGCTCCTCCTATGAATAGCTCCCCAACAGATCCATGAGGTACGGCGGACAAATTCCCGTCGAGGACGTAGAGAAAGCTGTTCGAGATTGGCTGCCCGATGGAGATATCGCCATGCTCGCGCACCCTCCAAGTGGCTGCGTACACAGTAGCCTCAGTTGGCCCATACATGTTCCATACCACTTTGCCACATGTCAATAATCGATCAGCAAGTGTTCGCGACAAGGCCTCGCCGCCGCAGAAGATCTTCATAAGCCTGGGTTGACCCTCCCACCCTGAGTCTAAGAGCATTTGCCAAATAGCAGGTGTCCCTTGCATGATGGTGGCTTTGTGACATGCCATCAGTTCAACAAGAGCGGTTGGATCTCTGATTTCATTGTTCCGGGCGACGATTGTGGTTCCTCCACAGATTAATGGCAAAAATAGCTCCGGGACGGCCATATCAAAAGATACTGTAGTGATTGCAAGTAGCCGATCTGTCTTGCTGCATCCTGGTTTCTCTCTCATGGCTAAGAGAAGATTCAAGAGATTGCCATGCGTGACCTCAACGCCTTTCGGTTTTCCTGTCGAGCCTGACGTGTAAATTACATACGCCAGATCTTGGCCCTGGACTACAACCTCGGAGTCTATCTTGTTGGTCTTTGTGATATCAGCAATTAAAACATCTTCGACCCCTAGACATACGGTTGTCCCCCGGCGGAAAGTCTCGAGCAGTCCATGCTCAACAAGGAGAAATTTCGGACCAGCATCTTCAACCATACGGAATATGCGCTCCGCAGGAAAAGCTGAGTCAACGGGCATGTATGCGGCCCCGGTCTTCAAGACCGCCAGCAACACTGCAACGAGAATGACAGAACGGCCTAGAATCACACCGATGAGATCACCTCTCCCAACCTTTAGCTTTATCAGGCCTTTTGCTAGACGGTCCGCTAGTTCGTTCAATTGCCCATATGTTAACGAAGCATCGCCACAGACCACGGCAGTGCTGCTTTTCGATTGCTCTGCTGCATGTTCAAATAGTTGGTGTAAATAGATCTTCGGAGGTTCAGAGCTGTCATCTTTGGTGAAGTCTTCGGCAGAAGGTGGGAAGATACCCGCCACATTTGTTTCCATAGTCGACAACATGGTAGTTTGTGGACAATTTATTCTGTTATGTATTCAGTGGACAGAAACCTTGCGTGAGATTGTTTACTCTATATCATTTTTTCCAAAGCTGACTTTCTAATACAACATTAATAGATCTAGGCTTATGTAGTACTGGCAATACAGATTTCTGAACATGATACCTGGGCACTTCTAAGCTGACCCCTAACACCGAGGAACATTATACCGATTGGGCTGATCGTATTCAGTTAAGCCCAGCACTTTATGCCCCAAACGAAATGGCAGGCTATGGCGGATACTCAGACTGCATGCGCCTAGGTGTATAAAGGGGAGCTATGATAATGAACCATGCCCTCCTCTGGTTTAACCCTCTAACATCACCCCTCCCTAGCAACCCTCCTTCTTTATCGGCTTACAAACCTGACATAGGCATAGCTACAACTCAACACTATGGCCGTTGTCGTAATTGCAGGTGGGCTTGGTGACCTCGGCCGCATCATTACAGATGCCCTATACGAGCAAGGGAAACATGAGGTGTACGTCATGTCCAGAAAGGTAGGAAGGCTATCCGGTTAGGACTTTGACAGACTTCGTTATGCACGTCACTAACCATAGTCAATCAGGACCCTGGAGACAGCCAGATCCGTACATCGCCATTGACGGGTAAAGAGTACAACCCAATAATCGAAACAGACTATTCGGAGACCTTCCTAGTTATGCAGTTCGCGGAGAAACAGATCACTGTGGTGATATGCGCTTTCATAATGGACAGCGAGTCCACATGCGCCGCTCAGGTACAGCTCATCCGTGCCGCCGAGCGCAGTGAGTGCGTGCGGCGTTTCATCCCCTCAGAATTCAACGTAGAGTACCACGTCGGAGACGAAGTCCTACCTTACCCTGAGAAGAAATTCCACATCACGGCTCGGATCGAGCTCAACTACACGAAGACACTCGAGTATGCATATGTCTACCCAGGTATGTTCATGGACTACTTTGGTATGCCCCACGTCGCAACGCAGCTGCGACCGCTGTACTTCTTCATCGACCCCGCGAATGGACAAGCCGGTATGTGAACACTGTGTCTTTTCTTCCCTTCCTAGTAACCTGTAGATCAGCCGATGTATAGGAGGAATTAGGACATGCTTTCAGTGCGTCTTGCGAGCATCCGACCTGGCCGTTCCGGTAATTACCTACTGACTTCACCACCATAGTGCTCCCCGGGGACGGCGAGGCGAAGATGAGTATGACATTCACTACCGATGCCGCAAGGTATATCGCGCTCGCGCTTGACTTGGTTAAGTGGCCGCGGATCCTGACCACCGTCACGAGCACCGTGACGTTAAACGAGCTCGTTAGACTGGCGGAGAAGAACATCGGTTGTGTACTTACAGTGCGCTATCAACCTATTGAGAACCTCCTGCGACATGAGCCCCTGGCGGACTTGCCAGGAAATATTGATATCGCTGCGGCATACTCCAGGCGCTTTCCGGGGGGTCTCAGTCAGGTGAGAGCACTTGTTGCCGACCTTGAAGCTGGCGTTGCTCTCGGCGCTTATGATCTTACGAGTTTAGTAGACAAAGAACAAGATTGTCTGGATCTCGTTCACGCATTTGAGGGGCTGGAGGGTGTTCCACCACCGAGAAGAATTGAGAGGTTCATGAAGGAGGCTTGGGGAAGAGGGTGGTCGTAGGATGTGACGGATGGTCCGCGCCCGCAGATTAATCGAAGTCGGCAGGTAAAGTGGGGGATCACGCATTATTAGGTGGTCATACAGCGTCTATACGATTTGGACATGCATTGAAGTTGTCATGGATATGCTGACCTGATGAGTGGTTCATAGAGCTGCTTCATGAGGAGCTGGTTGATGGAGCGAAGTAATGAAATGACGACGAGCTCTATTATCATTTTGTGAAACATCGTCGGTGTATATCTAGAGCAATACGCAGTACACATTACACCCACAAACAAGAAACACCGTATACATACATACAAGTTGAGTATATTAGGACACAATGAGGTCGGATAATAGTCCTTACAGTTCTATGTCAGCACCTAAAACGCCAAGCGACGCTAGACAAGGAATCTGTAAAATTATACGTTAGCTGACCAAAGTTTCAATACCTCTTTTTTGCCAATGCTGTCCTGTTAGTGCGGACGAAACCTCGGTGACCTGCTAAGACATTAGCAGCCAACCAAGATAAGCAACTATTCTATTAGAAGAATGCATCAGAACTGGGAATTGAAAGTTTCGGATAGGATGATAGAGGTTTAGCAACAATAGATGGCACCAAGTCAGCATTTTATCATGGGATACCTATTATGGGAGGCATCACACACCATGCAACTCCTATTCAGAGTGTCCGATACGGAAGGGGCAATTGAGGTGCTGTTTTCATCTCCAAATTGTGGGTGTGAATGCAGGCCATAGCTAGGATTGAAAATTAGAATCCATTCATGTGCTGAACGTATGTGAAGGAGGTAACATTATTATCCATGGCTATTATGAGACCTTTCGTGACATCCAAACTTCTCCAGGTTTGAGTCCGTGCACATGACGTCTAGAGGGACATGGATAACAAAGTTCATGAACGACAGAAAGATTCGAATGCAGTGTCTTCCTGTTCCAACATGATCTGACAGCATGCCACCTATGCTCGAACCACTTCTCCGGCGTGCTATCCCGCAAAGTTAGTAGATCGGCCTTTGAGACCGTCCTCGTTATTATCATGCAAGTTAATATTCATCTGAGGCTATTGTACCCGCTCTCGTTTACATATCGAGTGTATGAGCTTGCCACTCACGTTAGGTATCACGCAGGACTTTTCTCAGTATACGTCAAACCCTTCACTATTGCATCTAAATAGTAGAATCTGTAAAGGCAACGCTAGTTATCCTAGGTTAAAGACAATAAAACAGCTAGCCATGTCTACCACTTCTGTTTCTATTCACTCGCCTCCACGCAAGCTACAAGACGTCCCTGCCTCAGCTGGCTGTGACGCTGTACTCAAAGCAGTTCAGGAAGATGGAGCAGTGATCATCAAAAAGCTCTTCACACACGATCAGATTTCTCGCCTGAACGCTGATGTGCAGCCGGCAATGAACGCGATGGGCGCTGGGTCCAAGCATGCCGAGGAATGGGTACGAGAGTTTCATGGGGATAGCACGAAACGGCTGAACAACATCGTTGGCATCAGCGCAACATTCCGAGAAGAATTCCTCGAGCATCCACTCATCCACGCCGTCTGTGAGGCAATCTACCTCGCCGACGCCGGGGGCTACTGGATGAACTCGACACAAGTCATCGATGTCACTCCCGGAAGCAAGCCACAACCGCTGCACCGCGACCAATGGCAGTTCCCTATATTCCAGCTGGCAGGGCCTGGTGCGCCCGAGGCTAGCTGCAATTTCATTGTCGCATTATCGCGGTTCACTGACGCCAACGGCGCCACTCGCGTCATTCCGGGGAGCCACCTATGGGCAGATTTTCATGACAATGGCAATCACGGGGACACCGCGCCAGCGGAGATGGAGGTTGGAGATGCCTGTTTCATCAGTGGTAAGGTCGTGCATGGCGGGGGCTCGAACACGACTGTTGATGAGACGAGGCGCGGCATGGCAATAGTCTTTCAGTGTTCTTACCTCACACCTGAAGAAGCACATCCCTTTAACATTGACGCGAACATCGCGCGAACGTTAAGCGCCAGGGGTCAACGCATGGTAGGGTTTCGGTCCCAATTCTTGAAGAATAGTCCCGGAGTTTGGAAGAGAAACTATGGTGAGGTGGATGAAGTTTATTGCTAGGGTGAATGGTTTATGAAGGTCTGAGGGTAACGTACAATACGGGAATATAGTGTTGCCTCAGTGCTCACTTAGTTCAGCAACAATAATTTACTAACGCGTTTATCATCCCGATGCTTAAGGGGAATAGTAACTTTGTCACAGCACTTCCCTGCAGCGGTTACAAGTAAATGTTCTGTTATTGCACAAGGAGGGAAATTCTAACTCCTACCCCTTATTCTCTTATTTAGCTTTATATACACTGTTCCTTGGTCTGTGCTGTACTTCGGAAATTAGGCTTCTTTGAGTTCCGTGACAAACTTGTAGTTCTTCCGCCGTAATTACTTTAATTTGAGACCCTTGGAAGTTGTGAAAGCTTATGACTCTCATCTCGACCTCCGTAAAACGTGTGGAAGCATACATAGTTGCTGTGTGTGGGAAGCCTTGCAGGCCAGCCAATCCCACATGGCTGACCTGCCCCTGTAAACAAATAAATAAAAATATATGGCTCCTATCTTCATGCTTATTGCCGGTAATAACGCTGTCGCCGGTTGTTGCAATGCAAGAACGGCGCTCGTAGGTGGAATAGAGGACGATGAAAGCCCGTTGGTCATTAATCAGCTGCTCACACGAGTGCCATGCAGTCAGTCATCAGCTTTGACCCCCTTTCACTAGAGTTCGGATCCCACGGATGAGACGGACCGAATATTTTGAAGCAGTTCATAATATGTCTATTGCCACCCTACTACACGTGGGGCAATGGTATGAAGATGCGGCTACGCTTGCTTCTTCTGGCATATTACTCCTGTAATGAATGTTGTGATCGGGGTAATACTTCCTGGTTCTTACAATCAACAAACCCCCACTTGACTTATCGTCTCATAATCCATAATAAATATAGGACCATTAAGACTGTGACAGCAGGAATGGCAGGTGTACATGTCGAACGAGCGGTCGCCGTTAACAAAGCCCCTGCAAATATTGGTTCCAGAGCGGAGTTTATCAATCACACAATCGATAACTTTCACTGACTCCTTAACCATAACAAGACATCCTATTTCTCCTTGGTTCTCCAGTGAAGAAGCTAAGGTACTCTCACCAGTAGCTGATGCTGCAAAACACGATCCACCAACCCTCAAACGGACCAGGAGTCTTCGGCCTAGATTCCATCCGCTCAGTCAGGCACCCTGTCCACAGTACAGTACATACATAAGTAAGAACCTAGAGATATTCTGCAGACGTGGGCACGCACTTCTTATGGGAGTGGGGCTATTGCGGCTCCCGCCCTCGGTCCGTTGCGCCTCACTACCCGGCGCGGAGAAGGTCTCTCATTGCCGGTGAGCCTTGGCTGATATGCATGCATTTGGAGTGCATTCTTTTGCCCAGGCATGGAGGCCGCCACTGCGTTAAGTTACGTAACTAGTGCTCGATACTATTTAGACCAGCTGAAACATTTTTTATTGATTGGGCTTTTTGCGACACGGGGCATGGGGCGAGGAATGCTCAAGTGAAAAGAAGGGACGAAGGACAGAATAGATGTAAATTGAAACTGCAAACGAATGTTGAGAAAGAAGGCGTAACAGAGTGAACGGACCAGTTGATTCTCAGGCATGATATGAAATTAGCCGGAAGCTTGGAATCTTCAACATCTTTGTTTCACTTCAGAAAGATAAGCCGACAGAGGTCCGATAACCTCTACCATCCGTACGACCCCTTCAGAGAAGCAGAACCTCGATAGGCTAAATTATCGCTCTATGGGATGAGGTGAGAGCTAATTAGTAGGCCGAAGATCAGCTTCCGGCTTCCCTTCCGGAACAGGGTCCTAACAAGTCGGGGACTTTCTTTGTGCCTGTGTAAGTTACGTTTCAAGCGAAAGGGCATCACCTATTCATACAGATACAAAACTAAATCCCAAAATCCCGTGACCATATTGCTGACTGACTCTCCCCCTGTCTTACTCTTTACGTCCTCCACTATCTAGTACACAACTGAGTGTGTGCCGTTGTGCGTCTTGTATATCCACTTAAAATATACTCCTCTCATCAACTCTGTAAATTTCCCCTCCTTTTGGAAAAGCTTCAAATATTGCCAACATGGCATCGCCTAGTAACGTCAAGCCTTACTCATCATGGGTTCAAGAAGGCGAACATAGATATACTCAACTGTACGGATTCCAAGAAGTCCTCTACAACGCCATATCTGCGCCTCCAGGATCTCCAGCTCTCTTTCTTCCATTCTCCCATGTGACCTTCAAACATGTAAAGGGCGGAGATAGGCTATCAGATCATAGTCTCGCACTATGCATCCGCATAGCCTGGCTCCAGCTCCGACAGAATCACCCACAGCTTGCAGCAGTGAACCTGCGTGAGGCGAAGACGTACATATCTCCATCATCTCGAACAGAACTCGAAGAATGGCTAGACGCCACATTTATCGTGCTCCCCGAGACAACTGCGAATGAAATATGGCGAAACGCGGTGAAGCCTCGTCAACTAACACTGTATTTCCTTCCGCAAGAGCGCCAGCTCTGCCTCCTAGGAGAGCATCACACAATAGATGGACGGGGACTCATGAATTTCTGGGACAGACTCTTTAGGGCTCTCGGATCACCTCAGCCTGATGAGGTTTTATGGAAAACTGATGGATCCGAGGTCTCTAGACTGCCTCCGCGATCCGACGATCTTCTAAATTTGGAGGAAAAGAGCCCAGGGTGCGGTGTTTTGCGAGCCCGCGAGATGCTTTTGCCACTCAAGTCACCGTCGCCTATTCATCTTCCCATTGCTGAGCATCAACTCGCTCGGCCCTTCTCTCGGAAAAACGCATCAGTCGAGCTACGGCTCAGCGTGGCTATGACCCGAGCAATTGTCTCGACGTGCAAAAGGCAACGCTTAGGTGTAACGGCAGCCTGGCACGCGGCCATCATCCTCGCCACCCAGACTACACAAGCGAATTATATGGCCCCAGGTACGCAGTTTAGCGGTTTCGCCAACATTGATCTCCGCCGCTACTTTCCCCCAAGCTCTGTTGACGCCTACGTGTTCAACAATCACTCTACCATACTACCATTTTCAGTCAGGCCAAACGGCAAGAGCTTCACGTATTTAGCGCGCGAGATTAACAATTTTCTTTCACGCGACCTATCTTCAGCTGACCCCGAGGTTTGGAGCGCACTGGGCCCCATGATTCAGTCGCTGGTGCCGGGGTTCACGGTGCCGCATCTCACCGACACAACACCAGCTGTGTCCAGTTTGGGTATCATAGATACCTACATTGCTTCAAGCTATCCTAACGGCAACGGTAGGAGAGATGATGGGTACTGGGAGATTGAGCATGTGTGGTTTGGAGACACGGTGTGTGGACCTTGGCTGGAGTGCTTTATGTGGTCTTGGCAAGATCAGATTTCGTTGAATACAGTTTACAACCCAGCTTATCATACGCATGTGGAAGTAGATAAGTTCCTCCAAGTCGTTGTTGAGAAGTTTATGGACGGGCTGGGCATTATTATACGTGAGGGAGATGGGATGTCAAAAATATGAAGCATTCAAAATTCTCACATGTTTAAAAGGCATATATAGTTTAGCACTTCATTACTTTGAAGTAAATCATGAACATTGATCCAAACAGTTTTAAGGGCTTTACAAAGAATTTCTAACTTATAAGTAATAGTCTTCAGTTTTTTTTTAGAGATTTATACTCTTTATACCATTAGGCCACATGTAGGCCTCCTGACAATAGTTACTATAACCCTTTTCATAACTCGGTATGAATGTCAACGCAAAGACACACCCCGTAGCGGCCAAATAGCTAAGCCTGAGTGAAAGAGTCAATGCGGACAGAGCCGCCTAAAGCAGAGGTGGCATACTGTTCATAATGTCAGTCAATCTGGTAGATTGTTTTTTGGATCACAACTAAATTGTTGCAAAACTTACGTTGAATATGCCCCATCGATAACCCATAAAGTAGCGCCAGTCATTGGTGAGAGTGAGAGACGAACCAAATGACGTGAATGTGTTACCATCCAGGCTGTAGCTGAATGAACCCGTTCGGCCAGTTCCGGGATTTATGTTGACAGTTCCTCGCAGGTATATCTTTCCCTTAGAAATTCCTCTACTAGCTGCGGTTGATCCAGTACTTTGTGTTGTCCAGTCAGTATTCATGTTTACTCCATTCGTCATTACTACCGAAAGGCTGCCTCCGTTGTTTACAACACCAATCCAAGCAGATTTATCACGGAATAGTGCGAGGCCAGCACGATCCCCCACAGCCATGTTGGTGGTGTCCATGATGATCGTTGCAGTCGAAGTTGGGCCGTGGATGCGGTGGGTCAAGGTATTGCGTGCTTGGTATAAGTCAGATGTGACAGTAGCAGTTGACAGTGTGAGACCATTGTTGACGGTAAACTTAGTTGTATCGGGATTATGGTTCCATTCCCAAGCTACACCCAATGTCGTCCCGCTGAAGGAATCCGTCCCGGTCATGGAACCCAAAGGATGGGCAGCCGCTGGCATCGGATAAGTCTTGCCCCATGCCCCGTTGCTGAGGGTGACGGTTGGGAACCCATCGGATCCCCAGGTCAGGGGGGCTAGAACCGGCACACGGCCTCCTGGGTATGCGTCAATGAACGCTGCGTAGTACCATTTTCCGTCGGGCGTGTCAACTAAACCACCCTGGTGTGGGTTACCAGCCCCTGATACTGGTGCCGCGAGCGAGTTAGCAAGGATCTTGATACTGTAAGACCCAAATGGACTGGAAGCTTTCAGAACGTATTCTTGGTTGGCAGGACGAGTCACAAAAATGTAGTATTGGGCGTCCTTCTTGTACATTCGGCTACCTTCAAGAGTGCCAATATTGCTCGGAGATGAGTAGATTTGCTGCGTTTTGACAATTCTTGTGGCATCCGAGGAGAGCTGGGCCACAGACAGCTGTGTATTTCCATAGGCAACATACAAGGTGTCATCGTCGTCAACTAGTAAGCCACAATCGTACAAACATGTATTCAATGTAGCAGTTAAAGACCAAGGTCCAGTAACGGATGAGGCACTGTATATATAGGTTTTCGAAAATTCAATGCAGCCAATCCAATACCATTTTCCGTTGCTTTTCCGATAGCGCATAGTAGAAGCCCAGATACCCTTGACGTAGGCTCTAGAAGATCCCGCCAAGTTGTAGTTAGAGGACCAGCTTAATGAAGGTACTGCGTGGCCTATGTATTCCCAGTTAACCAGGTCATATGACCGTAAGATTGGAGCACCCGGGCTGTAGTGCATTGTCGAAGAAGTGTAGTACCAGGCATCTCCTACACGGAAAACATCCAGGTCTGCTAAGTCCTCCCATATAATAGGGTTAGTGAATGTATCCGCGGCGACGACTGCGGAGTTACTGGTAATATTAACATCCGCGGTAGTGGTTTCTTCGTGTTGCGCTTGCGCAATAGATGCCAATCCTACGAGGATGGCGTAGAGGAAATTCTTTAACAGCATGATGATTGAAGCATATCAGAATCCAGAAGATTTTGGCACGGGAGCCAGCAGAGACATCAGCCTAGTATTATATCAGGGTGCCGGCTCAAGAGCCATACGTTGTGGCACCATACACATCCAACGAACGTGGACTTGGCGTTGCAACTTTACATTCCCCCACTAATAGTATATACATGATTCCCACGGAGGCCAGGGGACCGAAGTGGATCGTCCCTTTCTCGGCTCTTATGTGTTGAGCCGCACCAGTTTAGGCCTAGTGACGTCCGGGATTTAAATAACCGGAAGCGGCCTCATCCATGCCGGGACACTATATCTCCACCTATAGGATCCCTTCTGCTGGAGGATATCGGACGAGATGCGCAGCGGGACAAAGAATGAGCCCGACGTGATACTGATGAAGCCGATAATCAGAGCTACCGCAGCTGCGACGAAGATCTGCCCGCAAGGTGCATGAACCCATTGCTACGAAGATATAAATTCTAGCAGCCGGTGTTTTCCAATTACCCAAAATTCTAGACCTGGGGATCAGAAGTTGCTTCGCCGACTAGATAACGAAGTTGTTGTGGATCTTCCAGTGGCCGGAGAGAACCCACAAGATCATGCTGTCGACACCCTGGATGTACTCGTCAGACAAGAGCCTGGGGCATTGGCGCAGGCTATGCAAGGCTATGGGGAAAGTCGAACGGGTCCAATGTCCAATGTGGGAGTTAGTTCATACGCTGACCTACCAGTCAATTCATCACAAGGCCACCAATCCGTCGAAGAGGTACTGAATTATAATCGGCCGAGACCTAGCATATTTCGAGATCGTCGGAAGAACATTATTAGCCCCTAATGAGCCCACGGCTACATATCTCCCAGTCCCAGCCCAAACTTCGCAGTCCACCGGCTCTCTCGCAATGTTATCTTGGGGTCCTTTGTTGTCGGTATGGACCTCAAAGTGTATAGGATAGATAACTTGAGAGTAGTAGACGCAAGTGCACTTCCGATCATCAGCACTGCAAACCTCTAGGCAACCGTCTATCCTTTCGAGGACCGTGCGTCTGGTATCCTTAAAGCAGCCTAGGGAAATGAATGATGATGTTGTGTTAGGAACTGGAAATAAAACAACTGGGCATTTGTAGTTAAAAGAGTCTATATGCCTCCACATATCGCATTCTTGACTTCGCGCAGCAATAAGCGCCTTACACCGTGCTTTGGCTCAACCTATGCTCTATATGATGTAATTCTGTAGCACAGTTTCTTGGATGGGTCAGAAAGGGGCATCAATTGCTCCTGTCCTGGCTAAGACTTATATAATGCTTTAAGAGGAGTGTTAGAGCCCTTAAGAATTGGAAGATTCAGGAACCAATGATTATTATTAAGCTCTCTTGTATACCTTCGACCTACCTACCTACTGCAATAACCTATTATTCACTCTGGAATACACTCCCTTGTAAGGCATAGTATACTGATTCCGCCACTTCATAGCATCTGATTCTCATCATTCTATCCTCGACAACCCTGCATGTTGCCGACTGCATTGATCAAGCCTCATCTGCCTACTTTCCCCTGCGCGAGTCCGCTTTAACCTCCAACGACTCACGCTTTATCTGACTTATTCGTTGCTTCGTATTGGTTTGCAGGTATCGTTCCATTTCTTTCAATCCTTCTATAGCCTTCACGGTATTTTGAACACCAAAAGTTGGTTGGTCTCCGGACAGTGGAGCCTCTTGCCAGCCATAGAGCAATGTTGTGCATCCCGTGGAGCCCAGGCGACCTGAACTTACTTCATCGAGTGAGCACGAGCACTGCGTAGGCGTTGGTGTTGTGTCACCAGTGGTATTTTCGACTCGATCTTCTTCTTCTTCTACATCGTTTAAAGATGCAGTAGACGCAGAGGTAGACGACATTGGCATCTGTTCCCAGCAGCGACCAAGGTCCTCTCTATCGTCCTTGTAGCATAGCTGTTGTGCTAGGACTGGAACCAATGGTAGACCAATACCCACAGCAGTACTATCAGCATCTTGAAGTCCTCTAGAGTTAACGAGCCACCCATCGTAAGGTTCAGAGTAGCATGGCGACGGTTCCAGGAAATTTTCTAGCGAGTTTCGCTTATTGATCTGTACTCTGATTAGCCATGTCCACAACCAGTTGATCTCTTAGCGCAGACGTACACGCATACTCTCGTCATATTCGAGGCCGTCTCTGCCGACGGCATTATCTAGGAGGTGGTGCGGCGCATCAGTGAAGGCCATCGGAATCTAAGACTGGTCAAAATGGGGTTGTGTTGACCTGCATTACAATGTAGAATATAGATTTGAATATGCCCTGGAGTATTGGGGGTGTCTATGATTTCTAATTATGCAATTTGGCTCAAAAGCCCATTTGGCGTGATCTCATGACTCTATGACTGCTCCAAGCTGAGCTCAAGATTGGCTAATTGGGTCCTTGAACCTTCGGACGATTTGCCGTTGTATCGGAGTAGGTTCTAGACCAATGAGGCTGAACGTCGGAGACTGGGATATCCTATATCGCCACCGGTAGGCGGTTTTCATTGGTCAATAATGGATGACAATGCTATGACGGGAATGTCGTCACAGCAAGCCAAAGTCGACCTCTAGGGCCCACACACATGAAGTATCATCGTAACATCACATCTACCGATGTTCTGAGAATGAATTATCATGATTTCCATGCTATCTCATCGATAACAATCCTAATCTTGAAACCACTTATTCCTAAAGCTCAGGATTAGTACGTGTGACACATGTTCCGCCATTCTGGGGTTCATCTAAGCCGATTGACCCCTCCCAGGTTTTAGCGAATTGTTCTAAAGGACACCTAATAACCTACTACCCATGTCTATATTTGAAATCTTCGATGTGAATAATAGAGTCGTCCGAGAGAGTTCAGGAAGAGGGGTTTAATTGAAGTAAGGTCTTCCCCTTACCCGCGCAAAAGTGTTGTAAATCGCTAACTGCTCTATGTTTTCAGGCCTTCTATATTATTTGGCGTGGATATTGATTATTCTCCAACACTAGAATCCTTATTACAATTGTATCAATCTAGCGCCATGCTGAAACGCTGCCTTGACGAACAATGGCTGTTAGAAATCAGTATAGACAAAGGCTCTTTGGCTACTCTGGAAAGAAAAGTCGGTCGGACACATCGTTATTGTTCTTGTAATGTATTATCTGGCAGCTTATAAAGCATCGTCTGGCGAGCTCGCACTGCATTTCTCCTACAACCCAAAAATTACACGCAACAATTTCCGCTTTTCGCCCGGCACCACTGTTGATACCTGATTAACCCCGAATCACACTTCTTACTCGTGCCTTCTAGTTAGGTAATTAGACATGTGTCAGATCCGCAACCCTTGCCGATGCATTTCGCTCTGCAGCATCTCCATATCCCCATCCACATGCATAATGACATGTGAAACCGCAGCGCAGGTAAGCCAAAATGTGAGCAAAGCGGAGAGATTTGCGCTCTATGCAGATGAGCTTCTTTTCGAAATCTCGGGGAACCTCGACATGGGTGAATTCACTGAAGCTATGACCTGCTTCATGGAGCTTGCGAGCATGAAGGACAGGATCTCGTCTCTGGAGCGAGACACACGCGATATTCTAGTCAGTTTAGATGCGCCGTCCTGGAGAATTCTCGAGATAGACACGGAGATGTGTGAGAGGCTCCAGTATCTATTTGGCTGGCAGTTAGAGGATCTCCATACTCTACGTACATGTAGAGATCATCAAGTGCCGTGTGTTGACTAGGGGTACGAGAGTAGTGATGGGTCCCAGTGTTGAAGTATCATGTAGGTTGCAGAGATTGATTTATTGAACTGGACACAAACCGTGGTGGGTAGATAGACTTATGTAAGACCCAGGTAGTATAAGCAAGAATGCATTTGTATTATGGCACAGACGTTTGACCAGCGGCGTGATCAAGTCATTGTAGTTTCATTGGCTAAACTAAATAATCATATTTCCCAATGAAAAGACTTGTATCGTCGCATAATATCATCCCAGATACCTGTTATTTCCTTCTCTCTGCCATTCACTCCGCCACAAGTGGTCGCGGTGCTGTCATTTTTCAGGAATCCCTTAGAGATACTTAATACCCGTAATAAGTGAGAGGTTCAGACCCTCTCACCTAGGTCCATCATAGTTTCTAGTGTAAGCTGAGTTTAAGGCTTACACAACCGCGGCAGGCCTCCCTTCAAAGGTAGACCGTAGTGGTGCCACCAAAGGACCCAAATACAAAATATTCTAACCCAGCTGTAATATGTATAGGCTCGACTACGCAGGGATAAACCATAGACATCGCCTAGCATGCCAAACACTGGCCAGAAGACCAATCATCCTGTCTTATCCTCCCTCTTCAAGTCGTCGTTATGATACCCTTGACTCAGTTTGGAAGCGGGTGTAAAAAGTGTTAGAAGCTCGGAGGCTGCACTGACTAGACACGATATCTGCGAAATCAGTATGCGAATGCTCCGTCCGTATATAGACAGCTCGCCCTAAATCATTTGATCTCCATATATTGGACTCTTTTAAACGAACCTGTTCTCGCGCGGAACATTCGACATCTTTACCTAGTTGCAGCGTGATAACTATCGAATCCATCTGCATTGGCCTTTAGTATCCGCGGCAATGTGCCGCTGTATCCCAACCTCTCCAACCTGGAGCTCTTAGGACATCAGGTGAGAGGTTCCACGGACCTTTCTATCACCTTCGAAACACTTCCACACACGATATATGACACCGTTAGCCGTATCCCGGTGCCCGTTCCGCAAGCTACCCCGCTAGCATCAGCAAGAAGAAGCCCCCTCGATCGGTCCACGAATAGGGATGGCAGAGATTTTGATACGGTGTTGCTTGGAAACATGTAGCAGTGCATTAGCCCTGCCTGAATATTCTCACCAGGCCTCACCTCTCATGTTTTGTTTTGATAATAGAACGGTTCCTAAGCTTCGCACCAGGACCAGGCTCGCACGTCTGCAGAGTTCTTTCTTGTATAGACCGAGAGACTAATCATGGATGGTGCTTCGCCCGACCTCGCGTGGGTATCAATGGCGTCTTCAGCGGTATTATACCTACGTGCTTGCTTCCCGCGTGGTCATTAGCGGCATCGAAGTGGAATGTTTTGCATGTCGTGGAGAAAAGAAAAGGCCCGGCCCTTGGCGCCGGGACAAGGGAATACCATAACTATCAAGCAGGCTAAAAGCCAACAAAGGCGACGGGATGTAACAGATATGAGTTGACTGTTCCCGTAGCTCCGTCTGTCAAGAATCAGCTACGTACGTCTTGGTCCCACGATGTTGTTACTTGCTGCACGACCAGGGTTCGGTTGGGGCGGCTGAGTGAGAAGTCGACCACTGATGGCATAACACGTCGGCGTGGTTTGGGCTCTTTGATGCTGCGGCGTGGTCCGAGCCATTGCAGGACGGTCCGAGGCTCTTCCAGGTTGTTTCCAGCTTGCTACCTGAATAGGCAGGCTGGAAGCGAGGGCGAGCCGTTCAATTGGCCGGTTGGAGATGGATACAGTGTCCACTACCGTGCATGAAAATAGGCCGACGAGTTTCAAAAATCTCCAACGTTTCGCGCACACTGTGTTGTGTGTGTCTTCCAAGTACATAGTAATTCGTTTGTTGAAGTCCTTGGGAATACCTGGAAATTGTGTAGAACACGAGTACACCACACGTAACGATGTAGGGAATATGCCTGAACTACACCATAAGATGGGATCGTCTCACTCTCGCTCACCCACTCTCTCTCTTTGCCTCTCTCGCAAGTGCCTGTTTTCACTTTTGAATCTTTACTCGGGGTTATCTTGGGATACCTACTCTTACATCTAAAGAAAGTCGCATAATGAACAAGCATTCTTCGAATGCTCTGGAGAAAAGCATACTACATGTATTATCTACAGAACACCATGTCGATGCATTAAACCCCAATCTTGATTTAATGTGGAATGGGTGCATCCGCGGCTTTGGGGGCATCCCGCCTTTGGAAACCCCCTCTCACCCCCAGACGGGAGCTGAGTCGATCAAACAGGCACAGACTGGTCGAACAGCCGCCTTCGGTGTGCCCAGGGGCGACTAAACAGGCCCAATCTCTACTTCGTAAATAACAACCAGTTGGATTGGATATGGGAGTATCAGACTCCAGCACACGTTGCATGCATGTTCGTTCAGACGATCGCCATCTCTGTGGCCTAACTGGCGCGACTAACGAGGCCTACTTGGTCTTGTCCAAACACCCATCTCAAGACATGGCGAGGCGATGGACTAGGCAGCTGCTGAAGGTGAAAGGTAGACACGTGCTAAGTTCGTATCTATGTGGCATTCGAGGCGATCTGACAAAAAACTGTCACCCCCATAATAATTATACCACCTATGAAGTGTGACAGTTTTTTATCAGACCGCCTCGGCATTGAAGCTGCATGGTTACGGCATGATCGGGAATGGAGAGGCAAGGCAAGAGGCTTGGAAAAGCTGACAAGCTGGAATGGATGGCGCACGGCCGGAGCGTGGCTTACAGTAGTGGCTGATGAACGTTTCTTGCTTGAAACGGCGAGGCATGCATGTACGGACGAATCCGAGGGCGAGCCACCGATAAGCGATAGATGTATGTCAAACTAGGCTCCAACGTTCACTGCTGCAAGGCAAATCTACAGAACGCACAGAGGGAGGGTATGTGTAAAAAGTATGGTAGTGGTATGGCTGTCTACGTAGTATGTGGAAATACTCGGTCTGTATGAAGCCAGAAGCGATGATTGTCCGTGTAAGATGATTGGTCGACAGTGGTCAGCGGGGAGTGGAGATCAATTAAAATTTTACGCGTTAGCGAGACGCGAACGTGTCGCGCTTACGACGCGTCTATGTAAAAAGCCGCTTTGAACGTCGTCACTCACCCTCCTCCCCGCGACCCCCTCTCGTTCGCTCAGCCGACCGTTCCGCCCTCTAGACTCTGGTGGCTTTCCTCTCGAGTATCACCAATGCATCCATAGAACGATAACTGGAGAGAGAGAGCGTGTCACAACTACGGTAATGGCACGCCTGACTTGTATTATTTCTATATAACTTGCGCGGCTTCATTGGCTGTGATGATTACGTATATGACTTTTCTAAGCATGTTGGCACACACACGCATACTAGAAAAATCCATGAAAACTGCGTGAGATTAGAATAGAAGACTGTTTAGAGTGTACTGCGTATAGGTAGGCAATAAATCCAATACGTTTAGATTAGTAAGGGGGATCGATGACGTATCCGAACAGTCGCGAAGAATGCTTGGGACGGGAGATAGTACCAAGTCTCACAGCACTCTTCAGACCCGCCTGGAAATTGTTCAAGTTCCCTATGGCAATACCTAAGTCAGTCTGGTCAGACTCAGTCAAGAAGACAGAAGGCCAGGGCTGTTAGGGGAAATGATAGGTGACAAGTAACGAAACACATCTTCATCGGGGGGATTTCCTGATACGATGATGAAATGCAGAGCAGATCATTGTATGTACATCGAGATCTGGACAACCCCTAGTGTAGAAGCCCACTCCTCCCTCACACAATCAATCCTTCTGCCCTCCTCTCTGCCTCCTCCCTCTCTAACAAAGACTGTCTTATGATGCCATAGGTAGCGGGAGGGATGGGGACGAAAGAGGGATGGTTGAAAAAAATAGATTGGTTACCTGGTCATCGGCCAGATCGAGAGTGAGAAAGATAGAGAGAGAGAGAAAGTCATCGAGAGAAAAACAATCCACACACAGATGTGGGTAGCTAGCTAGTATGATTCTGACGTTTACATGTAAAGGCTGCCCAGATATTACCCAGACTCCTGCATCTACACCTACACATGAGTAAGTAGGAAATGCGTCTGCTGAGGATGCGCAGTTGGTAGTACATGCATACATGCATACACATATACATACCTACATACATACGCATATACGTAAACACCTATCAACGTATACCCGCAGTGCCTAGGTAGGGTGATGTTGGTCGAGGTTGGTCTATCAATCAGCAATGGTGTACAGCAATGGTGTACGAAAGTGAAGGGCGGCCCTGCTGATCCTCCTCTTCTTTTCTCGCGCGAGAGGGATGCCATCACATGGCGGCTCTCGAGGTTTCACTACCTATGCTGGCTGGCATATGTTCTGGTTTAGATTACGAGATTGCGACCTATTACCTATAGGTTCCTAACTAGACACGTCGCAAGTTGTCGAGGTAAAGAGGTCTCTGCCTCCAGAACTGCCGCCTTATTGCGCCCTTCTCGATCCCTTTCCTATCTAGATTTGGGTCACCAGGGAAAGGCGGCGTCAGGCGCGGCAAACCCGCCGAGGTGAAGGCTGCCCTGGTCTGGGCTAGCTAAGGGAGGAACCGGTAGTATTGGAATGAAAAGAGCAAACTAAGCTGACCATACTGCGTCAACTTGCGGCACTGATGGGTCATGGGGGCCATGAGGATGAGGGGGCCCAGAAGGTGATTAAGTGGTTGCAGCTTTCTCACTTCTCTCTCCCAGACTCTGAGGTCCTCTCTTCTAGGTACCTACTCTTATGTACCTAGGAAGTAGGCACCTTACTTAGTAGGCAGGCAATGTACAGGCGTCTTACTACGCTACAGATGACTGCTAGAGAAGCTACAGTGGGCTGTAAAAGGCGCTACAGTAACTACCTACATATGTACTTAGGTACTTGCTGCACACACCCCTGCCCCTGTCAGAGCAATACCCGCCGGTATTATAGTGCAGGTACCTGAGCATAACATGCTGAGGTGGTGTCTGAGCTTTTGCGACCTGTTGCTGATTGGCTCTACACCTGAGGTACCTACCGTACCAGAACCGTACCAGAACCGTACCTCTGCGCCATTCTCTTCCCCGTCGATCATGTGGCTCCGCTTTCTCGACAGGGAGTACCTAGGTACTTACAGTAGGTACCTACGTGAATGGTACCTAGCAGCGTACATACTTGGCGGTGGTGGTGGTGATGGTAGTGGTGTGGTAGGTACTTATAAGGCTTCAAGTGCACTGTACTCTACCTAGATTCTCTCAACTAGAAAAGGTACTTCTGTAGCTGCTCTAAGTACGAAGTAAGTATGCCAGGTACACGCAGTAAATAGGTGCCGTCCTCGTCAAGGCCTGTAGGTACAGTACCCTCCATCTGTACAGTAGATACATATATAGTAGTTGGGCACACTGCAATCCACTACCCTAGACCTAGTCCCTAGGTAGGTACTGTATACAAAGTATGTAACTGCTGTAGTGCTGGCTTTAGTGGGAAGCTCTAGTGCACACCCCACCCAAGGTATAGCCAGCAGTGCTCCCGCCCGTCGTCTTATTAGTGTACTTGATTCCTTCCTGCCCCGTCGCCTTTCCCTGGTCGCAACTCTTCTCAGTCTTCCCACCCACACCCTCTCACCCCGACCGCTTCTTGCCTCCCATCGTCGACGACGAGAACAAGCACTCGCCTCCGATTCAAATCTGCACAATACAACTGCAACCGACCTCTGTCCTCTCTTCGCCGCCGCTGCATGCTTCTGATCCCTGGAATTGCTCACTGCTGTCTATTGTGACCCGTGCTCGCGCATCGCCGCCAACACCGCTTGCCATAGACGCATTCCTGCGACAGTTTGCGCACTCGGTCGCATAAAGGGCGTCCCATCTGGCCTGCCCGTCCCTCATCCGCAAGGCATTCTTCCTCGATACACGATCTAGTGTGCCATATATAGATATATCATACCACCACACAGCGAGCGCATAGCGCACACGGCGCGCGCAAACTAGGACACCAAAAGAAGCCAGCTTCACCTCATCTCATCGCATCCCAGACAAACCATCATATCGTCTCAGCATGTTGATGCCTTCAGCGCTTTCGTCATGCGATCTATCGCGCCCACCCGTCACTCGCCTACAATCTTCGCTCTTCGCCTCGCCGCCCGCGAGTCCTCCAACCACCCCTCATACCACATTCGGCACCATTGTCCACTCGTGTCGCGCGCTTCAGTCAATGTTGAGAACACCACCACCCATGTCTGCGCAACCCCTTGAGCAACCACCATCCACCTTACCCACACCGCCCATGGGCCACGCGCCTTTCCCTCCTATCAAAATGCGCCTGCGACCACGCCCACAGAACGCAAATGGTAACGGGAACAACAACGGGAACGGCAACGCGAACGGCAACGCGAACGGCAACGCGAACGGCAACGCGAACGGCAACGCGAACGGCAACGCGAACGGCAACGCGAACGGCAACGCGAACCGAGACCAGCGCTTAAAGATCCGCAAGCGAACCCCGGCACCACCTCGCGGCCCCAACAAGCGACGTCGCGCAGTTGATGATGACATGGGCCGCGATGATGACATTGATAGCGATCTGGACATCAGCAACACCGACGTCGAGGAGCTAGGAGATGCACAACACACCACACCCACGCCTACAACACCGAAGCGGGCGCGTATCGCTCCCGCCGACATGCCACGGGGGCTTGAACGCTCAGACTTTCATGAATTGCACGAGCCTACGGAAGAGGAGACCAGGAAAGAAGGCACAGAGGTGGAAGAAGAGGAAGATGGCGAGAGATGGAGTCTCGAGGACGACCGCGTTCTTGTTGAATTGATTTTCGAGAAGCTCAAGCTCTCCAAATCAGAGTGGCAGGAGTGTGCGCGGCGTGTCGGCAAGAGCGAGAACGGGGTAGAGAGGAGGTGGAGGACTCTCACCAGGAACGGGGATATCGGCGTGAGGTCGAGAACCCGGCGAGGCAAGGTCCATGGTACCTGGGGGTGATGCCCAGGGATTCTGAGTGACTACAACCTTGAAGCAAATAAGTGTGTTTATCTCTGCTCTTTCATTCTATTTTTCGGCCCAGAGCGCTATTTTTTTGAGAGTTCTATTTGAGAGCGCTCTGGTGGTATACTGTTTGGAGTTTCGGTCTGGCGTTTGAAGATTTGGATACGGAGATGGATATGATACCGTGCCTATGGGCATTTGCTTTTACCTACCTTAGTTACAATTCAATTGAGTGAGTGAATAGATAACTATCACACATCACATGAATTTCAGTCTCATGGTTTACTGTGAATTATGATAGTCAACTTTCCATAACGCGATCTCCCAAGGCAGTGAGTTCACTCTACAGCGTTTCTGTGATTGTAAGTCATCGCATAACGCAGGAAGGGATCAATACATGTTCAACAACAGACAGGAACCATCCACGTCCCCAGCTCAGTGAGCGAGCCGGAGATCGCAAGCTAGAGCGGTCCCAAGACAAAGAGTTCTCCAAGACAACGATATTTGTCTACACTACCTACCTACCTACCTAGTGATAACGGGAAACCCTAGCCAAGACAAGTTGTCTACGCTACACCGAAAGAGGGCGTCGCTCTACGCTGTCCACGAAACTATCCATCCCCGGGAATACGAAGCCAGAACTTGGGGGGGATGGTGTAGACTACTACCAGGCGCGCTACCCTACTTGGAGCGAGTTCAAGGGATCAAGGGGACCTGCTTATCCTGATGCAGTCAGGCTCAGGGTCCTCTAAGCGCGGGATTTTCCTACTTGCCTACTTACGTGTACAGCCAGCACACCTAGTTAAATCCACTATATGCACATGTAGCTAGCTCACCGACTTATCGTCGACAATTCTATCTTTTGCATCTACTTCTTTGCTATCTGCTACCTATTCCATGTGTAAGTGCGCTACCTACACCACGTCTCAAACACTCCTAGATAGATAGATTGATAATCGCAAGGAAGGCAGTGAGGAGGAAGAGGGAGGCTGGAAATTGTCTTGGAATTTCACTCAGGCCGGGGATCACGGGACACCCGACTAGCGGCCTGCACATCATCTCGCAGGGCCCTACTTCGGTATATAGATCTTAAACGGGTTCCAGAAATGGTGCCAAACTGAGATGCCTGATAAAACTAATTCTACCTTACGAACCTGTCTCAAAACTTGCCCTTTTGCTTGTTCTTCTTTCTTCCTGTATATGTCCGTATGGCTGAGATACAGACAGACACTGGTGGGCATACATACTACTTTAGATACTTCCAAGATAATGAATGAAATTTTGAGCGAGAGCAAGAGTGCGCCAGAGTGCAATCTAGGTAGGTATTCGAACACTCAGCCGGATCCCAGCCTTCATAGCTGTTAACTATACCTACACCACCAATACGCTGGGTAATGCTTATCTTCCAGTTCAAGACAGCGCATATGTATAGCATTAAGTGTAAGAACCTGAAGAGGCTTTGCTTGCACCTCTAGGCTATGGAGAGACAGTCTCACCCGGGCGACCGGGTGAACAAGGTCAAGCCAGACAAAGAGCGACCGTCAGACTTACCATCCGACTACCTAACCTGTGTGGGATTCTCTGATCGACACTGTACGGGACACGAAGGATCCATGCGGCACTGTGCGGCTCGGAAGATGCCGATTGGCGGAACAGTCAGCACACAACGCAACTCTTGGTCTGTTATTGCTTCTGATATCGCCACTTCTGACCATGTATGTACTGCATACCTATATGTGAATAGGTAGTCATGTAAACAATCTTTCAGTAAGTAGTCAAGTAGGTAGGTAGTCATGCCTCATACATATACCTACCTATGATACCGGACATACCTACCAAGTACAGAGATGGGACGTATCACTTGGAATTTCCTAGGCAGAAACCCATACCAATGCCGAATAGCCGACAAGGAAATATGACAGATACGATGAAGACTGATCGATCGACGGGGACTGTTCCGTCATCGAGCTGACGGCAGCTACCTATTTCAAAAATGATATCTCGACACCACCTTTCCCAGCCTCCTGAATACAATGTAAACACACGCCACAGACAGAGCTGACGATGTTTGTTGATCGTGGCAACATAGCCGAGCGCACGGCCTCTGCATACCAGCGGATCAAGGCATACTTTTCGAAACATAAATCAGGCTATGATGCTGGCTGACGTGCGCAATGCCACGACGTTGGCAGTTAGTTTTGTTTACAGGTGCATGCTGCTGCTAACGGGGAAGTTCTGTGCGTCCTCGTGTCGTATGCATCCACATAGAAGGGGTATACCTAAGGAAGTATGTATGCAGCAGGATGTATGTGTCCGGTGTTTGAAGTAACATAACTGCACAATATATCGCTCTCCGAGGGGTTTCTCTTGACTATGGCGCAGAAATAGCCGGACAAATAACAGAGGCGTGGCAGTGGACGAGTGGATGTCTCGCATACTGTCTTCTGTTCTACAGTAGATATGTTCTTGCTGTGATGGAAACAAACTATGATCAGTGAGGTGAAGTCTGCTATAATCTTACGGAGAGTATGCTCCTAGACAGAGGCCCGTCACCACTATCATGCTCACTGGTCAATGTCCATTCAGCTGACTTCGGCATTCTCGAGGTATTAGTCATGGCCTCACAAAGAATCGAAACATCCGGACGTGCAAGCTGCGTCTGTTCTCAGCTTTCAAAGTCTGATATCGATCTGAGATCCATGCGGCTTTCTCGTTCAAACCTAGTAATATACTAATGAAGGATATATAGAAGCAGGTCTCTTCAACTCCCCTCGTTACTCTTTCCGAACCCATCAAGTCCTTACGAACCCCATCCGCCTGAACAACTTCCATACCCCTCAGACTAGGTAGTAGGACGCCACGATTAAGTGTTTAAAGCACAGCAGTTTTACCATCTCCTCTAGTCCAACAATCATTCGACCACCAAAGCTGAATTTTGACATACCACCTGACTATCTTCCTATGACTACTGAGCCAGCTAGCCATATACATAGGCTACGTTCCGGCATAGTGGCCGCGATATCACAGTATCAGAGCCTAGCAAATGCCTGCCCCAATCAACAGTCTAAGAGTCACTCCAAAATTCCGGTATCATACACTGTCATTGCGCAATGAAGCTCATCATCCCCCCTTGCTCTATGTGTGTCGAGGTATTCGGAGGCAAACCGCTAACGTTGATAACTATGTCGTGCCTACAATTTCGGGCCAGGAGGATGGCGTTATAAATGATTTGCCATGCCAGATTATGAAAAGACCGTGATCTCTCCAGAGAATACAGGTGTACACAAACGGGTGCATCAAAGTTCTTAAGACAGAGCTCGGCATATGTTTCCCAGAGTGATCAGGGAGTGGCATGCCAGTCTGGCTACTCATGCCATGGCCCTCGTGAATAAAAAATGACGCAGTAGCAGGATGATTCAGCCCATTGGCATCTACACTTCAAGTACGTACCTTATTCTCGCATCATGTAACAGTGTAGTTAGAAATGTCTTCATTATAGATAACCTATACAAATTTACCTTAATAATATCGGGTCCTGACAAAGACGCGGTGGATAAGGCTCAGGTTTCCATATCCCGTTTAACTTCAACAAGTGCTCCATGATACGATGGGACATCTCTAGAGTTGAGAGAGTATACGCGCATTCAAGCTCACAAGCCGACAGACTCTACGTCACGTATGCCGCAGTAACTGGTCAGATCAGTACGAATGCCCGATCATGCGTTCGTCTATGGACGGTCCTCGGTACAGGAACTTCGGATTGTATCTAAGTACAATAATTACTAGCTAAAGCCCGAACTCATGTTATAAAACACGCTGCCCGTGAGTCGATATTGACTGGAGATAAGTGAGGTGATAAACAAGACTGTAAGTAAGGCTGAAGTTGAGACACTGTATGATGAGAGTGAACAGCGGAATAGCAACACCAATGAATGATGTTTCCACAACGCAACTTTGAGAGCATCACGGCTGGCTGTTCAATGCCAAAGGGATATATACAGATTGTGATAGCATGCTTACATAATCACCAGACAAAGAAACCTCGGAAGGGTCCCATACGTGAGGTGGTTAGAGCGTCGTACTAATATTATATCTTCACCGGTATAATGTCGGTAATGCGAAGGTCGTGAGTTCGACCCTCACTGGGATTAGAGGATTTTCCTGCTTGAAACCCATCAAAGGGAATTCTTTTGCATGTTTACTTTTCCCCTCTTGGTTTACCCTTTCTTGCAACCTAGCTAATTAGTTAAGTCTAGGATTCCTATATGATGTGTAATGATTATAATAACACAGTGAAACAGATAGAAGACAACCAGCCCCTATTTCTAGTATGCACATGACACCGTCTTGCTACCGCATACCTTACGCTTTTCTTTCTAGGGTCTATAATATTGAACTATCAGAGGACAACCATCATGTAAACGTGCAGTGGTGGCGCGGGCGACATTGCTGGTATGAGATTCGTCTATAGATAGCAACACCGCTAGCATTTTCTTTGGCTATACAAGAAATGACTTCCTAATGATCAAGATCGATTAGCTCCTACTGCCATCTTTTCGGTGCGTGTCGAGGGCCTGTTAGACAAAGATGGCGATCTCGCGATTCATGTGAGCACGCAACTTGGCAAGCCCGGTAGCCATTTCACCGTTGAAAGGAATATTGGGCATGATCCGACCCTGAGCTTTTTCTTTCATACTCTTGAAGAGGGGCCTCAAGCTCGAGGCCTCTATATGTTGACTATATATGGGAAAATATCCTTCCGGACTTGGTTCTTGAACTTTTCTGACCTTTAGAATCTGAAGAGACTGGAGATTACTGAGAGCAGGTTTCACCTTCACCAAGGAGGCTTACTCGCTTGGCAGACGACAGAGTTGAGGTTACAGCTAGCCTTCAAATGCATATAGTATGCCTCGGCCGTCTTTAAGAGTATGATGCCAGAGGGCGCGTTAGGCCAAGCTACTGGAGCACGGTGGATGATTGACCACCCCTACACCCGCACATTCCTCTGTTGTCCCTCAAGCTATCGAAGCTCCTTCACCGCAGCAGGAACAGTCAACGAGCAGCCAGTCTTTCTCCAGACCACACTATAAGCACATAAAAGGATACAGCATCATTGACGCATACTCGCACGTCTGAACCTCGCGATTCGCAACAGCTGTACTTGCGTAGCCATATTACCGAAAGCGCAAGTCAGACTTACAATTCTACACATAAATGATACAGAAGCTTTGCCTCCTGTCTGCGAACACAATTACTGGGCAGTTTGCGCAGCCAAAAACAAGCGGCAATGTTAGTTGGTATTAGCTAAGCTTGATATCTATATGCACCAACCTCAAAGATGGGTTTCTAACAGGCTCACCGTCCCTTTCTGAGAATTGTAGGGGGTGCACAAGCTATGAGGATGTCACCCCTCGAGACTAAGCAAGACCAAACTGCCTTTGAAAATTGAGTGTCTCAGAGATACTGTACAGCTTGCCATCAGCAGAGCGATTGATAAGAACAGCAGGACGTGCCTCAAGCTTATCCGAACGCAGTGCTACCCATTGAAGCACTAACCGATGATTAAAGCTACCCTTTCCAGTATTACTGCATGTAAGCCGGCCCATTGCGCATCTGGAAGAAGAAAAAGAATGTTGACTAAGTTTCGAGTATGAGAACCCAGATCAAGCAAGTTGATCGCTAGCATGCCAGCTTCTTGAATAATGTCTTAAAGAGATCTTGGGGTAAGAAAGGAGCCGTCATTGAACGCAAATGCGGACTAGCTGAGTCGTGGGTAGAACACCAGCGCGCACGCAGGAGAGAGAATGGATTAGTACGGTATGATAATCAGGGGAACCGAAGCGAAAGGCCATGCTCACCGCGATAAGACTGTGATCCATAGGTTCGGGCAGTTAGTAAGCTAGCGAATTACACTATGCAAGAATTGGAATGCTGGGAAGCAGATGATGACTTAGTAAAGTAAACCGTTACCCGGTTATGATGTACATACTAAAGTGTGTTGCGTTCATTCAGCGCAGGAGGCGTAGGTTTCCAAATCTAGTAATACCGCACGTTTGAGGACGGAAACAATCCTAAAGCCTCTGCTCAACGGGACCGCCCTTAAAAGAATGGGTTCATTCAGCTTCTTACCCATCAAGACCTCGTCCAAGCCTATCCGACCCATTCGTGGTCGAGACAAGCTTTTCCAAGCCCAGTGCTAAAGTCTTGGGTTCCTCTTAGAAAAGCTTGAAACTCATGCCTTGGGCTTACCAACCCGACAAACCGACCCATACCACTCACCTCATTGGAGCAACAGGGGCTCGATAGGCACCATAAAGCCGCGAACAAGGGTTATCATCAGCCCTAGATACTTACACGAATAAGTGATTCAATGGCGTAGCCAATCTAAGCAGCGTCTTAGCCGTAAACAGAAGGTGATATGATGGGAGATGGCACCATGGTCGATAGAGCGAGGAAAGCTACATATTTCCAGGCGAGCTTAAATGATAAGATGATGCAGTGGCTGCACTAGTTGAGCGGGTTTAACCAACTCGTCCCTTCGATTGGGATATGTGATCCAGGGGTACAGGGTGCCATCAATGCACTCCATGCTGACAGCATGACGCCGGTCGAGGTGATGGGTATAACGGTTGTCTGTAAGGCACATATAAATGGCGCGCTCAAATAATCTCGTTCTCTGGGGGTTTGTCCTCTTGAGTTTTATGCATATTAGCTTAAGGATTTCGGGATGTTGAGCAATTTGCTTCTTACAGCGCTCACTGCTGGGCTGGCCCTAGAGGCTGTAGCTAGTCCAGTCACTACCCCAAGGCGGCGTGAGATTCCATCGACTCACATTCTTCACGAGCGCCATGCTACTCACTGGGGTAATATGTGGACAAAAAGGACGAAAGTGCCGGCCAAGGCTGTTCTTCCTATGCGTATTGGGTTGAAACAATCCAACTTGGAGGCCGGCCATCAGAGGTTGATGGAGATGTAAGAGACACTCATACCATATGTGAGTATATGAGGCTCAATATTAACCTAGAGCACCAGTTCGAACCCCGAGTCCGCAGATTACGGAAAGCATATGAGCGCTGAGGAAGTGATCACCTTTTTTGCTCCAAATGAAAATAGCGTTGATGCTGTCCAAGATTGGCTTCAGAGCGAGGGCATTTCTCCCGACCGCATCACGCTGTCGGCGAATAAACAGGTAAACTCAACACAGATAGTCCCCTGATTAATGGTAAGTTGATTGATGCTAACACATGGCTACCACTTAGTGGGTGCAATTCGACGCGACAGCCGACGAGGTAGAAAACCTCCTGTTCGCGGACTTTTATGTATGGGAGCACTCTGACGGGAGCACTGACTTGTCTACGGACTCCTACCACGTTCCTTCAAAGATTCAAGAACACATCGACTACGTGACCCCAGGCACTAGGCTACGGTCGAGGCAGCACGCTGCTAAGGAGAAGAAGATGAAGCGCTCTGGTTTCAAGAACGACGTGCGACCTTTCATTACCAAGCTGCCGACATTCCCTGAGCCCAACTCAACTACATGTTCCATCTACGTAACTGCTGAATGCACTCGAGGTAGGCTTATGATTCCCCATCAATCCTCTATTCTGAATGTTAACCCAATTGTACAGCGCAGTATAACATACCAAAGGGATCGACCAAGTTTCCTGGAAACGAGCTTGGCATTTTTGAGAGCATAGACGACCATTATAGCAAGAAGGACCTGGACGTATTCTTCAAAACCCTCTACCCGTAGGTACAGAGAAACTAACATCCCTAAATCAGCAGCTGACTAGTCCCAGAGACTTGAACGTCCCGACAGGAACCTACCCGGAGGAGCGTCTGATAGACGGAGCGATTGGATCCATCGAGACACCCTCGCCGTTCCCCCTCGAGGTCGGTCTCGAGTCATCATTGGATTTCGACTCTGCTTGGCCTCTCATTTGGCCACAAGGAACGGTTCTGTACCAGACAGATGACGAATATTACGAGCACAATTATACTTTCAATGGCTTCTGGAACACTTTCTTGGACGCCATTGACGGGTCCTATTGTAACTACGCAGCCTTCGGCGAGAAGGGCAACTGTAATACGCCTGAGTGTCAGGATCCTCCGTACCCGGATAATAACCCCGGCGGATACACGGGCAAGCTCCAGTGCGGTGTATACAAGCCGACCAATGTCATTTCGATCTCGTACGGAGGTGGCGAGGCCGACTTGCCGGACTTCTATATGAAGCGTCAGTGCTCTGAGTGGCTAAAGTAAGTCAAATCATCAGATTTCTTGTGTCTATTGAATCCTAATCCCCACGTGATAATTCTCAGCAAGTAGTACTACGCTGAGGAGATCCAAATGTGTCGACACGTCACAGGCACTAAACAGACCTCTAACACACCACAGGCTCGCTCTCCAAGGCACCACAACAGTGATCTCATCCGGTGATTCCGGCGTAGGCGACAACGGCTTCTGCCCGACCAAAGCCGACGGCACCGAGGTATTCTACCCCGACTACGCCAGTTCGTGTCCCTACGTGCTATCAGTCGGCAGCACGGAGTGGAACCGGTTCACGAACAGCACGGCCGAGACGCCGTACGAGAAGCTAAAGGAGGTAGCGACGGCGCGGTTCCCGAGCGGCGGAGGCTTCAGCAACGTCTTCCCGCAGCCGTTGTACCAGGCGGCGCAGGTGAACACGTACGTGAACACAGTGGGCAGGACGCTGCCGTTCTCGAGCTACAGCCAGTTCCCGCGCGACGGGGATTTCTCGCACATCAGGCAGGGCGTGTACAACCGGCTCGGGCGAGCCTATCCGGATGTTGGGGCGGTGGGGGACCGGCAGCTTGTGCTTGGTGGCGGGGACTGGTATCTGATCGGTGGCACGTCGTTGTCGGCGCCGGTTTGGGGCGCGGTGTTGACGCTCGTCAACGAGGAACGCCTTAAAGCCAACAAGCCAACGCTAGGCTTCGTGAACCCCATCTTGTATGCTCATCCCGAAGTCTTTAATGATGTCACGGAGGGTAGCAACCCCGGGTGTGACACGGTGGGCTTCAAGGCTTCGAAAGGATGGGATCCGGTTACTGGACTAGGTTCTCCCAACTTTGCGAAGCTATCGAAGCTCTTGACTGGCATCTAGATAGCACGATGACTAGATATTTTATCTAGACATAAGATCTTTATCATTTTGTTGCACGCCTTCCAACGATGAGCAGCATTAATGGAGGCGTTGGAATGTGTCGGAAAGAGAGAAAAAGGAGGTTACCAGTATCTGTAGAACTAATGTGTCAAAGTGGTAAATTTCACGCACGAAATAATCTCTAGAGGCGTGTACCGCGTAGCGCCTAGCCCCAAAATCCAACAGTAATGACCAAAAGCGATCCTAGTTCAATCTCAAGTGTCTTCGTCAGTTGTGATGATATACCGGTATGAGTGTTCACACTGATCCAGCATCTAAAGGGATCGCACACCTATTGGAGATGTTGCATTTAAAGCGGCATCGCAGTATCGAGGCTATGTACCTACTCCGTACCTTAAGTATGTACCTATGTAGTCAACCGAAGAGTCAAGATTCGGAGATTAGATGGGCCCTTATGATAAAACATGGCACGCCCCTCACCGCTGCTTCACGTGTTTTTTTTATTATTATTTTTTCTTGATCGACGTCTAGGTAGCCCACCGCCAGCGAAACAGGGACAGCCATAGGTAGATACAGCGATAACCCTGCCTGTCATGATAGTGTAGGTACCGGGTATATGTACCTATCTAGCTTATCAGACCAATCAACCAAACCAAACGGAACGGCATCGACAAAGGAAACCCCCCTGGTCTCCGTACCTACCCTGGTACACATCCATCCAGTCATCTACCTCACACTACCCTTTTTTTCATACCTAGTTATCTTATTTATTTTTTTATCTTTATCTTCTCTTCTCTCACTCCTTCTATCTACGCGCTTCTCCACGAGCCCGCCGTCTACTTAGCTCCTCTTCTCGCTCTCGCCAGCTACGTGCTATCGCGCTTCCAAGTTACACATTGCCGCTACTCCTCGGCCCATTCCTGCGACAGCCGAAAGGAGAAGCAAGGAGCCATTTCCGTACAACCAACGAAACAAACATACCACACCCACTACACGATTATCCCAGATCGCGAAAGAAAAGAACAGTAACACAATGACGATCGACGTAGACTCTAGATGGGTCATCAACGCTCTACAAGGTACGCTCATTTGCACTCTCATCTTCCCCGTCCTTCCATCCCGTCCATCCTGGCCACCTCCTGCACCAGATCCATAAAACAAAAATAAAATGGGCAAGAGCGACCTTCCGCACTCAATGGCGCTCTCGACGAAATCAGAAGATGCTAACACGCCATGCCCAACAACCAGACGTTCTCCCCGAGCAAACCCTCCAACTACTGCAAGACCACGTCCTACACCTTTCGAGCACCCTCCGCACCCTCTACTCCTACACGCTCCTGGTGCTCCAACGCGCAGCCTACGTTCTCCAGCCCGTCCTCGTGCCCCTCGGCGAGCGCGCGATGCGCGTATTACACGACTCTCCGGACATCGTATTCCTCGGCTTCATCCTCACACTACTCTTCATCGCCTTCCAAGTGCTCCTCTGGGTCCAGCGTACAATATCCTTCTTCACGCGCTTGGCATTCAAAGCCGTGCTCTGGATGTTATTAGGCCTAGCGCTGATGACGATATGGAACCGTGGTCCCGAGGCCGTGATCGGGGATCTCGTGATGATTTCCCAGCGGGCGGTGGTATATGCTGGCATGGTGAAGGATATCTGGGTTAGCGAATACCAGAAGTATGATGCGCAGGGACGTGGTAATGGAGGGAGTTCTTTTGGGGCGGGTGGGAGTGGGATGAGAAGTGCTGGGTTTAGTGGGAGGGGGAGATGAGAATTCATGAAGAATGGGGGAGGCATACCTTGGGAAAGAAGGAAACGAAACGAAAGGAGGATGCTTGATGTATTACGATTACGCATATGACACGATTAGCACCCATGTTTTTTTCAGCATTACCGAGATCATGAGCAGGCAAGCACGCGAGCATTATCATGAACTAAGCAGAACGAGCAAAATGCTCGTATTAGGAGTACCTGGTCTGCTTTTGGACACGACAATCTAGTTTGAATGAAAATTCCGATTCTAGTATTCATGGTTTTGGTATCAAATTACTACGACAATGAACTATCAATCATCAATCCCCAGAAAAACGCCAATGCTATGCATATAAGCAACACAATTCCAAACCTCTCGATATCCCTCCATCGACATCATTCTCCAGCCAGGTAAATAAATGTCCGCTCACTCTTCCACCTCCTCAAACTCCTCATCCTTCAACTCCTTAGGCTCCTGCGCCTCATGATACTGTATACAATCGTCGATATAACTCAGGATCGCGCCAACGCTATCCTCATCCTGGACATCAAGCTTCAGATAGCTAATCATGCTAAAGCTCTCAATCAGATCCGCGACAGCCTTATTCAGCCTCCTGAACCCCGTGCCGCGCATAAGCGTATCTTTATCCTGGAGATCAGCGCTGGCATCTTCCTCGGCCTCGTCCAGCGAATTCTTGCCCTCGGCAGCTCGTCTCGCGACTTCAGCAGGATCATCCTCTAACAGCGCACTATCCGGGTTAATAAACCTCTTCAAATCCTTCTTGCGGACCTGATCTTTGACGAGGTCCATTTTCGACAGGATATTGATATGCGGGACTTCGAGCATGATCATGGCGGACATGGCGCTCAGGGTTCCCGCGAAGAATTTCGCGCGGTCCACGACGAAGGTCGCTTCGAGGAGATAGGCCGCGCAGAGCCGGATGTCGAGGGATCCGGTGCGCGTGAGAAAGCGCACGAGGGCGGGCAAGATGGGCACGTGCGTGTATAGCTCGATTTGGCCAGGCATGTCGAAGATGATGAGGTATTCCTCCGTGAGCGAGTCGAGTGCGTCGGTGAGGAAGTCGAGGTTCTCCATGAGGAACTCGAAGCAGTAGATCAGGCCGCCGTTGGGGCCGAGCCCCATTTCCTCCATTACGTCCTCGAGAGAGATGAGGTCCTTGATGTCGAGGTCGGGGGAATGCTCGAATGTCTCGGCTGCTGGGTCGAGGTTTACGTAGAAGGCTGAGCGTCGGTTGAGCTGGAGGTGTGTGATGAGGGAGGCGCAAAAGGTTGACTGCATGAATCGCCAGGAACGGTAAGTCAGTCTTCAGGCTATATAGCTATGTGTGCGATGCTGTCGGCGACAGCGATTGTGATGATAACGGCGGTAGTGGTATAACAGAGATGTCACAAACCTTCCCCGCGCCCGCTGGGCCCATGACCATAACGCCAAATTTACTCATGGTGACAGATTATCGAAGCTACTCGTGATGGATTCAATTCAAGGTAGACCAGGCCAACCTTATCTTTTTTACTGTACTTTTAAGTGACGGAGTACATTCCAATGCCGTGGAGCTAAGCCGCGATCACGTACGCTCGAGGTGCCCTATCTACTATATGTCCCCTCCCTGTTCTCACTGAGATGTGCCCGTATTCGCAGTTGATTCTTCGGAAGGGCTCGAAGGTCTCGTGCAAACCGAATGTCTTATGTAGTGTGCCAAGTAAATTCAGAGGCAGCGGATTTGAGTCGGAAATGGAATGTGTGTCGTTTGCTCAGCCGTGCGATGCTGTCATGTCAAGCCTCATGTCGACTGGAAGGTCAACTTTTTTTTGGAGGGGTAAACCAGAGGGTTCCACCGCAGGTGCTTTATCTAGTGGGGCTGGGCCGGATAATGCAGGTAGGCCATCATCCTCGTCATCTTCCTACGCTGTCTCATGTTCAATTGTATTTGCTTGGTATCTTTCATTGCAACGGGTAGACATCTTGAAACATGCCTGATTATATATATACCGGTATATATATATATATATATGTGCTTTATGAGGTGATCTCGACAATAATCCGGAATACCATGCGGTGTTATAGTGACCCCGCTACAACCTTGAAATGTGTTCACTATCATCCGCCCCGTCATCTGCATCTGCCAGCTCTGCCTGCCGAAGCCTTTCCTCGTCCAACACATCTCGGTGCAGCAAAGGAGCTGCCGTACCCCTCTTCGTCAAAGGTACCTCATGTACTGTAGTAAGCATTGGCACGAAAGACCTGGCCAGGCTGGAGCAGGGTACAGTCAGATACCTACCAGTAGTCAGAGCCAGAATCAGATGGATAGATAGATAGCCATCCTCCATCTTGGTCATAACAGCGTACCTCACTACCTATATACAGAAGTACGTATATCGTGGTAGATCACGGCAGATCATAGAATCAGCGGTGGTGCCAACGACGTCAGTCCCCGATCATGGAGATAACGAGGGGACACAGAGATAACTCTCTTGCACAAACCATGATACCCGAGACTGAATCCCACAAAGTCTCTGGGCATCCGCGCTCCGATCGCAGCTCTGTCAGCTTGTTTCAGTAAAACATTGTCGACATGCCGAGATGTTCTCAAGTATTCTCTGATATTCTCCGAAATCGCCGAAAGGCAACCGCCAACATGGTCTGAGGAACAGGGGGACCTATCAGAAACGCGCCGCCGAAACTGACGGGCCGGCGAATATTCCCCGACTCCGAATCGTCAGCTGTGGCCCTGTCCTGTCCTGTGGGCTGACTACAGTAGGAATCCTACAGGTAGGGATCCTTCTTTTTTTCTTCACAAATTGAGGAGAGGCTGGGAAATATCCCCTACTTTTAAAAGGACACGTACAGTACAGCAGTTCTCGTGCAACTTGATTACTTACCTAGGTAGTCGAGGTACCTATGTAGACTCACTACATACCTACATAGTAGATCTTGCAAGGAGGGGCAGAGAGGGCCGAGGGCCTGGCCTGTCTTGTGTTCGTAGACCGGCCGGCAAATGATCAACGTTGTGGCCCCTACGGCTAGCGGATAGGATGGATATGATCAGCCCAAATACACATGGTACTATCAAGTCATAGCGTTGGTAGGCGTCCAGATAGGGTCATTTCCGTACCAATTGCACCTTGGAAAAACAAGTGCCGTATTACTGTAAGGAATTTGGCGTGTTTTTCGTTATCCACGCCGGCCGGTCTGATAGTGGACATAAGTACATCCGTACAGTATGCTGTCATCAAGAAAGCCACATACTAACAGTAGGTAGGTAGACTCACAGTCAGAAATACCGTAGTGGCTATTCCGAAGGCTCCTGTCTCAGCCTACAGGTACCTTCAATCCAACCAGCTAGTACCGAATGTAAGAAGAGGGGCACAATCAAAGAAACAATTGTCGCGAGATCTCAAGACGGCGACCTACGATTCATTCTCTATACTAGTAGCGCCAGTAGAGTTATCTCCATGGTAGCACATGGGAGGACCGGGAGGATCAAAGAGATGATGCCTTTCTTTGCTAGCCCTTACACTAGATAGATACATTAGCCATTAGCCGCCAGGAACACAAAGAGATATAGTGGCACCGAAGGGGTCCCCTAGGTACTATTGCCCCTACCCTGCCCTACCTGTTGAGCTGCTGTACACTGACTTGGTGCACTAACAGACCTAGAAAGACTTACTTACTTACTCAGCGGTGTGCGGTGTGGATAGAGTGTGGGCCAGCGGCAGCGGGCTATTGCGCCATTTGGATGGAGGGGCACATCACCCCCACCCGTACCGCAGATACACCATTACCGAATCCCTCAACGAAACCCTCACAGGCCTTCACAGAGGCCTTCACAACGCCCAACAGCCCCAGAAATAGAGCCAGAGCCAGAGCCAGAGCTAGAGGTGGTCGGCCGGTAACAAAGCGAGCGGCAGCCGGGGACGGGTACAGTACACATCCTTCTCCCTCTCTCCCTCCTCTCTCTGAGTACATACATACATAGAGAAGAAAAGGTACATACTTTGATACTATAACTCCCACCAGGTAACATGTACATGTACCTAACGGTAGCCAAACCACGCCAAAGCAGAGAGACACCAACAGCAGAGAAAAAAGAACCCTGCCCCTCCATCCTGCATCTTCCACATCCCGTCCAGCTCTCTTTTCTCTTTCTTAGTCCACCGCTAAAGCATTGGCTATCCGATCTCGTCCTTTTAAAATCTTCCATCTCACTCTCCTCCCGCTTCTTTCTTTCCTCTCTCCCCTCCTCCATATCAATTCCTCTCTCTCCCACCACCACTACCACCGCGCTCTCTCCCTCTCTCATACATCCAGCCGTAGTCGTCTCTATACCCGTCCGGTAGTATTGTCTCGGGGTTTCCTTTTTCCTGTCTCTTCTTGATTGCACCTCCTTGGAACTCTTCTTCTTCTCGTCACAATGCCTGCCACCAACGGCACTACCAGCCACTTCAGCCAGCCCAAGAATGCCGGCGCTTTTCTCTTCACCGTGAGTTAGCAATGCGCCAATTCCCTCCAGCCTATCCATGGGGGCCGCTCTCTTCGTCTATCTGCGTCTTTGCCGGCAACTAACATCGCACTTTCAGTCCGAATCCGTCGGTGAGGGTCACCCCGATAAGATTTGCGACCAGGTCTCAGATGCTATCCTCGATGCCTGTCTAAAGGAGGACCCCCTCTCCAAGGTCGCTTGCGAGACCGCCACCAAGACCGGTATGATCATGGTCTTTGGTGAGATCACCACCAAGGCCCAGGTCGACTACCAGAAGGTCATCCGTGACGCCATCAAGGACATCGGCTACGACTCGTCTGACAAGGGCTTCGACTACAAGACCTGCAGTGTCTTGGTCGGCATTGAGCAACAGTCTCCCGACATTGCCCAGGGTCTTCACTACGAAAAGGCTCTCGAGGAGCTTGGTGCTGGTGACCAAGGTCTCATGTTCGGATATGCCACCGACGAGACCCCCGAGCTCCACCCCCTGTCCCACCTACTCGCCCACAAGCTGAACAAGGCCATGTCCGACGCCCGCCGCGACGGCACCTGCCCCTGGTTGCGACCCGACACCAAGACCCAGATCACCATGGAGTACAAGCACGATGGCGGTGCCGTCGTTCCTCTACGTGTCCACACCATTGTCATCTCGGCCCAGCACGGTCCCGAGATCAGCACCGAGCAACTCCGAAAGGAACTCAAGGCCAAGATCATTGACCCCGTCATTCCCAGCCAATACATCGACAGCGAGACCATCCTTCACGTAAGTTTTGAACATGGTTTTCTCCCCAAACTCCTCTCTGTTTTGAAATCCTAATAATGGCACAGTTGCAACCCTCTGGTCAATTCATCATTGGTGGTCCTCAGGGTGACGCTGGTGTCACTGGCCGCAAGATCATCGTCGACACATACGGTGGCTGGGGTGCCCACGGTGGTGGTGCCTTCTCCGGAAAGGATTTCAGCAAGGTCGACCGATCGGCTGCCTACCTCGCCCGATGGGTTGCCAAGTCTCTTGTCAACGCCAAGCTTGCCCGCCGAGCCCTGGTCCAGCTCAGTTACGCTATCGGTGTTGCTGAGCCTTGCTCCATCTACGTCGATTCATACGGCACCTCAAGCAAGACCTCTGAGGAGCTCGTCGAGATCGTCAAGGCCAACTTCGACATGCGACCCGGTTCGATCGCCAAGCAGCTCGACCTCATCCAGCCCCTGTACAACCAGACAGCCAAGTTTGGTCACTTCGGTACCAACCAGAGCTTCACCTGGGAACAACCCAAGGAGCTCAAGTTCTAAATGTTTTTTCTTTTATCCATTTGTATAATGTCTTTTCCGTGAGGGACTTACTCTCGAGACATCGCGGGAGAATCAACTTCTTTCTGCATTGCGAACGGCGTTGTTGGGTTTAGAGACATATGATTCCCTCATCGGACAGTGTCACGAAAATTATGGGCTCGGCAGCATTGGCGTACGGTTTCAACATACCCGGTGGGTTCTTACTACACTACTGCTACCACCACTTCTACAACTATTTAGGCGGCGGATCTAGATATCTAGCATTTGCATAGAGATTTCAACATAATGCGGGAAACGTGTGAAATGGGAAAATATGGTCCTCTTCATCATCCATACCATAGGGACAAACAAACAAAGAAACAATGAAGATACCGCAGGGCACCCGGTTCAAAGTTAGCCGAGGTGTCATTCAACGCCTATTATTTTTGCCGAATGTCCATCAGCTTGATGCATTTTTGAGTATCATGCTCAGCGTGAATCAATTGAAAGTAATTGACAATGTAGAATGTGGCCAAGACTTGTTCTTTTACCAGATATTCTATGTTATTATTCAGTAGAATATACGGAGTATACGCCTCTGCCTAACCCCGCGCTCCGCTGATCCTCCCCATTAGTTAATACCCTTGTATGTACGCTTAGCATCGGGAGCTTTCTCATTCGCATTTACATTTCTTCCTCTTTGCCAATACATTGATTGGATTTAATAGATAAGTAGAGTAGATTAAGTATAAGAAGCCAGCCAGCCCTTATATGTAGATATACGCCTAGGTGGGTAAGTGACCACTGATACTCTACTTCATGTGCGCAGTGTAAAGTCACTATGCAGTGCTGATTTAATAGTATACCTATATATATATAAATTGAACTGCGACAACTAAGCAATCTACTATCACATGCATCAGTGGTTTAGTGGTAAAATCCATCGTTGCCATCGATGGGCCCCGTGTTCGATTCACGGCTGATGCATTCTTTTTCCCCTTTTTTTTCCACTATCATTTCACATAACCCTTTATTCCCCCTTTTCCTCTTTTCCGTTCTCCTCTCAGGGCTTTCTTTCCTTATCGGTTTCGCCTTCATTATTTTTTTATTTTTATTTTTTTCATTTTCTATATATGTTATAATGTAATCATTCTATACAACGAGGCTGGAGTGTCGTTTTAAGTTCCAGGGGAAGGTTTAGGTTAACGACCGCAGTTAGAAAGGAAGTATTAATAGTACTTGAAATGAACACATATCAAGTTGACCTGACCCTTTCTGATCACTAATATTCTACTCGTATTACTTGATCCGTGTCTGCATACGGCAAGGAGGTCTTCCGGAAAGAGCGCGATGACGCCTTTTGAAATCCATATTCAGTGCCTCCCAGCGGTGCTCATCCACCATGCAGAGGCTCTTGTCTACGCAATCGAGAACCTCGTCTTCTCCCAATCCCCATGGTCACCTTCATCCATCAAACAAGTCCACCATACTCTGTACTCCGGCCGAGGTCAGCTTCCGACATCACCCAACATCAAGATTCCGTACAGCGTTGTCCCAGGCGAATATCGCACGCACGCGATCATTCACAACATCCTAGATGTGGCAAGCGGCAAGCAAAAGACGGTGCGACTCCTCAGCCCGGCAGCCATTGCCCCGTATATGGAACGATGGATAATCGGAGTGAACAGGGACATGGTGCGACTCCAACCATACACAGGCGCCCGGGTCGCGGGCGACCCGATGCTCATCCCTTTCGACCCCTACGAGTGCGCTGCAACGCACTTCTTCCACTTCGTCAGCATCAACCCCTTCGGCGACGTGAAGAAAGTCGGGCGCATCTCGCGCATTATCCTGAACTGCCTGGTGCTCTTGTTCGCGGGGCATCTCATGCCCATTGGGGACAGAAAGGGTGACGAGGAGCACTTCCTGCAGCTAGTGGACAAGGCTTCGTGGTGTTTCTATAAATCTGGGAAGTTTGACCGGGGAAGGGCTGAGGAGAATGAGGAGAACGAGGAGAAGAGAATGGTGTGTCGAGAATTGGCTCTGTTTATGCTCGCCAAGGCACCGCGCTTGCGGGATCCGGAGAGGTTCAAACAAGGTATAGGTTCGAGGGGGTCTATACATTGATTGATAAGGAGTAATTAGGTGGAAGAGAAGGCGCGGGGAGGACTATCCCTCGCACGTTCCCGCGCCTGTCTCTTGATTTTGTTTTAGACGATACCTATATTCTTAGCAGCGAAGAAGCACTACCTAAGTAGTGCAGAGGATACCCCGAAGGAGTGGAGGTAGTTGAATAGTCAGGTCTATTAGAAGGCAAGAGGCCCCCTTCAATATTGGGAAGGGCAGGAGTTAATAATATTGAGTCTTTCTCTTTACGTTCGAAGTATCTATTACCCAGGTGCTACCTAATTATGACCCATTTTCATTCTAAAGACACCTATCTCTGACACATATATACTTATCTGACGGCGTATCTGTTTTATCGCCGCTGCTAAACTATTAATCTCGATAATATAATTACTATTAAATTCTGAGCGAGACATAGATCCTTTGCTCCGAAAATGACGCTTCCATGGATAGATATGCCTGAGGGATTCTCGCCCGCTGATCTTCTTCCGGATTCTTCACCACCGAGGCTATTCGGGTTGAGAAGCGCGGCGCGCGAAAGATCAGGTATGGAGAGCTACTTGTGAAATCAATCCTACTCCCTACCTACACAATGAGCTAGTAAATTGAGAAACTTAGGTCAGCCATTAGACTTCTTAATTATATCATGGGGCGGAAGATGTAGAGTATTAGTACTTTAGCTAGTTCATGGTAATTCCCAGTCTACTATCTTGGGTGGGGGGGGCACGATAAAGCATACACTGCTGTAATAGAAGGGACTACAGTTTACTCATACGGGTACGAACTCAAACTCTTACGATACTACTACCTTTACCAGTAAAATTATATCCTTTGTTTAAAAAGCTAGTATTTAAATAAGCTTAAGTGTACCTAGTTTAGGAGTAAAGTTGAGACGATTTCATGAGGGGTCGTCATATACGTATATCCTAATCTGAGGAGGGGTATCTCGGAGGCTATTCGGGTCAGCTTAGGTAATTGTATATATATCTTAATAAGCAGTTTAGAAGATAACTAATAAGTGGGGTAAATGGATGAGTCATTTAGTTATCCAGTACGGAAGGAGAGTTATTTCAATAGGAATATAGAATATGGTCTTTTTAACCGCGGGGATAACCCGTTGTATATAGACCTAGCCGCTGCCCTAAAGGTGCCCTAAAGGTGCCCTAAAGGTGCCCTAAAGGGTGCCCTAAAGGGTTCCCTAAAGGGTTCCCTATCGAACCCATTGGAAGGTTCGAACCTATAACTTATACCTAGATAACTAATACCCTGCAGGTAAATTACCTAATTAGGTATTAGGTAAACAACCTGACTAACATCCCCCCTTAATTTTATAAGCTAAATATAGCTTATAGAATTAGCAATCTAGTTTTAAGAAAAATAGATAAAACCTGTTAAATTAATAAATAAATAAAGAATTTTAAGGGAAAAGTGAAAAAACCCTTTATATATATATATATAAGGTAGTAAATACCTTAAGGTAAGAAAAAAAGCATAATAGTTAATATATAAAAACCTCGTTTATTAATTATTATTAGTTATTTAAACTTATAACGCACGATTATAATAAATATAAATGAATATATTTAATAAAAAAACTATACATTATATAGAAAAAAGTTATCTTATTTAAAAAAACTATATAATAGATAAAAAATTACGTTAAAAGTAAACCTTTATATATAAGGAAAAAGCTTTTACATATATATACCCGTTAATGCCTTAAAAGTATTAAACCCTGGTTTAGCTAATATTTTAATTAAAAAATTAGCTAAATTATCTTTAAAGGGGGTATATATTAATTAAACTTATTTATTATTTACCGCATCTTTTAAAAAGTAATAAATAATAAAAATATACTTAGATTTTTTATAAAATTTTTAATTTTTAGCTAACTTAATAGCGGATTAATTATTTATTAATATAATAGGAATATTATCTTTATAATTAAACTAAAGGTTAACGTTTAGGAATATAGTTATATTAAATAAATAAATAACTTCCTTAATCGCTTTTTTTAAAGCTATATATTTTACCTTATACGTGCTTAAAGTAATAGTTCTTTATAATTATAAAGCTTAGCTAATTATATTATTGTTATTTAAATTACCCAAATAGGAAAAGGCATAACCATTTATGGATTTTTTAATATTAATTTTATTAGCTTAATTATTATTTATATAACCTTTAAGGGTTAAATTATTATTAGTATAGTTATATTTAATATTAACTTCTTTATATTTTAATAAATAATATTATATATAGTTTAAAGCATTAAAATGCTTTATATTAGGGTTATTTATAAAATAAGAATAGTATATTATTATAAAAGTAATATTTATTCTAGTTTTTAAAGCTAGGTATAATAAATTACCTATTTGCTTTTAATAGTTATTAACATTTTTAAGGCTTATAGTTAAGTTATTTTTCTTAAACTTAAGTTTTAAAGTTTTAGATAGGTCCTTTAGCCTATATAAAGGGTTATTTATTATATTAAACTTATTTAATAGCTTTTCTATATAACGGTTCTAATTTATAAATAACTCTTTAGTATTATAATTTATATTAATATTATTTCTTAAAAAGGAAGATATTAGGCCGAAATTTTCCAGTTTTATAAATTTATTTAACTAGTTTTCGATTATTTCTACTTCTTTATATAACAGGGCTATTAAAAGCATATTATTTATATAATAAATTAAAGCGGTTTTTAACGCTTTATTTATAAACACCCTTTTATTTTAAAGTAATATAATAAATCCTATTTTATATAAATAGTTATATAGGAATTTATATTATAAACGAGGTAATTGTTTTAAACTATATAAGGCTTTATTTAAAAGCCCTACTTTATTATTAGCTTTTTCTTTATTAAAAAAGCCTTAAAGTAATTTAATATATATTTTAACGTTAATTCTAGCATAGTAGAATGCGTTTTTAACGTTATATTATATAACTATATAGCCTTTATTTACTACTATTATTAATAGCAAATGCTAGGATTTTAGGCGATAGGTCGTTGAAAAGGTTTTTAAGAAATTAATACCTAGTTTTTAATTAAAGCCTTAAATATAATATTAAGCTTTAAATTAAATATTTTTATTTTTATTTAATATATATTTATCCTTTATTAAATTAGGATTATTTATTACCTTTTTCTTATAAACCTAATAGTTTGGAAGTGCTTTTTTACCCTTAGGTAAATTAATTATACTAAAGATTCCTTGATTTTGAAGTTCTTTTATTTCTGTTAAAGAAGTTAAATACCACTCCTTTTTATTATTAGATTCTATAGCTTCTTTCCAATTTTTTGGTTTAGCTATAGCTATAGTTAATATAAAATTCCTTATTTCTTTATTATCTTTTTGATTTTTAGTATTATTTAATACTATTATAAAATCTGATAATAAAGTATCTTTTATATTATATAAATTATTAATATTAATTACTATAGTATTATAGATTTCTTCTTCTTCTTCGTAAGGGTTTTTAAGAATAATAGGTTTATTAGCGTTATTTTTATCTTTATTTTCTTGTTCTTCCTTTTTTTAATTTATCTTTTTTATATTTTTTTTATAAAATAAATTAAATAGCTTAATATTCTTCGAATTAATAAGATACATATTTTCTAATATATAAATATCTTTAACCTATTTAAATCTTTTTAATAAAATATTATATACTTTATATATATTACTTTTATATAGTTAAGAAAGATATATAGCTTTATTACCTTTTAAAAATAATTTATTCTTTTTCTTATTATTATTATAATAATATAAAGAACTAAAGGCTTTTAAATTCCTTATATTAAATGCTTTTCCATTATAAGCTTTATAAGGGGTTTTTAACTTTAAAGCTATATAAGGAATAATATTATATAAATAAATAGCTTATAATAAAGCTTCCCCTTAAAGATAAAAAGGGAAATTTACTGTATATAATAATGATTTAACCTTATTTAATAAAGTTAGGTTTATTCTTTCGATAAGACCATTATATTCTTTATTATACGGAATGCTTTTAAAGTATTTTATCCTATATTGTTTAAAATAGATTATAAAGCGGTTATTTATAAATTTACTACTGTTATTAAAAAAAAACTCCTTTATTTTTTTACTATTATTCATGCTATTTTCTATTTATTCTTTATATTTTTTAAAAGTAAGGAATATTAAATCCTTATCTTTTAATAGCTTAACTTTTAAATATTGAGTTTTCTTATTAATAAAGGTTATATAATAGCAATATTTATTATAGGTTAATAGGAAAGGTTTACCTAAATTGCTATATATCCATTTTAACTTTATATATTGATTTTCGTTATTAGATTTCTTATAAATCTTTTTCCACATTTTAGCTTAAAGGCAGGTTTTATATTTAGTTAAACGAACTTCTTTTATAGCTTTATATAGTATTTGTATCTTTGAATTCTTTAATAAGTGTGATAAAGGCTTTTCATTTATATGGCCTAAACGAACGTGCCATTTATAAAACTTGTTATTAAATAAAGGAGTTTTTACCGGTTAAATATTTACTCTTTCTCCTAGCTTTATAGGGTTATTTTGAATAATCTTATCAGCTGTATTGGTAGCCTTTTCTGTTGAATTAACTGTTTTAGTAAACGTAACGCATCTCCCACTTAACCTGGCCACCTAATTGACCTAGCCATATTTTTGACCTTTGTACACGCATTTAAAAATATTTTAATAACTATTTATACGATTAACTTAAATTAATTTAAATTTAAATTATTAGACGTTTTTATAATATTTTTGCAAGTTTATATATTATAGCCGGGTTTGCTATAAGCTTTATAATGCTAGGCATAAATCTCCTTCCTTTTTATATAACGATTACTTTAACGTATAACGCGATTTTTTACTTTAAGAATACCCTATACCTTTATTTAATCCTTAATATTTTTAATAATAAAAGATCCTCCATTTTATAATCTAATTCTTTTTGTACAGTAATGTTTATTAAGCTTATGATTTACTTTATAAAGGCTTTTAACCTTCCCCTTTAATAATATAAAACGATATATAATATTAGTTATATTATATATAATTTAATTTAACCTTTTAATAATAGATATAGGAAAGCTATTTTAATATTATATAATCCTTTATTTAATATATTTAAAAAGGGAATTAGCTTTGGTTAAGTTATTTAAAATTATAATTATACGAGGATTAAATAGTATTAAGGATAAAGGGTTAATTTAGGGTATAATTAAACGATTTAATTAATTAATAATATAGTTTAAATTATATAATATTAAACCTGCTTCTTTAAATCCCCTTTATATATTATTTAAAATAATTGCTTTATTAAACGTATAAAAAAATATAGTTATAAAATCTTCCTTTTAAATATAGGTAATATATATTTATATAAAGCTTTTAATTTGCTTTTTATACAATTGTTTTAAAGGGTTAAATATTTTAATATTAAATAGTTAAAAGTAATAAAAGGAATAGGGAAGTATATAAAGGGTAATAATATTATTTTCTTTATAATATAATTCGAATTTATATAAATAATAGCTTTTATAGCTATTAAAAAGGAAAAGGCAATAATATCTTTTTATATAAAGCTTTATATATTTATTAAAATGCTTAATTTAATTTATAGTTTATTTATTTATTGTTTAATTATTTTTTATAATTATAATTTTTTAATTATTTAATATATTGTTATTTTCGTATTAAAGTATAAGGTAGTTTTTCCTTATTAAAATAATATATAGTGGGATAATTTAATTATATAATGAAATTGCTTAAATAATTGTAAACCATTTTAAATTGTTTAATTAAATAGCTTATAGTTTTCGTTTACGTTTAGCTAAAGTTATAATTATTTTAAATATAATTTTACTTATTATAAACCTGGTTTTATTAAAGTTATAAATATCTTTTTTTTAAATATTATTTTTATTTATTGTTTTTTATATAAAGATAAACTAAATGTAGTATTTAATTGGATTTTTGTTTAATACCCGTTAATAATTAATTCTTTAATTAAAATATATTTAAATGTTTAAAATTTATTATATAAAGTTTAATGTCCAGTTTTTTTTAATTAGCTTTTAACCCTATAATACTATTAATTAATTAGCTATATCTTTTATATAATTATATAAAGGCGGAAACGATTTTGCTATAAAATTAAGGATATATTATATAATTAATTTTTCTTTATCCGGAATTAATCGGGCTTTTAAAGGTGATATTTCGCTTATTGGTTTAAAACCTTTCGTTTAAAGGGTAAGTATTATACGAGGAACATTATAAATAGTAGTAGCGTATCGGATAAATAATTTTAGGTTTTGTTCGATAGTTTAGAGTATAAGCTATAGGTTGCTTTTTTTACGAAGGGTTTCTATAATTATTGTTGGAGAAATGAGGGATTTTTTTTATGTGCGTATAAAGGTTAAAAATGTGGCTAGGTCAATTGGGTGGCTAGGTCAAGTGGGAGATGCGTTATGTAATTTAATATAGAAAAGACCTTTATTCTCCTTTTCTTAAGTTAATAATTCGTTATTTTTTTTATCTATTATTTTAATTATTGGATTATCGATAATAGTAATGGTATAATTAAATCTTTTTACATTTATTAGATTTATTTTTAATTAGGGAATATAATAAACCTTGTAAAATTTAAAAGATTTTCCAATATTTTAAAAACGACCTTTTAATTTACCTATTCCAATTATACGTATAATTTTAGCTTCTTCCCACTTAATAAACCTATTAATTAGTTTATAATTATAAAGAATATCCTTATTATAAGTTATATAAATTATAGTAGCATTATTTATTCTAAACGGAATTATTTTATTATAAAAATTCGATTTTTTATAGGTTTTTAAGTTTTTATTTAATTTTCTATTGGTTTTTCTTTTAATTACATTAATAAATCAATTGTTAAAGTAAATATCCTTATTAGTTCCTTTATTTAAATTATTTATTTTAAGGTTATTAATTATAAAATTTATAAAGGGCATAGGGGGGTTATTTACCTTTATATTCCCTTTTTTTTTATTTTTATAATCTAGTTTACCTATTGGAGTTTTAACCTAAGGGTTAAAGTTAATATCCTTAGTAGTTATATTTTTATTATTAGATGTATTGTTTAAGTTTATAAGGTTTTCGGTTTGGTTGACTTTTTTAGAATTTTTTAATTTTTTTAACTATTTATTCTGCTTTTTTAACGCAGCAATTAGGGCTAACTACTTTTATTTACGTTTTTCCCATTTAAGCTTAATATTATCCTTTTTTTTTTTTATCTTTTATTTATTTTTCCAAATTTTTAATGCTTTATTTAGGTATAAAAAATAGCATTCCTTTTTAATATAACCTTTATGCTTATAATGTAAATATTGCTTATTTTTATTCGCTTTTCCAGCGTTTTTAGCCTTATTTATTGTATTTATAGCCTTATTATTATAATTCTTTAATTTAAATGTATTAATTAATACCAAGAAGAATATATTAAGGGTATAGGCATTAGGGTCCTTTTGTAGGTTTTAAATAATATTATTAACTAATCCTTTATAGTTACTATTTAAATAATATAATACCTAGGATATTATTACCTTTTTAAATAATTTAATACCCTTTTAGTTTAAGTTATTATTTAATTCTTTAACTTTATTTAAATATACTTTTATAAAAGTAAAGTAAAATAAAGAAGTATTAAATAGTTCTTTAAAGGTAAGGAATTTAATTATAAAGCCTTTTAAGTTATAAAGATTTTTTAGCTTATCTTATACTTCAATTGGGTTATTAATATTATATAAATATATAAAAGGGGCATCCTCATATAGTAGTTAAATAATATTAAGTGCTTTTTCTCTTTTATATAGGCTAGTATTCCTATCTATAATAATAAAGTAGTAGTTATTCTTTTTTAAGGTTACCTTTACTTTTATTCTTTAAATAGGGTAATTAATAGAGCCCGTAAGCTTTGTTACTTTATAAGTATTTAATTAAAATATATTTATCCTTATATAATATATAGTACGTTTAGATATTTAGGTTTATAGGGGTAAGGGGGTAGGAAAGTGTAGCTTTTTTATAGAGAAAGTAAAGGTTTTACGATCTTGATCGAAAACGTTTCGGTTATGGCTTAATTGATTTGATTGTGGCTTAGTTGACTTGATAGGGGTTGCAAAAGGTGGCTTAGGGGTTTTGAAAGGGTAGTTCAAAAGGGTTAAAAGGGGTTTTCGTTTCCGGTAAATATATATACAATTATACCAGGCTTATAACCTATCGGAAGTTATTTGGGTTAGCTTAAGTAATTGTATATATATCTTAATAAGCAGTTTAGAAGATGACTAATAAGTGGGGTAAATAGATAAGTTATTTAATTATCCAATATGGAAGGAGAGTTATCTTAATAGGAATATAAAATATAGTCTTCCTAACCGTAGGGATAACCTGTTGTATATAGACCTAGCTGCTGCCCTGAAGGTGCCCTGAAGGGTTCCCTATCGAACCCATTGGAAGGTTCGAACCTATGACTCATACCCAGATGACTAATACCCTGCAGGTGAATTACCTAATTAGGTATTAGGTAAACAACCTGACTGACAGGGTATTGCGTTATTATATTATATGGAAGTGAGTCAGTAGCACATCTAGTTATGGTCAGTAGAGTCTGTTCAGATAACCTGAGGTCTGAGTTCTATGAAGGTTACCCTTTAAACTCACCAGTCTACAGGTTCCAGTTCTTTCAAATTGTCTTTACGTTTTAAGGTTGATAACTGCTAGCTCAGGAACTTTAATAACAGTCGAGAGCAAATGATTATATGCACGTTGATACAAGTGGAACTCTATCAGACTGACATTCCGAAGGCTCTATTAGCTGATAGCACAAGCTCCCGGTCCGAACGCTGGCTATTAGCTAGAAGCGGAATATGACTAATATTAGTAGCAACTCCAAGGTTTTTCGCAAGGTATGACTCTATACTATTCCCTGAATTTATAATTATCCGTCTTAAAAGCTCAAACTCTAACAAAGACATGTACAATCCCACACCCCCTAACAAGGCGACATCGCCGCCGCCTTCGCCGCATCCTTAGGAATAGCCCCGGCCTCAACAGCAGTCTTATAGCACCAGCGCCAATCGTTAAACTGGTTAATCCAATTACACTTCCAATTCCAATAGACCCATCCGCCGCTCCTCTCATATACCGAGACCTGCGCAGCGAAGAAGTCGGTGTAGAAGGGTATATTCTCCTTATGTCCCTGGATACCGAACTCGTCGCCGTTCTGCAGGGCACTGGCGACGGAGACGGAAAACTCGCCGACGATGACGTCTGCTTCGGGACGGTAGAGACTGCACGTCGCGTTGATGTAGCTCTCTTTGGTCTCGCCCGAGCGCGTGTCGAAGCGCCAGTATACGTGGTCGTCGAAGTACAGACCCGTCGTGTCTTTTAGATATGTCTCGGGATGGCCAGAGCCCCAGTTGCTTCCCTTTGTTCGCTATCGCGTTAGCAAACCTTCTGTGTAATCATCATCGCCGACAAATGTTTGAATTACCATGTATTGAATATGCAGCGCATCTTTCTTCGCCACGCCTAATTTACTCTCGCGAGCACGGATCCGGTCCCAGGCAGCAGGATAGAAGTTCTTCAGCATGTCGTCGGCATCAGTAGCATTGACGCGTCGCTTGATAGGCTCATTGATGACTTCGAGCATGCCGACGGTGCGATACGCCTTGTTGGTGTGGATTCTTTCCGTCATCCACTCGAGGAATTTATTGGCGCGCTCGTAGTTTGCTTTTGTGAAGAAGGCGGGATTCGCAGTGCCCTGCCATAACACCTATATTAGCCACCCGCTACTCCTCCAACGCTGGCTTCGTGCTACTTACGTGTCCCGTGAATTCCTCGTTTGGCGACTGCGATCCAGGAGCGCCGTGCAAGTCCATGATAACGTATAGACCTGCATCGCTAGCCCAGCCTACGAGACGATCGAGATACTTCAGCCCTCCTCTGGGATACCATTCATCGGCATGTACCAGGTCTTCCTTGATCCAGAAGCCGACGGGTATGCGTATTGTGTTCAGCCCATAGCTGGCTATCTGGGTGATATCGCTTTGGGTGATCCAGGACTTCCAGTGCTTATCCCAAGCAGCATTTGCCTTTTCCTGGCCGAGGTGTTTCACACAGGACCATTCGTCGTAGAAACCCTTACATCCCATACTGGCCCATTCGTCTTTGGCGAACCACTCCTCAATGATAAATAGAGAGCCTAGATTGACTCCGCGAACCTTGTCGTCACCGACTAGCCATCTTCGACTGACGGAAGGTGCCGTCGTCTCGGCAACTGGCACTATGGACTTGTTAATTGTCTGGACGCGGTTATTTCATTTCTTAAGGAAAAGATTTCTTACATATCGCAGCGACCGCGGAAGAGGTGGCTAATGAAAGCCATAAGGCTACCCGTGGGCTGAATAGCATGTTGCCGCTGTGAAGAAGATAACCTGTAGTAATGACCAAACTAAAGGCCTGGACTCAAGACTCGGTAGGATGGTTAGAGAATAACAACTCAATCGCCATGATGCTGATTGAACCATGGTTTAATATATCATCACTGAACGGCTACAATACTTGAGTGTTAGCTCATCGATCCACTCACCACGTGGTATCGCGGATACATTCCGGCCGTTATTTTCCAGATTACAAGTTCAGCTCCTATGGATCGTCATTAGTTCGAGTGTTAAAGTCGCCTCTTTTTTCCCAAGCAGGTAGTTCTATTGTGCTGTGGGCCACTTCGATGTTTCAGACATTTGGAGGCGCGGAATTGCTAGTGTGCTAGTTGCAGGCATTGATAGCCGGCGCATGTCATCGCGCGTTGATCCGTTGCTTTTATCTAGTTTTATCTAGATGAGGAGGAGCCGGTAACGTACTTTAATGGGGCTTCGCTCTCCGGAAAGACCCATGGCAAGGCATATATCACGACTGATGATGAATCCTACTGGGTCCAACTGGGTCCAACAGCTACCCCAACCTAATCTCACGATGTTACCCTTGCAAGCACACGAGATTGCTTGTCTATCTTGTCTGTCTAAACTACTCTACCTCATCTCTATGCCCTCTATTTCATTACTATGCCCTAAGCCTGATATCATCTTTCACCTTTTGGTCTAAGTATCATGTGGAAACCATGTCCCTCACCCATCTCAATGGATACATCTTGGTAAAGTTGCAACTTTGAGTACGATATATGACTATAATCTCACTGGGCTCTAGTGAGTGAGCCTTGTCTCACAGTGCATTGACGAGTATCTCACGATAGCCACAAGTAAAAGTAAGCGCGTCGGTACAGTAAGGTATGTACTGATGAATGGATAACCTCAGAATTGTAAGAAAATGAGTTCTAGTTCACGAAAAAGCCCATTCGCCTTCCCACTTTCTGAGTCTGTTTTACTAGTCAAGGTAGAGAGATAGGTTCGGATTGAAAGTTATTTGCATACAGAAGGCTTTGTAAAATCGAGATGAAGCACAAGCCGACAATACAGTTCACTCTTACGTAGAAGTTCCCCGCATCATGCAATATATCAAAACGGAATTAACGGCATAGATAGCAGTTTGATAGAACTTATCTCATCTACAAAGGAGACTAGGCGCCGTAACTCTTATTTGAAAATCAAATACGGGATAGTTTACTTTGACATATGAGGGTATAAGTGGTGTTTCATATCTAATCAGTAATCAGATGTCTTGTAATCCCCCCCTTTTGAAGTTACCAATTATAATCATGGCGATCCAGATGTATCATCTTCACGAGACAGGCCATTAGAAGTAAATATAAGCCTGAGTTGCAAGAAACTGACCTTAATACGCGATCGTTCCCATTCTCACATAGGAAAGCGCAACCCATATGACTACCACTGTATAATAAATAATGAATCAATATATAAAACGCGAATATATATGATCTAATATAAAGCTATAATATAACCATGAAAATGTGAAATGGTAGCAAAAGATACATGAATGGAATATATATAGATATAAACCCCTTGAAATCAAACGCGTCATTAATCATCACTATCGCCCTATACTTTATCTCATGAATCCGTGTATAATGTATCACAATTCGAGCGTATGTTCGCGTCCAGCAAAGAAACAACCCCAAAACTCTATCCAAGCTTCAACGCCAGCGAAGCCAACGTATCTCTAACCGTCTTATCCCCAGGCAAGTAGACCAACGCTACCCTGACAAGCCGTCTCGCCTCGTCGCGATCGCCCAGCTCCTGGAATGCTCTCGCCGTGCGATAATAAATCTTCCCTACCTGCGCAGCGCTAGGAAAGCTCAGCAGCGCCTCGTCCTCGGGCGGGATATGTCGCTGATTAGCGCCCGTAGCCTGCCTCATCAAGCGGATCGTCCGCATGCCCCAGAACTGCAGCTCTTGCCAATCGCCAAGCTTCATGTATACGAGGCACGTATTCGCGACGAGCTGCAGGCGCAGCGTCATGCGCTCGAGTTGCCCGTTTTTCCCTGCGAACGGCTCGTCGACGAGGTCGCGCGCAAAGTAGGCTTCTGCATGGACGTGGCGCTGGCGGCCTCTAACGATGATATGTATAGCTTCCCAGGCGCGATTGTACACGTCGAGAGCAGCCTTGTATTCCCCCTTCTGCAGCAGCTCGTTGCCTTGGTTCTTCAGCCGTATCCCTTCCGCCAGACACTTTTCAGGCGAGTCGGGTTCGAGGGCCTGCAGGGCGCGCAGCTCGGCGACAATTTTGGGCTGGGGCTTCGGGTCGCCGGTGATGGAGAAGTTGTGGAGGCCCTTGACGTCGCCGAAGGGCAGGAAGAGCCGTCGCTGGATGTCGCGGCGCACGTGCTTCTCGTCCCAGTCGGGCGAGTAGGGGTCGCGCAGGTGGAGCTTGAGCACGAGCCATTGGTTGAGGCCCGGGTGCGAGAGGTTCCAGTAGAACCAGGCGCGCGTGAAGCCGGTGAGGTCGTCGGCGAGCATGACGAAGTGGTGGGTGCCGTTCTCGGGTTCGCCGGCGGCGGGGGTCTCTATGGTGACCTGGAAGGTGTGCCCTCGGAAGCGCTCGGCACGGGCGCCGCGCATGAGGATGGGGACATGGCCGATGAGGTTGACGTGGTGCTCGGCCTCGGTCCAGGGGGTCTCGATGCGGAGGAAGACGTTGAGGGCGCGAAAGACCTCGCGGGCCTCGTGGTAGATGGATCGGTTGAGGTAGAACAGGGCGAGGGCATGGCGGTAGTCGTAGTCGGTGTACTCGTCGGGTTTGTAGGTGCGGTTGTTGTTGGGGTGCAGGATGACGGTGTAGATCTGGTCGCGGATCTCGGGGGGGAGCTCTAGAAATCCCATTGTCGGTCTCTGAGGACGTGTTGGTTGCGAAGCATGCTCAAGTGTGCAGAAGTATCGGAAGTATCGGAAGAATGGTAGGATTACCTACAGTAGATACATACATACATATGTATGTAAGGTATCTATCTATCTATCTATCTCGAAGAGGTAAGCAGTAGGACGAGTCGGACATACTTAGGTAGGCGCCGACATTCGATGCCCTTCTATCTGGTCCAGGGGTCTTTTGGTGTTCGAGAGGGTCTGGGGTCTCGGTGTGTGGATTGCATTGCTCGCTTCTCGTTCGCTTCTCGTAAGTGGATGCAACAATTGAAGCGTCTTTGCCTGCTATACATACATGTAAGGTATCAGATTCCTTGTCTTTATTCCACCTCCCTCACATCCCGCTCACATCCTGCTCACATCTACATCTAGTAAGTACTATACTGTACCTGATATCTCGTCAAGTAAATACACCGTAGTGCAAATATCTTACCTAACCCAAGGGGAATTTCCATACCTCCTATATAGCACCTTGTGGCTGGCCCACAGTTCCTATCAACCCGTAGTAGGGACCAGGGTACCTGCTTAGTGCTCGATTTAGTATCGCAAACCCATCAAGGTCCTTATTCATCGACAATGTAAATCTTCGCGACATAAATCAACCGTTTCCTCTTCTTGTTTTCTCCTCCGTTGTATTCTTTCGTAGGCTATTGCTGTCTTATAACTAATTCCCGTTCGGTAATTATCAGGGTCCATCCAGGACGCTGTTGTTGAGTTCTCTAGCCATGACCCCTATTATCAAAGGATCCTTATCAAAAGAACTACTTGACATCCCTTGCTTGCCACAAGTCTAGAACGCATGGAATAAGACATCGTGGAGACGATAGAACCCGCCCGGTGGCTTTAGAACATGACTAAGTACATGACCAACGTGATAATACGGCATGCCATCATCATTATTTTGGATACCGTGCGTTGGGTAAGAGCTACTACATGGCGTAATATATTGTTCAATAAGTGACGTGGACAACGCAACGAGAGAATACAATGAATCATACAGGTCATCCCCTAGAACCTTCCTCGTGCCCCTCGTTTCCATCCCGACGATAGAGGAAGGAAGACCATGGATTGAGTGAAGAGCTCTCGTACCTTACTTACTTGCTTACTTATATAAGGTTCTTATCCCAAAGCCTTAGTTCGATTCGGGCAGAGGCAGTAAGACTGATTGGCCATGTACCGCCACACCATCTATCTCGAACTCGTCAACATTCTCCTCTTTAAACAATGATACAGAATACAGAGGAGAGTACAAGTCCGAGATGGGAAACAACGCAATGTTTTGGACTAGGTGGGCAGGTAGGTAGGTAACCAATAAACATCCTCCTCATTACTTCCTTACGATCATGTAAGAACGTAATCTCCTCAAAGTTCTTCTCAAAGTTCACACAAACTCAAACCTCACATCTTGCCTAAGGTATATAGTAGCGACTTCTATCATGTTCATTTCTTTTCTTCCCACACATACCCTCCGCACAGTCTCTCCTTGTGCAAGAAAACCTCGATTCCCCCATATAGCATCCAATCCCAGATCCCCTCGCATCGCAACTGAAACAAAATGGTAGACAAAGACCGCCGAAGAGCCGCCCTGACTCTAGCCATTATGGCCATCATAGCAACAATACTTCCAAGACCACGGTGTCTAAACCTTGTTATAGAGCACAGATATCCCAAGACGAAGGTCAAAATCGCTTCCGCGCCAGAATGCATTGCCCTCAAAACGCATCCCCATCTACGCACACGACTACCTGAGATATCCTTCAACAGGCCTGGCAATGCGATAAGGGACAGGAAATAATCTACCCCCAAGAAAGCACATTCCATCACAGAATATCTGTATCGACACGAGCGAGAAGAACGCAATACGGACTCGGGACAACAGAATTCTGATGTGACTTCCTACTTAACCTGAACCTCGAGGTTAGATAGGGGTTTCGAAATCATCCGATGAAGCAATAATGTTTATTTCAGCTCTTATATCGACTTATCACCCTATATCTCGTCGAGATGTCGAAGTCAAGAACAATTTTACCAGAGCGAGTCACTTTATCAACCCATATTCTTCAAGATTCATCTAATTACCCTGCTCCCATCGCGGCAGGAGTACGAAGCCCCAACTCCTCTCAGCCCAATCCCCACACTCCTACCTCGGAATCCACAGCTCCTAACAAGCTCATGTTCTTCATAGTCAACATAGCAGACGCGTCGAAAACCACATCAGCGTTTTAATACCTTACCCAATGATAGTTGGAGAGAAAGATAGACAGTTGGACATGCCCAGATACCCAAAAATAAATAGAATATAGCGCTTAATCGACATACCCAAAAGTATCTAGTTACAAGTCAATACACCAAAATGATATAACTTTTAATGTCTCTATATCCAGACTACATATAGTGAAAGTACTCCAATACACACATGTGCACATCTATAAACATTTATATCAATATTTCCTATTTTTCTCTCTCTGTGAATATCAGTATGGCTGTGGCTATAGCTATAATTTGTCAGTCAGGTTGTTTACCTAATACCTAATTAGGTAATTCACCTGCAGGGTATTAGTCATCTGGGTATGAGTCATAGGTTCAAACCTTCCAGTGGGTTCGATAGGGAACCCTTCAGGGCACCCTTCAAGGCACCTTCAGGGCAGCGGCTAGGTCTATATATAGCGGGTTATCCCTACGGTCAGGAAAACCGTATTCTATATTCCTATTCATACAACTCTCCTTCCATACTGGATAACTGAATAACTCATCCATTTACCCTACTTATTAGTCATCTTTTAAACTGCTTATTAAAATATATATGCAATTACCTAAGCTAACCCAAATAGCCTTCGAAAGGTTATAAGCCCGGTATAATTACGTATATATTCACCGGAAACAAAAACCCCTTTCAACCCTTTAAAACTACCCTTTCAAAACCCCTAAGCCACCTTTCGCAACCCCTATCGAATCAACTAAGCCACGATCAAGTCAACTAAGCCACAATCGAGCTATAACCGAAACATTTTCGATCGAAATCGCGAAACCTTCACTTTTTCCACGAAAAAGCTACACTTTCCCACCCCCTTACCCCTATAACCCCATATATCCAAGCACACTATACACTATATAAAGATAAATATATCTCAATCAAATACTTATAAAGTAGCAAAGCTTATAGGTTCCATTAATTACCCTATCTGGAAAATAAGAGTAAAGGCAACCTTAAAAAAGGATAACTGCCACTCTATTATTACAAATGGAAATGCCAACCTGCATAAAAGAGAAAAAGCACTCAATATTATTCAACTACTATATAATGACGCCCCTCTTATACATCTAAACAGCATTAATAACCCAATTAAAATATAGAATAAGCTGGAAAATCTTTATAACCCAAAAGGCTTCACAACTAAATTCCTTACCCTTAAGGACCTATTCAACATTTCTTTATCTCACTTCACTTCTATAAAAGCGTACTTAAATAAAGTTAAAAAATTAAATAATAACCTAACCTAAAAGGGTATTAAATTACTTAAAAAGGTAATAATATCCTAGGTATTATACCATTTAAATAATAACTACAAAGGATTAGTCAATAATATTACTCAAAACCTACAAAAGAACCCCAACGCCTACACCCTCAATACGCTCTTTTCAATACTAATCAATATATCTAAGTCGAAAAATTATAATAACAAGGCTATAAATATAACAAACGAAGCCAAAAACGCTAAAAAAGCAAATAAAAACAAGCAATGTTTACATTACAAACTTAAAGGTCATACTAAAAAGGAATGCTATTTTCTACACCCAAATAAGGCGCTAAAAAATTAGAAAAATAAGTAAAAGATAAAGAAGAAAAAGGATAACACTAAGCCCAAATAGGAAAAACATAAATAAAAGCAATTAACCCTTATTACCGCATTAAAAAAGCAAAATAAACAGTTAAAAAAATTAAAGAATTCTAAAAAAGTTAACCAAACCAAAAACCTTATAAACTTAAACAATACATTTAATAATAAAGATACAACTATTAAAGATATTAACTTCGACCCTTAGGTTAAAACCCTGGTAGGTAAACCGGATTATAAAGATAAAGAAGAAAAGGATATAAAGGTAAATAACCCCCCTATACCCTTTATAAATTCTATAACTAATAACCTTAAAACAAATAACTTAAATAAAGGAATTAATAAGGATATTTACTTTAATAATCGATCTATTAATATAATTAAAAGAAAAACTAATAAAAAATCAAATAAAAATTTAAAAACCTATAAAAAATCGAATTTTTATAATAGAATAATTCTATTTGGAATAAATAGTACTACTACAGTTTATATAACTTATACTAAGGATATTTTCTATAATTATAAACTAATTAATAGGTCTGTTAAGTGGGGAAAAGCTAAAACTATATATATAATTGGAATAGGTAAATTAAAAGGTCGTTTTTAAAATATTGGAAAATCTTTTAAATTCCACAAGGTTTATTATATTCTCTAATTAAAAATAAATCTAATAAATATAAAAAGACTTAATTATACCATTATTATTATTAATAATCCAATAATTAAAATAATAGATAAAAGAAATGACGAGTTATTAATTTAAGGAAAGGAAAATAAAGGTCTTTTTTATATTAAATTATATACGTTCATTAAAATAGTTAATTTAATAAAAAAGGCTACCAATACAGCTAATAAAATTATTCAGAATAACCCTGTAAGGCCAGGAGAAAAAGTGAATACTTAACTAGTAAAAACTCCTTTATTTAATAATAAGTTTTATAAATAGTACGTTCGTTTAAGCCATATAAATAAAAAGCCTTTATCACGCTTATTAAAGAATTTAAAGATATAAATACCGTATAAAGCTATAAAAGAAGCTCGTTTAATTAAATGTAAAACCTACCTTCAAGCTAAAATGTAAAAAAAGATTTATAAAAAATCTAATAATAAAAATCAATATATAAAGTTAGAACGGATATATAGCAATTTAGGTAGACCTTTCTTATTAACCTATAATAAATATCGCTATTATATAACCTTTATTAATAAAAAAACTCGATATCTAAAAGTTAAGCTATTAAAAGATAAGGATTTAACGTTTTTTACTTTTAAAGAATATAAAGAATAAGTGGAAAATAGTATAAATAATAATAAAAAAATAAAGGAGTTTTTCTTTAATAATAGCAATAAATTTATAAATAACCGCTTTATAGTTTATTTTAAACAATATAGGATAAAACACCTTAAAAGCCCTCTATATAATAAGGAGTATAATGGTCTTATCGAAAAAATAAACCTGACTTTATTAAATAAGGTTAAATTACTATTATATATAACGAATCTCCCTTTCTATCTTTAAGGGGAAGCTTTATTATAAGCTGTTTATTTATATAATATTACTCCTTATATAGCTTTAAAGTTAAAAACCCCTTATAAAGCTTATAATGAAAAAGCACCTAATATAAGGAATTTAAAAGCCTTTAATTCTTTATACTATTATAATAATAATAAAAAGAAGAATAAATTATTTCCAAAAGGTAATAAAGCTATATATCTTTTTTAACTATATAAAAGTAATATATATAAAATATATAATATTTTATTAAAGAAACCTAAATAGGTTAAAGATATTTATATATTAAAAAATACGTATTTTATTAATTTAAAGAATATTAAGCTATTTAATTTATTTTATAAAGAAAATATAGAAAAGATAAATTAAGAAAAGGAAGAATAAGAAAATAAGGATAAAAATAATGCTAATAAACCTATTATTTTTAAAAACCCCTATAAAGAAAAAGAAGAAATCCGTAATATTATAATAGTTAATATTAATAATCTATATAATATAAAAAATACTTTATTATTAAATTTTATAATAATATTAAATAATATTAAAAATTAAAAAGATAATAAAGAAATAAGGAATTTTATATTAATTGCAGCTATAGCTAAATTAAGAAATTGGAAAGAAGCTATAAAATTTAATAATAAAAAGGAATGGTATTTAGCTTCTTTAGTAAAAATAAAAGAACTTTAAAATTAAGGAGTCTTTAATATAACTAATTTACCTAAGGGTAAAAAAGCACTTCTAAGCTGTTAGGTTTATAAGAAAAAGGTAATAAATAATCCTAATTTAATAAAGGATAAATATATATTAAATAAAAATAAAAATATTTAATTTAAAGATTAATATTATATTTAAAGCTTTAATTAAAAATTAGGTATTAATTTCCTAGAAACCTTTTTAATAACCTATCACCCAAAATTCTAACATTTATTATTAATAATAGCAATAAATAAAGGCTATATAGTTATACAATATAACGTTAAAAACGTATTTTGCTACGCTAGAATTAACGTCAAGATATATATTAAATTACCTTAAGGCTTTTTTAATAAAAAAAAAGCTAATAATAAAGTAGGGCTTTTAAATAAAGCCTTATACGGTTTAAAACAATCACCTTATTTATAATATAAATTCCTATATAACCATTTATATAAAATAGGATTTATTATATTACCTTAAAATAAAGGGGTATTTATAAATAAAGCATTAAAAACCGCTTTAATCTGCTATATAAATAATATACTTTTAATAGCCCCATTATATAAAGAAGTAGAAATAATTAAAAACTAATTAAATAAATTTATAAAATAGGAAAATTTTAGCCTAATATCTTCCTTTTTAAAAAATAATATTAATATAAATTATAATACTAAAGAGTTGTTTATAAATTAGAACCGTTATATAGAAAAGCTATTAAATAAGTTTAATATAATAAATAACCCTTTATATAGGCCGAAGGACCTATCCAAAACTCCAGGACTTAAGTTCAAAAAAAATAACTCAACTATAAGCCCTAAAGACGTTAATAGCTACCAAAAGCAAATAGGTAATTTATTATACCTAGCTTTAAAAACTAAAATAAATATTACTTTTATAATAATATACTATTTTCGTTTTATAAATAACCCCAATATAGAGCATTTTAATACCCTAAACTATATATAATATTATTTATTAAAATATAAAGAAGTTAGTATTAAATATAACTGTACTAATAATAATTTAACCCTTAAAAGTTATATAAATAGTAATTAGGCTAATAAAATTAATACCAAAAAATCTATAAATGGTTATACCTTTTCCTATTTAGGTAATTTAAATAATAATAATATAATTAGCTAAGCTTTACAATTATAAAAAACCGTTGCTTTAAATACGTATAAGGCAGAATATATAGCTTTAAAGGAAGCAATTAAAGAAGCTATTTATTTATCTAATATAACTATATTCCTAAACGCTAACCTTCAGTTTAGTTATAAGGATAATATTCCTATTATACTAATAAATAATTAATCCGCTATTAAGTTAGCTAAAAATTAAGAATTTTATAAAAAATCCAAGCATATTTATATTATCTACCACTTTTTAAAAGATGCGGTAAATAATAAATAAATTTAATTAATATATACCCCCTTTAAAAACAATTTAACTATTTTTTTAATTAAAATATTAGCTAAATTAAGGTTTAATACTTTTAAGGTATTAATAAGTATATATATGTAAAAGCTTTTTCCTTATATATAAAGGTTTACTTTTAATATAATTTTTATCCATTATATGGTTTTTTTAAATAAGATAACTTTTTTCTATATAATGTATAGTTTTTTTATTAAATATATTTATTTATATTTATTATAATTGTGTGCTATAAGTTTAAATAATTAATAATAATTAATAAACGAAGTTTTTATATATTAACTATTATACTTTTTTCCTTACCTTAAAGGTATTTATTATCTTATATATATATATATAAAGGGTTTTTTTACTTTTCCTTTAAGATTTTTATAAAGGTTTTACTTTTTTCCTTTATTTATTTATTAATTTAATAGGTTTTATTTATTTTTCCTAGAACTGGATTGCTAATTCTATAAGCTATATTCAGCTTATAAAATTAAGGGGGGATGTTAGTTAGGTTGTTTACCTAATACCTAATTAGGTAATTCACCTGCAGGGTATTAGTCATCTGGGTATGAGTTATAGGTTTAAACCTTTTAGTGGGTTCGATAGGGCACCCTTTAGGGCACCTTTAGGGCAGTGGCTAGGTCTATATACAGCGGGTTATCCCTGCGGTTAGGAAGACTGTATTCTGTATTCCTATTTATACAACTCTCCTTCCGTACTGGATAATTGAATAACTTATCCATTTACCCTACTTATTAATCATCTTTTAAACTGCTTATTAAGATATATATGCAATTACTTAAGCTGACCCGAATAGCTTCCGAGATAATTAACTATAACTGTGTTTATAACTATTACTATTGCTATAACTGTGGCCGTGGCCGTGACTGCGACTGTTAGCTTTACCAGGTACACGTTTCCAGGAACAATTCACTTCGATCAATACCAGAGCACATGCCGCGTGGCGTGATCCAGTCAAGCCAAGTCATCTATTGTAGCAAGGTAAAGCAATGCGATGTGGGATTCAGCTAGACATTAGTTTCCATATATATGTATGCATGTATGTATCTATACGAATGTTTGACAATCTCCACTACAAGATATCTGCTACATATTCCCGAGTTATGCTGGGTTTCCCTTCAATTGACGTTGACCTGAATATGGATTATCACGTTCATCTAAGACGTAATTAATTGTATTTGACGATGGCATTTAACGATGGCATTTGACGATGGCCCTTCTGCATCCGTGAGTTTGGTCATGAGCGAGTGAGCTGAGCTGAATTATCTGTTCGTTTCCAAAAAGAACATATAATCAACTTTCCTTTCTATTTTCCAACTATGTATATAACCTGATAGACTTCCTGTCTCTAAGGGCTGTACTAATAATAATTTCAATTATATCCCTTTTTCTCTTATATATTCTTTGTGATACTACTGTCAGTTGGTTGACTTCTGTGTTTTATAGACTTTCGGTCTACCATCCATTTAAATATACATATATATATTTCTATAAAATGTGAAAATCCAAAATGCGCAAATTCAACAGGGTGCGAAAAGTGAACGCAGAAATTTAAAGATTAGTAAGAAAAAAAACAAAGCTTGAAAGAATTTCTGCTTGAAATTTTTCACTCTTGCAGCATGTCGTTCGAGTCATTTTATAGCTACCTTGCAGTGAGGGTGAATATCTATGTACGTAATCGTGCCTTGACTCAGTTAAAACTAGTGCCCGGCTGGAAAGGGTCCGTTATTTAGTCTACATAGTAAGTATACTAAGTTAGGCAGAGCCTCATTAACAGCTTGTGTGTAACGTCACGCTGAGGGTACTTTGAGACTATAGTATCATGTATATCTACATAGGTGTCAGTCTTGCTCGCGAATTCTAATATATAGCAATCTAGACCACGCAAGAAAGGAAGGCGTGGGCGTGGGCGGTCGTAGAATGATGGGAATGGGCACTGCAGGGGTTCAGTATTCAATTGAGAGAGATGATAGCGCTATCTAGGCACTTAACCCAGGAATATATGCAGGAAGATGTATGGGGTAATCACTCTATTGAGTGACGCCTTACTTGCTCTCAGACAAATGGTTCGCGGCATAGGTTTTGCGGCTGAAAAGAGGGGGAGATGGAAAGTAGGTAGGGTAGGGTAAGGTAACCTCACTGCAGTGTCTAGGTACTTCAAGACTTGGGGTAAAACCTGGGATAAATTCACGAAACGAACGGGGTGGGTAAGTACCTTCGCCGCCCACTCTTTCGACTCGGTTCACAAACCGGAGGTTACATCCCCTCCGACCAAGAACCCGCCACGGCCGTAGTATCGGAGGAGGAGTACCGGCTACTGCGGCCTGTCCCTGTCGGCTAGAGCGCCTAGAGCGTCTGGCTTATCAAAGCGTAGTGTAGTCAGGCTCGGTGATAGAGGTAGGTACCACATTTGCTTTCGGAAACCCCCACGTTCAATCCTCATGTACGCTTGGGACCTTTGTTTTTTTCTGAAAGAGTTTTGAGAAAGCAGACCGGGTCATGCTGTATGTTTCATTGGCTGATGTAACATTGATAGCGAAGGGGGGATTGTGCTCTTTTCGAAAACGACTTTTTTTGTTTTTTTCCCATCGGCAGAACTGGGTAGGACAGAGAGAAAGCTTGGCCGATATCGCCCATACAATTGCCGACGAATTTGGATTCCAAAGTATATATGGGGTTTAGGTGGGTTTGCGTACTTGATGTGTACGGTGTGTACATTACATTGTATATGTACGTAGACAATGGTTCGATAATTGTCTGTGATTTCGCTTAGAGACAGACAGACAGACAGAGAGAGAGAGAGAGAGCCTCGTTCTCCAACATTACTTGGTAGTGTGATGTACTTTCGTAGTAGGACGCAACGGCAGCATGTAACCCGAGATCTCCGGTGATCGGGGGTGGCAGCCGGTGCAAAGGTATGCGGTGTTGCTGGCGCCGCTCGTTCTGGGGTACCAAGGCAGACCAGGACATGCATGCATGCATGCATCAATCTATCAATCTATCTACCTACATAGCATGTACTGTATATGTATGCATCTATCTACAGCTTACTGCTTACCTCTTCAGTCTTGCCCGCTTGATAATCGACCCAGACAAGAAAAGCACAGACTGCCTATCTACCCATCTGGGCATAGTGTACTTAGGGCTCCGATGGCCGCTGTGGAGCGGGCAGAAGGGAAAGGGAAAGAAAAAAAAAGACAGAGCAGAAAAAATCGGAGTGATGTCGGTGAGGGATCATGATTACGTCTTCAGAGTACGAGGGACAGTCAGGATGGGTAAAATCTGAGTAATGGGAGCGTCGCTTTTGCCTGTGTCTCGTCTGTGTGAGTGGTGTTCCTTTGTGTTCTGTCCCCTTGTCCTCCGAGTTACTATACTATCAGTGACAGCAGTCTGCAATTGGTCGATGATGGAGGCAGAATGTGGAGGGTTGTGTTGCTTCTGATCGCCAGCATTGGCAGTTCCGTGACAGGTATGGTGCCGTGATGGTACCGTGATGGGTTGCTGGGTTGCGATGGGTTGCGGTGACGGGCAGCAGAGGCCCCTCACGTGTTCTGCCATAGGGCTTGAAGTGTTGTACAAAAAGAAGCGGGGGAGACGGATTTGGGTCTGGTTGGGGAAGATTGGGATAGAGTCAAAATCATGTAATGTTGCTTCTTTAGCAGCATATGATACGGGTATCTATGTAGTGCTGTAGAATCGTAGAATCGTAGATATCTACGCAGGGTTAGCTAAGCACAAGTTCGTGGAGGGAATATGACCTATCACATATTCAAGTCATCTAGAATTACTATAAGCCTGAGAGAGTCTGGCGTGAGAGCCTAGTCTAACATCACACACATATTCATAGTACCGACAGATAGCATCTTCACGCTCTCTTCTCTCTCTCTCTCTCTCTCTCTCTCTCTCTCTCCCTCCCTTCGCCCATTCCTCTGCCGCTCTCCACAGATCTACCCACAGTTTCGCCCACCCCTCTAGCACAGCCGGCGCGTTACTGTACAGTGCCTAGTCTTGCTCTTGTCTTGCCAGTCTTGCCTATTCCAAAGCCGCGGCAGTGAATTGTTACAGTAGCTCTCTGTAGCTTCTCCAATTCCATGTCCATTGTACCCCGAATCAGCCAATCCGGCGCTACCGAATTCAAATCCCCAAACCTGCCATCATGGCTTCCGGGTCCCGCGACCGGAGGCGCTTTTGCCTTCTCCGATCTTCGGCCCTCAACACTGGCTCTCTATGTACTTACTGTAGTACCTACGTACTTTGAAGCCTCGATACACTCTAATACAAGTAAAGAGGCATCTTAGCGCTGCTAGGAACATCGCCTGGTCGAGAATATAATTACCCTGGTTCTCCGATCGTGTACCCTTCTCTCTTTTCCACCTCTTACTACGTAATCGGCGCTTCGGAAACACGCTTTGGGCATATATTGGACCCTTCCCTCGTCTGTGCCTGTGCTCATCTACCGTGGGAGCACGCCCTCTCCGTTCGTTCGCCTTTGATAATTTCCTTCTCCCTCCTATCTCGTCTCACGTTACATCCCGATCCCTTCACATCATCGGCCATCGTGTGGGGAGGATATATAAACCCAACGGGAGGGTTTCTCTCATCATCATCATATCATCATCATAATCATCATCAACAAGAGCACACCAATTACAGCTCTCTTTAATCACGGAAAACAAAGGCCAGCCAACATGCCTATCGCAGAGAAAGTTCCGCAGACCTTGTACGACAAGGTTCTTGCCTCTCATATCGTCGATGAGAAACTCGACGGCACAGTTCTCCTATACATAGGTACGTGGTCCCCACCAATTCGAGGACGGACACATTCGACTGACTTGTGCCTTTTTGGCATGTACAACAGACCGTCATTTAGTTCACGAAGTCACTTCACCGGTATGTAACATGTAACACCGCAATGTGATGATTTCCTGTAGTACTGTGACCAGTCCCGGCTAACAGCGAATCTAGCAAGCCTTTGAGGGTCTCAAGAATGCCGGTCGGCGTGTAAGGAGAACAGATTGTACTCTTGCCACCACGGATCACGTACGTTACGTCACCGTGATTTCTTTTTATCCTTCACTTGCACCACTTACACCACTTACACCACTTACACCAACCATCATGCCGATGGTAAGCGAGAATGCCCGCTGATTGATTCGCTGTAGAATGTCCCCACCAAGTCCCGAAAGGGCATCAAGGATATTGCCACTTTCGTCGAGGAGGAGGATTCGCGCTTGCAATGCCTTACCCTCGAGGAAAATGTAAAGGAATTCGGCATCACATATTTCGGCCTCGGCGATAGGCGTCAGGGTATCGTCCATGTCATCGGCCCCGAGCAAGGCTTTACCCTTCCCGGTACCACGTTGGTGTGCGGCGACAGCCACACGTCCACCCATGGCGCCTTCGGCTGCTTTGCCACCGGTATCGGTACTAGCGAGGTCGAACACGTCCTCGCCACTCAGTGTCTCATCACCAAGAGGAATAAGAACATGAGGATACAGGTCAACGGTGAATTGGCCCCTGGCGTTAGTTCAAAGGATGTCGTTCTCCATGCCATTGGCTTGATCGGTACTGCTGGCGGTACTGGCTGTGTTATCGAGTTTTGCGGTTCCGTCATCCGTAGCCTCAGCATGGAGGCTCGTATGTCAATCTGCAACATGTCCATTGAGGGCGGTGCCAGAGCTGGTATGGTGGCACCCGACGAGATAACATTCGAATACCTCAAAGGACGACCCCTCGCGCCACCTCCGGATTCGCCCGAGTGGGAGCGCGCTGTTGCGTACTGGAAGAGCCTACAGTCCGACCCAGGTGCCAAGTACGACATTGATGTTCAAATCGATGCAAAGGATATTATTCCCACAATTACATGGGGTACCAGCCCGGAAGACGTTGTTCCCATTACCGGTGTGGTTCCGGATCCCGAAACATTCGACTCGGAAGCCAAGAAGCAGAGCGGGAGGAGGATGCTCGAGTATATGGGGTTGACGCCAGGCACGCGCATGGAGGACATTGCTGTCGACAAGGTTTTCATCGGCTCTTGCACTAACTCGCGCATTGAAGATCTTCGCGCTGCCGCTGCGGTAGTCAAGGGGAGGAAAGTGGCAGACAACGTCAAGCGGGCCATGGTTGTCCCTGGCTCCGGAATAATCAAGGAGCAGGCTGAGGCAGAGGGTCTCGACAAGATCTTCCTCGACGCGGGCTTTGAGTGGAGAGAAGCAGGTTGCAGTATGTGTCTTGGCATGAACCCCGACATTCTCGCCCCCAGGGAAAGATGTGCAAGCACGAGCAACCGAAATTTCGAGGGAAGACAAGGCGCTCTGAGCCGAACACATCTTATGTCGCCGGTCATGGCCGCCGCCGCCGGTATCGTCGGAAAGTTGGCGGATGTCCGGAAATTGACAGAGTACAAGAACAGCCCCCACGTGGAAGCATTCAAGGTGCCTTCGCCATCGAGCAAACCGTTGGTTGACGAGAGCCTCAAGAACGGCGATGCGGCCGCCGCGGACAGACTGGGCGATCAACCAGAAGATAGCTCGTTAACGGCCGAGGATCTAGTCTCGGAAGCAGCTGGCTCACAAGGTCTGCCCAAATTCACTGTGCACAAGGGGATTGCCGCACCGATGGATCGGACCAATGTCGACACGGACGCCATCATCCCCAAGCAATTCCTGAAAACGATTAAGCGCACGGGACTCGGCTCCGCGCTCTTCAATGACTGGAGGCATAACGACGACGGCACGCCGAACCCCGAGTTCGTCCTCAACCAGGAACCGTACACCCAGGCGAAGACCCTCGTCGTCACCGGCCCAAATTTTGGCTGTGGAAGCTCTCGCGAACACGCGCCTTGGGCATTGAACGATTTCGGAATCCGATGTATCATCGCCCCGTCTTTTGCCGATATCTTCTTCAACAACACTTTCAAGAACGGCATGTTGCCCATCGCCATCACAAACGCGTCCGATCTAGAAAAAATCGCAGCGGAAGCCAAAGCAGGCAAACAAATCGAGGTCGACCTTCCGAACCAGGAAATCCGCGACGACGCAGGGAACACGATCTGCAAATTCGACGTCGAGGAGTTCAGGAAACATTGTCTCGTCAACGGATTAGACGACATCGGACTCACGCTACAGCTCGAGGAGAAGATCACGGAGCACGAGCGGCGGATCTCGGAACAGACGCCCTGGATCGACGGGACGGCGTATCTGCGGAGGCAAGAAGGCGGCAAGCTACCCGTCAAGGCCGCCAAGGTGCCCATGACGAATCGCGGCCAGGAGCTCAAGGACCCTATCGACTGGTGATACAACCAACTAACTAACCAACCAATCAACGACCAAAGGGGAGCAAAACATGGCTTTTTATCAGTTTTAATCACGCAATTATGAAATAACTCGGTTTATGAGAATTTTATTTTATTTTATTTTATTTTAGCATGAAGGAAAAGTTCGACTGACTGACTGACTGACTGAGAGGGAAATGAAAGGAAGGGGAGAAAAGAGCTGAGGTGCGGTGAGATGAGATGAGGAGAATGGCTTCTTCTTATCTTGCTATGATTAATTAGCTTGCTTCCTTACTTGCTTGCATGATGGATTATAATACCATATTTACGTTTTCAAGAGATGGTTCAAACTGTCTGATCACTTTATTAGTCGGTTCTTTTTTCCTTTTTTTCCGAGCTTGAACTTTGTTGTGTGTACATGTAGATATATGATGTCATACGCGCGAACGTCATAATCTCACGATCCCAAGGCCACTGTCACGATCCTAGGGCTGCAAACAAACAAAGAGGTCCGCTGTATATATATAGCCTTAGCCTAGCCACGAAGGCTTCAGAGGTACTCATGTAACAAGTAGTATCAATGCAGTAGCCGATGGTTGCAGCTCTCACAATGAAGGAAATATCTGCGATGTTGTATGTAACCAATATATCAATATCACTACAGAATAACTATAAACCTTGTACCTAACCAGAACTCCAGAATCCCAGCCTCTCCCCATTCCTCAATCCACCTTCCCCTATAAGAAGAACCCTTTACTCTATTCGCGACCCAACAAAACAGCAAAGTCCCCGGAGACACCATCCGCGAATACACCATCTAAAACAACCAAACGAACCAACTCCATCCCCTCCTCCCTCATCACCCACCTCCAACCTAATACACATACATACCCACCCCTCACGCACCCATAACCCAAACCACCCCCCTAACAAGACCCCCAAGGACCAAAACTCCCCCAACGCAAAACGCACCCGCCGCAACAAAGACGCCGACATCTTCGCCCGTAGTCTGCCCCCTGCGCTTGCGTCTCCAGAGCTCGCTCCTAGTGTCGAACGCGGGTTGAACGACGACCCACCAGGCACTCGCGAGGCCGAGGAGGATCATGTACGCCACGATGACGAGGGACACCAGGACGAGTACATATGCATTTCCATTTTCCTTTCCATCTCCCTTCACAGCCCCATTTGCAGTTCCAGCCTTGTTCACAATTCCAATAGTCCTTGTCTCCTGCTCTTTCGTTTTTGTACTTTGAACCGTTCTCTTGCGCTTCTCTACACTTTCAATCTTCTTCCGCAAGTCCATATCACAACTAGAAAGGACACCAGTGACTCCACTTTCTCCGCCATTCAGAGGGCTGCCTGCGTCCGCTCTCGTCTCCTTGGTGGCGGTGGTGGCGGTTGTGGTGGTGCGTGGGCTGGGGGTCCTGCTGGGAGTCCGGCTCCTTGTTACAATTTCTCTGGCCCGAGACCTCTGCATGGCGATCCGCGCGGCCTCTTGGATCATAGCCTCTGTGAGCTCGCCAGGCCCCTGACGCCGACGAGTTGTTCGGGCCTTGTTGCTCTGGTCGTGGTGCATGTAATCTGTCACTTCGGTATCTGTGTCGTCGGTCTGCGTGCTCTGATCCTCGCTGGTGTCGTGGTGTTGCTGCGGATGAACAATGGGGGACTCGTGTACTTCTTTCGAGGTGTGCTTGGTAGGTAAGTCCCCGGGGCTCTGATAAAGATCGTGTTGCCCCTTGTATTGGGTCATGTGTGTTGAATCTATCTCCTTTATCGCAAGCCCTGCCGATACAGTACCGATCTCTGCTGTCTCGTGGGCGAGCACAAAATTCTGCAAGTCGTTCTGTGGCACGGTGGGAAGGGAAGACGTTATCTGACGCCCTTGTTTTTGTGGCGCTGGCTCGTCGTCGTGGTAATTCAAAATCACCACCTCTCTGTCCTCTTCTACGATGTTGCTCTTCTGGTTCTTCTGACACTCCATCTGCGACTGGATTCCTTTGGATAGGAGTTGTTGATGGTGATCGAAGCCAGTAATGATGATGGTGGGTGTGGACACAGATTCTCCCCGGTCTCTTTCTCGATGGTCGCTCATATTGATGCCTATATGATCCTCCGGGATCTCCGATCTAAGGGGCTCTTGGAGACTTGGCTGATGGTGAAGGCTCTGAGGTCCAGTCGTGTTTTTGGGGAGATTTAGATCGCTGTGACTTTGAGTCGCGCGGGTGGTTTGAATGTGTATCTGGGATTCTTGCGTCGTTAACACTCCTGCTTGGAATGAAGAGCTTCGGAGAGGGATCACTCGTCGGAAATTTGGTGGCGGCGTCGTGTTCCCTCTCGGTTTCGACGGGAATGAGATCGCTGTAGCTCCTTTGGCGTCTGATATGGAGCTCTGAGGGTCGGTTTGAGATTCCTGGAAGGCTGACAGGTTTGTTGCCAACCTGAGGGTCGGCCTGCTCTGATCCTGCACTGGGCTCAGCGATGTTACAGGTAATAGATCTGTCTCTGTGCGAATCGACGATCTTTTCATCGCCATAAACTGCTCCACGTAAGGCAGCAGATTGAGACGATGGTCTGGAATAGGCAGGTTTTGGAAGTGGTCCTTTGGTTTCTGTGTGTATAGGCGTGGTAAAGGAGGGGGATTGTCCACGAAAGTGAACGCGAGATTTTCCTCTGTCTTTCTTGCCGAAGAATGGATCATTAGGGCCTTGGAACGTTTGCGCTGTTTCCCTGGATCTGACATTCTTCGGTGGCGCCTCCATAAAAAATGCTTCTCCTTGTTCTGCTCATCGAGCGGCGAATCACTGGTCTCTGAGAATACAGGGTGGTAGTGTATCTTCGCTGATTTGGTAGGTATAGCTGAACGCTTCATTTTCGGTAGAACTTGTCGAATTACGGTTTCAGTAGACCGACTCTTACGGCGATCATGCTTGGAAGAGCCAATGTTCTCAGAACCGCCTGGATGTACAACATTTTCGGATTCACCTACAGCAGATCCTCCAGTGGATTTTGACGGACGTGAGAAATTGCGAACGGAAACGATGGGGAGGGCCTCATCAGAACCTGCGATGGTCAGTTCGGTAAGAGCTACAAACTAGCACGGTAGTCACACTCACTGCCGTCAACTTTGTTACTCTTCAGAGATTGTGGAATCGGACTCAAGACAGGTTCGTGGTCGTGGACTGACGACCAACGCCGCCTGTGTTGGCTCCACGTTGGGAACCTTTGTTGCATCTGCCGACGTTGTTCTTTGGCGTGTTCCATCTTTTCAAGTCTTGACCGTCCTTTTTGAAGCAGAATCTTCTCTGTCTCTGCTTGTTCCTCTAACCTGGCCTCCTCGTAGGCAGCTATGGCCCCTCTCCGTCTCTCCGATAACTGTGCCAGTCGAAACTTGGCAGAGGGCGGAGTGGTCTCTGAGCTCAGAGTACTCGTCGGTGTAAGTACAGCGAACTCACCCGAGTATGGGTCGGCACCTTGGACGCCCAGCCAGTCACCACTTTCCTTCAAGCTTCGCCTGCTTTTCCGTCTGGCCTCTTTGGTCTTAAGCGCATCGTGAATCTCACCCGTTGTTATGGGCTGGGACTTATCACGTTGTCTCCATACTCTGGAGGAACTCTCGAGAGCTTGTGGATCTTCTAGCGACTTTTGTGGCAAGGCAAAGTCAGGACCAGGTGTCCGCCGAGGAATGCGGGATGGCTGAATGAGCTTATCGCGCAGCCGAGAGCGTCCTCGTTGGGTACTCGGGTTCTTGTTCATATGTTGCTGACTATTGGCGATTTGCTCTGGTGGCGGAGGCGTGACGGGAGGATCTTGAGCTAAGTTCCATTCAGTCAAATCATTAGGATTCATGCCCAAGTCGAGGTAGGCAGAGTCGCTGTCATTTGTAACATGAGGACCGCGTACTGTGCCACCCTGTTCTGGGCGATGGCTCGGGAGAATCTTGCTAATGAAATTAGAAAGCGATGTTTTCCTCTTGTCCCCGGGGAAGCCATCGCGGGCAGACATGTCTTTGACCATACTTATGCCTATGGAGACTCGAAGCTCACAGTTTGGGCTTAGAAGCGAATATAAACAATGAGATGAAGCAGGACAGAGGAAAAGATCAAGACGGTAGACGGCGAACTCGGGTATAGAAGAGACTACGATGGATGGGCAAGGACAAGCTCTGGCACCAAGGTTCTCGGGCTGTTGGGATTCACCTGGCAGCTACGAGGCTCGAACGCAACTGCTAATAGCCGCCCAATTAGGGGTGAACGAACGCTCTTGCTTCGAATTGCACCATGCATCGATAAGATGGACACGATAGGATGAACATGAGGTCAAAACAACATCTCCAAGTGTGTACCACGGATGGACTAAGACTAAGAGTCACGTAACGCAGTCGGACAGGAGCAACGGGCGGCAGTCATTTACAGTTTGAAACAAGACTTGACTTTCCATCCCCAAGCACAAAGTATGCAAGACAAGGTATATCGAAGCAAGGCAAAAGGCAAAAGGTATTAAAGTTTGGCAATCCTCATAGCCCACGTAGCTATTCCCCTATCCTATCTTGCTCGGTGGTAGACAGAGAGGTCGGGTCAAAGTGCTGAACAAGCACTCAAGGTATGTTCGATATTCATGGCAAATAGATGCCATCTCCACCCACGCAACAAATGGAAGTATCAGTTAAGTACAGCAAACGCCGGCCCATGAATCACCCCAGCGCCATAAATGCATATGCTCCTGTGTAATAACTACACGTGTGTAGCTGGCCGAGCAATAACATACAGTCAGCAGACATCCTACAGCCTCTAGTCCATATGTACAATCCCACGACATCCCCATATACCAACTTGCCTACTGAAACATGGAAGGGTATCTCTCGTAGGAAGAGGAAGCGTTCCGTCGACCCCAGCTATTAGATGTAGAAGGGTTTAGAGATGTGGTGGCGGCACCAGCACTTTTCCTCGCGCTCTTCATTGGAGTGGAGCTTCGGTCTCTTTGAAGCGACTGATATTGTTCTAGCTGAGCCATCTCTCCATTGGTGCGTGGAGACCTGAATTGGAGCTCACCAAGGCTTGGGGCCTTCTTCAGGGGGGAGTTCGGATGATTCATCACCCCCATATAACCTCCTCCACCACCACCAGTCCCAGTAGATGTATAGGCCACTGGCTGATTCGTGCCTTCCCTCAATGGCGTAGGTCCAGGCGTACTTCGTCGTGCCGGTTGAGCTGAAAGCATCCGATTCCGGACTTCACCGCCAAACTGACCGGTATGTCTTGGGGCGGCAGTTGGGGTAAATAATGCTGGGCTTGCCGAGCTGCTCGTGTATTTTGAGCTTGTTGAATGATCTGGGTCGATGTGTTTCGTATAGTTCGGATTGGGACGAGTCTTAAAACCTCTGCGAAGCTGTACTGTAGGTGTCCCAACCTCAACAAAATCCGTGTCGTTACCGAAATCGTCTCTGGCGAACTGGGTGCCTGCGTCTCTGACAGTAGGGTACATGAGAGGGTGAACAAACTTGGTGTCATATTCATGCATGACTTCTTTCTGTATCACCGATGAATCCTTATTTTGCTGCGAGAACCGGGACTGGAATAGCATAAGCTGAATGGATAGGATGACTTGAAGCACAAGACAGTTGAAGACGGTGACGCTTGGCCTTGCGTCAAGTGGCGCCAAAGGGAGGAACATCATGTAGACGAGAATATGCCCGGGGCCAAATAGGCAGAATATGCGCAGGCATATGGGAAGGGGATCCCACATCGATATCTCCCATACATCCCGCGTGCTATCCGGATGCGCTCTCGACTCTGCACTTTCGGGACTAATAACATCTGCCAGTAAGCGGAGCGGGGATGACGAAACAGGTGACGATTGTACGCGAACGCGACGGGCAGAATGTGTTTCCAGCTTCTTCTCGACATCAGCTTCGAAGAGTCGGTATTTGCGCGACCGGTACATGGTATAGTAGGCGTTGACGGCAGAGAAGCCGATCAGAAACCAGACAATTACCCCAAGCTGTACGTGAATGGTTAGTCACTTGTCGCTTGTAGAGTCCACTGATACCGCGTCTCTCTTGTTCGACCTCCCCATTTCTCTTCTCTCTACTTACTAGATAAGCTATCCACCCTGAAGTGCTCGAACCATCCTCGAATACGGGATCTGCTGCGCGTGCACCGCCACTATTGGCGCGGGCGATGAGGAAAACGAAGTTCATGACCAGGCCGAGCTGTGTACCGACCGTCTTGGAGCTCCAGTCATAGGTTTCGATCTCTTCGGAGAGCCACAGCAGGAAATCCATAGGATTCAGCATGATCTTGACGCGTTCCATGAACGGTCTCTTCCGTACGAGCCGCGGCATCTTGTCGGAGCTGCCTTTGTTATTATTTGGTTACGATAGCTGGCATGTGAATGTTGACGATGGATGGCTCGCTTGGCGGATAGTTCGTCAAGCCTAAAGCACAGTCGAATATGGGCCCTATAGGAGATGGTCGAGCCGTGGACAAAGAGCCCCGATATGCCCTCAGTCGAAATAAATCGAAGACGTCGTATCAGGTAGAGTAAAGAAAATATTGCAGGGGTTGTGGTTGCTATGGATGAAAAGGCTCCAAATGTCATTGCTGGCGTCTTTAGTGCTGCGTCTAGCACTTAGGTAGGTTTAGGTGGCCACTGGCCGCATACAGTGCACGGGGCAGCTAATTGGGTACCTACCTAGGTAGCTATTAGGTTGGTCGCGGGGCGGTAAGACCTGCCTAAGTATTCACCTCAAAGGCCTATAACATCTCCCATTCATGTTACGTACCGGATTGTACAAAGCTGCAGAGGAGCTGGTCTGAGCATCGTGACCTTCCACGCCGCATCCGGCCAGACGACACATTCCCACCACACCGCAAGCAAAGCACACATCATTCACCCACCATGGCGGCGTCCCAAGCAGATTACAAGGACCGACAATTCCTGGCCGTCATTGGGGACGAGGTATGTTACGTGCGGAGCTCTCAGCGCAATCTATACAGCCCACTCACCTATATACCTACCTAGTCAAGCTAGATAGCTAACAGACATTGTGATCCAGGATTCAGTAACGGGCCTGCTGTTGGCCGGCATAGGCGTAAGTCTCACCACGCCATGTCTAGTTGTCCCTCTCAGGCAGGACCATAGTAGAGAAGAGAACAGAGCAGAACGGCGCAGAATGGAATAGGATAGAGCTACCTCCTTCGCCGGAACGAACGAACGAATGAATGAATGAATGAATGAATGAATGAATGAATAGATAAACGAACGTTTGACTAACACCTGCATACCCATGCATACAGCACGTCACAAACCCGCCCGATTCGCAGAAGAACTTCCTCGTAGTCGACAACAAGACAGAGACGTCCGCAATCGAAGCCGCCTTCGACAGCTTCACGACGCAGCGCAAGGACATAGGCATCGTGCTGATCAACCAACACGTCAGTGCCCCCGTTTCCCCTCTTCGTCTATTTCCTTAATCACAATCTATATCAAACCCCCAATATTAACAGCACCAATATTCCCTCCATTTCAGGTCGCCGATAAAATCAGATACCGCATCGACACCTACACGGCCGCTTTCCCCACGATCCTCGAGATCCCCAGCAAAGAGCACCCGTATGACCCGGAAAAGGACAGCGTGCTGAGGAGAGTGCGGCGTCTGTTCGGAGAATAGAGGATAGAATGGACAGTGTGGATGGGGGAATAGAAATTATTATCGAAGAACTTGTATTGCCAAGTTACTAAAGGGATGTGCGGCTTCATAATCGTCGGGAGAACAAAATTGTCTGTGTTCGACGTTGTTGCATTGTTGATAGATGACCTCAGGTGTAGTCCATAATCATCCACCCTTGGTCCGGAACGGATCAGGTGATGTACACGATTCATTGAATTCCATAGAACTATGACACTCCTCCATCTAGTGAATTCAAATATATAGTAGATTACTCAGTTACGCAAGTGCTGCAAAAGACTACGATAACACCCGGGTCACGCCACAATAATAATGTCCAATAAAGCGCATGGACCAGCTCGCATTGCTTGTAGCTATTATCTTAAAAAGAACTCGGGCCATAATATCAAAAAAGGCCTTTCTTCCTTCATAACAACCGATCCCTTAAAAACGCCGAATCAAGAAAACGATAACGCTCAACGATGCCGCAGTTTGATGCTGTGGGAGGAAAGGGGAAGGGAAACCCGTGCAGACTACCGTAGATCTCGCAACCTCCTCAAAGTGAATGACGAAGCGATAAACAGGTATGTTTACGTATCTATATGGCTATGACTTGACACGTCACCGGCCACCCTTGGATAGATACGTACATCAAGTCTCATCACATTAAGAACGATTGCCAGGCTACTTCTCACTATTGCTCACTGTCCCTTGCAAAGGATACCAAACAAACAACTTATAACTCATTACCAGAGTCGACGGCCCCGGACTTCGGCTTGCCCATGCCAAAGGTCACGGTGGCCTGAAGGCAGGTAACATGAGTGTCATCGTCGTTGTAGACGTCGGCAAAGACGTTGTAAGTTCCCTGACCATGCTCAGTTAGTTTATACCATCATAGCGACAAACCAGGTAGCAGCAGCTCAGACAAGCTGCGCTGTAACAAAAATCGAATACACAGAAACGGAGAAGAACGTACGGGCGGGATCTCCTTAGGCAGATCAACAGACTTAGTGATCTGGAGCACGCCCTTCTCAATGGGGCACTTGAGGTCTACATTCTCGACCTGCTCGCACAGGTCGGCCGTGGTGCTGATGAGGCGGATCAGACCGTACTTGACGACCAGTTTGACGTAGGCGCCCTTTCGGATGGGTTCGAAGACGGTGCCCGCGGCACGGATGACGAGGGCGGAACCTCTGTACCGCACAATATCTATTAGCCAAACGCCCGTTTACCATGCACTTTCACATCCACATCTCCACAGCTCCGCTACTGTCCCCACCGTCATTACAAACAAGCGCATGTTCAATGTCAAGTTCCATCGATCGGCGGAAACAGAACAGAACTGATAAGATGAAAAGAAGGCTGGATGGGGACGGAACAGCAACGTACGCCTCGGGTGGGTTCGGCAAGAGGTCGACCTTCTCGATAGACACGGTATCCTGGGCGCGCTCGGCATTGCAGAACTCGAGGGGTGAATCGCCAGGGACCTTGTTGGCCTCGTTCACGACGATGTCGTCGGCGCCGCCGAACCAAGATCCGGCGGAGACGAGGCTGCCGGCAGACAGCGCAGCGACGCAAGCAGCAGCGGAGAAGAGTCTCATGATGAATTGTCTACTTAGTAAGTAGGTATTGATGACTGTGACTGTATTATCGGTGATGACGGTCGGGTGATATTGGGTGATTCCGACGAAGACGAATTCTATCGACGGTGATGATACGATGGAATGAATGTACCAGAACTATTTATCGACTGTAGAATAAGAAGGTTGGTCAAATGAAGGTAGGTATGATACCTAGGTAATGAGGAGGCGGAGGTGGCGTACCTCTAGGCTGGCTGGCTGGCGGTTGTTGCAGCGATCTGAGTCGGGATTTGCCTACTTAGGTTGGGACAGTTGAGAGAGGCGTGTTGCTTGGCGATGCTGCGTCATGAGACTGGTGGAGGGGATGTCTAATTGGCTGTAACCCCTGTACGACTCCCCCAACTCTTCCCCAACAAGCCGCTATCAGACCGCTATCAGACCGCTATCAGACCGCTATCAGACCGCTATCGTACACCTAGCCTGCTGACCTAGGTACCTAGGTAGCTCCAGTCCACAGTACCTATTTACCTAGGGAAGTACCTAACTGTAGTGGCAATATGTGCTAGGACAATCTAGGTAGAGCCAGCCAGCCGCAGGAAGCTGACCAGATCAGATCATCGCAAATACAGATAGATAAATACCTTCTTTTCGTAGGTAGTATCTGACACAGTGATTCAGACTTCAATTACAGATATGACAGATCGTGCAACCGAATACCACCATCCGAGTTGATGTGATCTTATTCCAATACTTTCAACAGAATACATGTTTCACGAATTCTTTTCACTATCTCCATAGCCATGGAACATGAGGCAATAGTAGTCCAGCCAAGTCAATACCTTGCATGAACATGTCTCACTCAATATCTCCCTACCGTACCCAGTACCTACATTCATGACACGAGACATTACATGTATGCATGCATGTATGTATGTATGTAGGTATGTAGGTACGAGTTCATCACATCACAAGACAACACACAGTCAGAAACTCAAGCATTAATTACCTCATCATTAACCCCATCATCCCCCATACTATCAATCAAAAAAGATATAATAAACCTAGTAAATGACTCGAAGAAAGAAGAAAGATAATTATGTAAAACCAGCGTTTCGTCATAGAGGAGAACATGGGTATCAAACAAAACACTTCCAGTTCCAATTCCAGTTCCACTTCCTGATAGAATGGAACACAGTAGACAAGATAAAGATAAATGCTGAAGTGAGGCCTCCCGAACAAATCGCAAGTCCAACAAACAACGATTTTTCCAAACCTAAGCATTAGGAAAGTATGCCAAGAAGAACAAGAGCGCAAGACTGATGTCATACGCGCGCTCAGGCCCTCATCTCATGCATTGCAGCTGCATTCGACGATCGATCGTGTTGTAGTTAGTGAGCATTCATTTTAGCCCAGGGTATCCTTAGTAATAAATCTTCTCCTCCCACACCGGCGGGCGGACCGTCTCCGTATCCCACTCGAGCTTATTCTTATCCGTGAGCGTGCACCCCTCGTCAGTGATGGGGATGACCCGTCCGGTGTCGCGAACCTCCTGCTTCGAGATACCCATGGGATCTTCCGGGATCCACAGCAATGGGGCCCCACTAGTCACCGCAGGCGGACAGTACGCATCGCGCTCGACTTCGTCGGCGTATTCCCTGTAGACAGTGACATCGCCGGTGGGGACGAGCTTGCGCATCGCTTCGTAGTCGGCGTACTGCCAGGGTTTCAGAAACTTCGTGAATAAGTTCGGTTTCTTCTGGCTGGGTGATGATGACGATGATCCATTGACACCGTCCAAGGAGCCATCCTTCTCACCGTTCTCAGCAGCGACCATCGTATCCCGGGCAGCCTGCTCTTCGGCAAGAGTCCGGGGCAGGTTGTACAGAAGCGGGTCGATAGCGTTGTTGATGGTGATGTGCAACAGCGCGGTGAAGATGAGGAAGATGACCATCAAGATAGCTGGGCCAATGGCCGCAGATGCGCCGAAGATACCTACCATGCTGAGCTCGGCGATATACACGCCCACGAAGAGTTGTTTCAGAGCCCGTGGGTAGATGAGACCACGGGTGTCGATCTGAGTATCCGTGACAAAGAAAATGTTGTATCGCCATGCGAAATAGAAGATTGAGATACCGATAGTAGCGAACCCCAACATCAATGGCGCGATGGTTGCATATGTGATGCCTAAAAACCGATTAATACCACGTCACGTATAAAGAACGGAGAGGGGTGAGGCAAGTAATCGGAAACTTACTAATGACTGCGATGTTGGTGTACACGGGTAAGACGCTACCCCAAGAAATAGCGCTCAAATTCGCCCATTTGGTGTAGAGCGCACGAGGCGTCCCAGACAGGAACTTGTAAATCAAGGTGAAGATGACAAAACCAACAGCCTGTGAGAGCACACTGGAGGCAATGCCCAGACCCTGGACGATGAAGTAAGAGATGTAAAAGTTGGAGGCTTTGGGGATGTTTTCTGCGAGAAGGCTAGTGACCATCCCAGGATCCTGGAAAATTTGATATCCAACGGTTGACGCAGCAGAAGTGATGGTGGAAATCAAGAATACTTGGATGACTTGGAAAGCAAAGTAGGCGTTCTGGGTAAAGAGCTCGACTCGGGAAAGACTTGGCTCTCCGGAGAGTTTCGCGCAGACTATTCTCGCATTAGCCCGTGAATATTCGAAGTCGAAGGAAAGAAGGAGGAAAGGAGAGTGAGGCCGTGATGATCTGATGTTACTTACTTCTCATGATGATAGGGACAAGGGACATGAGGACCGACAAAAGGACGGAGGGCAAAAGACCCTGCACAAAACCCAAGACCACCTGAGGAATCAATGAGATCCATTGGAGGAAGAAAATCGACTCCAGATGCTTAATGTTGGAAATAATACCAACGACCGCGACGGGAATGGCCCAGAAGATGATGAGGGCGCTGATAAAGCCGACAACAGCGAATCGGCGGACCACCCTCTGCCACCACGACACCCTCAGCGCGCTCCAAACCACCTCGCCTGGAGTGATGCCGATGTACTTGGGGGTCATCTGCAAAGCCTGGTGATGCGCCAACACTTGGTACGCCGATTCCGCATCAGCTTGGTTAGTGAATTCGACGAACACGCTGTTGATTTGCTTGTATTTCCCATCACGATATTCGTGCTGGCGTTTCTCTACGTCGGGAATGAGACGTTCGAGTTCAGTGCGGCACCACGTGATGGTGTCCACCTTCTTGCCGACTAGTCCCAGGAACCCAAGCCGATGAGATGGCCGTTTCTTAGGGGGTACCCATCGGGCAGCCAGGTTTCCTGACTCGGCATCGGCTTGTGCACCGGCTCTCTCGTCGACAGCGCCCTTCTTCACTGCCGTGATACGCGCCTTATTAGCCAACTTGAGCAGCTTGACCTCGGCCTTTTCAAGTTTCATAGCAACCTTGTCACGCTCCTTCACTAATTTCTCAAGTTCCTTCGTGTCTCCGGCGATCCAGATATTCTTGACGGACTCTCCAAATACCTTGCGTAGTCTAGCCTCGTCCAAATAGGGATCCGGCACAGAAACGAAGAGGACTGTGCGCGAGGAAATTCGGTTGCTGTAGACGGGGGATAAAAGGAACGCCTGGCGTAGATTGACGTAGAGGATGGACTCGCGCACAATCATGTACATGACGAAACCGTAGAAGATCCAGGCTATGAATGTGTGAGCATAGTAGCGGTTGTACTGCGTATCCTTGTTGACGTTGGAGTAGGACAGAAGGTTAAGCTGGACCTGGCCTCCTCCGCCGGTGATATTGACGGGGAAGAGTACAGGCCACGTGATGCAACATCCTACAAAGCAAATGACGATGAGGATCTTCATGAAGCGGAGAAATAGGTAGGCATCGAGAGACTGGTGTTGGAGAGGATGGTAATCTGATATCTTCCAGAACGGAGCTATCCAATTGAATAAGCCATTTGGAAGTGAGGGTGATCTCTCACTACATCACGCAATGAGATTAGTAAGGCTATATTATACATATATTGGAAGGATGAACATTGGGGAGAATCAAGCTTACCTCTCTCGCAAACTTCCCAAGTAGGTTCTAGGAGCATAGAAGCGTCTTTGGCTCTTGCGCAGAACCAAGAAAATGGCTATGTACGCGGCGGCTGTGAGTGCTACGGGGCCTAAGGTGAGATATAGACCTGATGGATAGAGAAGCAATCAGCATCGACGGCGCGGCACATATGTCATCAGAGGGCACAGCAACTTACCGGCGGCGGATGCGTCTTCGGTACGCGCCGACCCCGGGTCACTCATGTTGGCGAGTAGGGCCTTGGTCGTTGGCCTCGACGACAATCAATTGTAGTTGAAACAGGAGGTCCGAATGCCTAGCAAATCTGGATGCGAATGAGCACCTATATAAATTTCATCGAGGACCCCGACAGGTAATCCCATGCGCACGCAGCGGATCAGGTATTCATGGCATCGCATAGGTAATGTGGGTGTAGGTGGGGAAAGCAAAAGGTCCAGTTGCTTTTATGTGACATGACAAGGTAGAGTGGGAATTAATTGAGAATGCACGATGAAATGATGAAATAATAACAACATGACGAAATGAAGTGCCATTACTCACCTACCACCTTACTTCGTACAGCCCGTGGTGACACTCAGGTATGCATGTACTTTGTTTGTGTGTTGTTGTGTTTCAGATGGTGTCAGTGCTGGATTTGCCCTCGTCGTCGGTCGTATTGGTCGAGGTCTGGTGAACTCTTCCTTCACACGCAATGCCTAATTTGCCGTGGTTCTGTCGGTATGTCACCTTGGCGGCGCAGCAACCGTCAACAAGCGAGAAAGGTGGTCGTCGGGATTTGGTGTAGCTGTAGCTGTATTGCAGACGGTATATCACACAACGAAACAGTCCCCTCTATACCTTTCTCGTCGGGTGAGGGGAAAGAATAGATCAGACAGAAAAGAAGAGAGAGAGACAGACAGGTTGTTTATGTGGTCAACACAGGCTCTAAATGAGAGGGAGAGATCGTGGTAACTGGTCAAGCCCCCTCGACCCACGTTGTCACGATAAATCCCAGATTTTTTTCAGTAGCCGCGATCTTGGAGCTGGGATCCGCTGGGGATCTGCTGGGATTAGCTGGGCTTGTGGTGGAAGCCAAGACCCAAGCTCTGCTCAAGCTGCGGCCTATGACGGAATCGCGCTCATCCCCTAGTCGAGCTGATCAGCTTTAGGTCCCCTCATTCTGCCTCCATTACGTAGCATCAGGTTTTGGACAATCACCATCCATCCCTCCCTTACATCTATCTACTTACATACATCTACGTACTCACCTAACCACTGATCATTGACCGTCTTATCCTAGGTACTGAGCAATCACGGCTACGTATAGCGCCATGCGGTAATCTAGCGCCTCATTACGCTGCCTAGGTAGGTATATAGGTAATTCATGATGTATTGCACCGGCTCCTCGATGGTGGAATTCGATCGTGCATCCCCTACTTGCGTTGCGGAGTACAGGCAGGTAGTAAAAGCATTATACACGTACGTTAATTATAGCAGAATTATAGCAGAATGATAGCAGAATGATAGACAGGTCCCATATCACGTCCCAGACACGTCCCTATATCATGTCTCTCATTAAGAGCCGGGGTATCACAGCGCAGTTCGTGTTCACTTCCCTGTACACTGCTATATCTATCAATTGATCTACAACAGCAAGCAGGAACAGGTGGTAGATCAGGGTATTCTCCAAGTCAGAATCCCGGTACACGTCCATCCCCCTCTTTTCGTCGCCTTTTTCGTGGGCAGAATGGGCCTCCCGTTATTACGCAGGACGTAGTCGGTGGAATTAGCATTTGGCTCCCTCTCATCTTGGCCAGGTAACCCATGCCATCGAGGGCCGGCGCCGAAATAAAGTCTAGACCGCCGGAAGCTGTAATGTATGCGCTAGGTGCTACCGGTTGATGGATGGACTCAGTGTCAGTGTAATATCGTCATTGGGCAGATGAGGGTAGCAGTTGTGCTAGCACTATTTGCTTCCTAGCATGTCAATAGGTTGGCTTGTTTCTAACCTTGGTTTCTTTTCTCTCTGTCGTCCTATCTTTTCGCAACGGTTTTTGTCGCTTGGGCGCCCGCATAGTTACATTACCTAGACCGAGAGTGTTGTGGTACATGCTCATCTTGCTCGGCACTAGATTATTACCTTAGGTAGGTATTCTGCGAAATCTTCACTAGCGGTATAGGCAAAGGAGAGTCAAACTAAAAGGTAAGCAATCGGGGAATCTAGAAGGGTAAATGTACACAGGGCTTTGGGTAGCGATATGATACCTAGGACTCAGATAAGCCGACGACAAACTGCTGTGGCGGTTTCACCTTAATGAACTTGACATCGGAACTACCGCCGTACCACGAGCTGTCACGGCCTACCAAAATGGACGGCGATCGGGAACAAGCATCAGACGCTTACCGGTAGTACACTACTACTATACAGCGCTCTCTATCTTCCATTTAATAGGGTGCTCCAGTCTTGAGAGGAGGTAACATACAGCCCATTCTAGGTCACACATCCAATGATTGTCGATCGTGGCTAGCTGATCGCTACGCCTAATGTTGTTCTGGCCGAAAGTGGCATGATCAACTAAACTGGGCGAGCGGTGACGCCGTCACTAGGTACATTCCCACGAACCATTGTCCACAACACCATCATCGTGTCTTTTGTCGTCATGGGTGAAACAGACAGATGAGCCTATTTGAATCCCAACACCATAGACATTGAACAGAGACAGCATTTACTCACTTAAGAAGCTTCTAGTATCCGTATCAGTATCGGTATCAGCATCGTTATCAGTGTTATCATCACAAGCCTAGGGGCAGTCGCACCCAATCTACTCCGTACCTACCTACCCAGGTAGCCAATACATATGTAAATAAATACCTACACACCTACTTAGGTAGCTTTGCGAGTCGTGAGGGCACAGGAACACAAATTGAAATTGACCCAATCCTAGAACAGCTTTCAAGCAAGTGAAATCAAACCACACTCATCCGTTCGCATTGCATTGTACAAAAGACGCAAGAAGTAGCCGGATGCGGAGGGTAGTAACTCCCCATTCCCAGCATCCCCCTTCAGCATTGGAGATGGCCCGTCCTACATTGTAATCCGGCTATTGTCCATCGCGCTTCGGCGAGATATCAGCTAGATGATAGAATGCGAAGTTCTCAGTTGCAAGCAGGAGTTTTGTTGTCAACCATGTCTTGCATCATCTCGCAGAAATGCTCACGGGAATCTGCAGGGTTCGTCAACAATAGAGGTCATCAAGACGGGAACGTCTTTGTCCATGAAGACCCGGCACAGAAATGTCTCAGAGCTCTCTCAACGTTCCCCTTCCGGAAGAATCCAGTCTCTCTTATTTCGCTTTGATGGCCGCCAACAATGAATCATTGGATCCTCTCTTCACCGTTGTTGAGCCGTGTCTTCCTCGCTCTTATTCTGCCAAGTACCCTTCATCACACACTTGGCTTGAGAAGCAGTCGCTATCATCTAATTTTAGCGCGCTCGCGGCTCGATGACACCAATCATGGCCACCATAGACACTCCCATGGCGGATTATTATTCGGAGAGGGACCATCAGGTGTGGAAGGATCATGTAGCCAAAACACACCCGGCGCCTCCGCCGCAAGTAACGGAGGTTTATGATCAGATGCAAGGGTTTTTGAAGAGCACGCACTGGTCAAAACCTTACTACAGCGCCTTGGTTCATAATAACCCTCAGCTTCCCTACCATCTACTCGAGCACGTCAACTGTACCTATTTATCGACACCAGGCAGAGCGCCCACTCTGCTCGCTTTGAAACAACATGCTCAGTCTTTAGCTGTCCTGATCTCTCTACTGGCGCCAGCCCAGCATGGAGGAACCCTTAAAGCTCCAGGTGATGAAAAGACAATCGGCGATGCTCCGTTTGCTGCAGAACAGGCATTTGACTGGCTCAACAACCTACACGAACACTATAGCACAGAAGACAGAGCGCACAAGAAGCCTCTAAATGCACTCGTGAACCTAGTGAAGAGCAACAGCGACACCACAGGGCCAAAATGGCATTGTCCTCTCGATACGACGGGGACTGAGTTTCCCGAGAAGCATCCTTTCCCACAGTACCGTCCTTTCGAGTCCCACATGACGCTGCTAATGCACGCAAACGAGATTCTTGAGCGTCTGGACCATGAATATTCGGCCATGGGCGGCATTCTGGGCATTATCCCACTCGACAGCGAGAATGTGGAAGAGCAACGAGCCCTCTCGCGAGCCAAGACGACACTGGTAGGGCAATGGATTCTGTACACACAGCATCTCGTGGCTCGTATGCATGAGCTTGAAATTGCCTATGGAAATAGCCTAGATCTGCTCGCAAACGAGGCCATTGTACCCATGCAGTCTATCGGCATCGCTGGTCCGGATGGCCGTTCCGGCCGAGAGATTGTCTTTCCACAAGACCGTTGGATCATGGCAAATTCCGGCGAGGACGTATTCACCTACATCCATCGCATGCTCGACAGGGCGGAGGCTCATCAGGATGCGCAAGATGATAAGTTCGCGGAACACAAAGTACTGGGCGACGCGGCGTACTCGGGCAATGAAAATCTTAAATATCGCGGCATCGTGAAGGTCGACCTAAGCACCCGCTTTTATCGATTGAGGGGCAACGGTCACGGGCCTTTGTTCGTTCTGCCTGCCTTCGGGGATCGTACAAACACCAAGCACACAAGAGACATGGAGAACCGACCCACTGTGGTTGCGATACCACAGCCTCACACCACAGAATCAGTGAACGCATGGGAGTCTAAACATAAGGACGTCGACGAAGAAATCCTAAAGCTAAGCATCCAGAAATCTAACCTCGAAGGCAAGGTTGCGCAGCTCCAGTCATCAGTGGGAATGCGCGACCGTGAAATTGAGAGGCTGAATGAAGCCCAGAAACAGTACGACGAAAAGATTAGCAAAGCCGACAAGGATCTGGCGAAAGAGGTGGTGTACCTGCGCGAGAATGTTCAATATTTCCAAAAACTGGTAAAAGAAGGAGAGGAACGTGAAGAGAGCCTCAAAGAAGACTTACAAAACTTTAAGGATGCCAATATCGCCAGCCAGAACAATGAGAATGTCGTCACTCCCCTGGTTAACAAGGTCAACGACCAACAGTCCCAGATTCGCGAGCTTCAAAAGCAAATCAAGGAGGGTGAGAAGAAGAACGAAGACCTCGCACGGGATAACGATACCCTCCGAATTCTTAACACCTCTCCTCTAAATTCTAGGGCAGCTGCTAGCCCAGAACAAGTAACCCAGCTCAAAGCCCAACTCTCTGGTCTCCAACAGGAGAGGCAGATGCTACAGTCAGAAGTCCACAACCTCAAGAAGACAAAAACAGTCAAGGGAAAGATCCTCAATTTCCCTGACGGCTTCAGGTTCGGCAAGAGTGGCGTCTTCGAGGACATTAATGCAAATATAGCAGCATGCTCTGTTGATGCATACAGGTCTCTGCTGGCAGCCGAACAGGAGAGGAACGAGCTCAAGAAAACGTTGGACGACGGTGTCTTGGCCTCACACACACGCCAGGAAGAGCTGACTACATTGAGATCCGAGTGTTCTCGATTACGAGACGAAAACGCCGAGCTTAGGGCTACATGTGAAACCACTACACCATCCAAGATCATCAACCTGCCGTGGAAGCTGCAGTTCGCGAGCGTATACAGAGATGATAATCAAGGATTGGTCGCTATAAATACAGACTTCTTTGATCATCTAATGCAGTGTGACAAGAATATCGGCGATTTCAGAGATGCGATTAAGAACTTGGAACACCAGGTCAAGCAGTTGAAAGCCCCAGTCGATATTGACTTCATCGGAAAATTACCTCAAGCGCTTGGAAGCAGCCAGTCGAAGATCTACAAGGACACCAAGCGTAACATTGTCGTCCTGACGGCCGACTATTACGATTCGCTGTCCGCGGGAGACCATGACACGGTAGCTACCCAGCAAGCACTGAAGACGTCTAAGCAAAAGGTGCAAGTTCTAGAGCAGCACTTGAGGGACGCGAGAGAACAGCTCGCCAAGGCTCAAAGCGGCATGGACACTGAGCTACCCGACCTCCAAAACCAGCGGGATATGCTCGAGTCGCAGCTCTCCAAGGCGCTGGCACAACGCGTGGAGCTTGAGCGGAAGATTATGAAGATATCCTCCAACACGCCGGTGTCGGCCCTGCACACCCAGGTCCACAATGTCCAGAAGGAGCTAGTTGAGGTCACAAAGAATACAGAGGAGAAGGACGCCGAACTCACAGAGCTCCAGGGTCGGTATAAGGCGCTGCAGATGAACGAGACCAACCTCCGGCGGGAAGTCGGAGGCCTTCGCCAGAAGCTATATGATGCGACTAAGCAGCAAAAGGGCGCTGCCGGCCTCAGCAAGCAGCAAAAGGAGGAACTTGAGTCAGCACGGCAGGAGGCAGAGCTTTACAGGGAAGAGCTCGAGACAATCCAGAAGCTGTGGAACGACCTGCAGACGCAGCACATAGTGTTGCAGACAGAACTCTCGCAGGCGAAGGAGAGCTGCGATGAAGAGAAGGCCCACCTGGAGCAGAAGCTGAAGGAGAGCGCGTCCGAGATCAAGGTGCTGCAGATGAAGGTGCTCGCGGACCCGAACAAGGTGAAGCCGGCGATGATCGAGCTGGAGGCGCAGCGGAACGCGGCGTATAAGAACCGTGACGCGGCGCGGTTGCGGATTAAAGAGCTAGAGACGGAGCTGAACGCGGCACAGGCAACCAAGTAGTCAATAGATACAGATGGGCAGCCATTTGGGAGTCGTAATCAATTAGTCATTTACACAAGGTACAACGAGGCTGTGGATAGGACATAACCTTGCTCCTTCATGATGCACATGGCCGGTACCTAGTTAGCCGATCACAGGCAGTCGTCGTCTATTAGTGTTTCTCATCCCATCGGGGTTTTACCGGCGACTTCTAAAAAATCAATAATAGGCGGTGACAAGATGGCATGGCATTGTTTGTATGTATGTATTTATCTAGTAGGACCTCAATATAAGCACACATAGGCAGAGAAGGATTTTCATTTGTCACATGGAGCGAGCTGTCCGTCTTTGCAACGTTCCATATGTCATTACTAAGTAAGTACCTAGGTACTCAGTATGGTACCTAGGCTTACAGCTATATTTGGGAAGTTGAAACAATTACCTGCTCCGGGAAGAAGATAAACGCGTACAGGACTATTCCCAGCAATTTCCAGCATCAAGTTCATGCAGCTCATGTCACGGTGGTGAGCCAAACCCAATCCACAATGGTTCCCGCCCCTAAACAACATGTATGTAACCCTAGATCTCTAAGTAAGTCGAGACCCGGGTGGGTAATACCAAGTTCTCTCACATAGAGTAAGTAGGATGGCTCGGATGGGACGCGACGCTACTACAAATAGAGATTGGCATGGGTGTGATGCAGACATACTATTGGTTTTATTACTTTATCTTGGACGCGGGCGGCGCGGCAGTGGAACCTCGGCGAGGGAGCGTTGTCGTGACAACGGAGAAGACACCCCGCAGTAAACATGATGCGACCTGCTCCAACAAGAAGGCAAGTCGCGATAATGCCGCCGAGATTCAGATTCAGGACTACACTACCACCTAGATTCAAGACTAGATTGACTGAGTGATGGTTGTGTCCTCTGTGATGGGGGAATCCCGAGGCCAATGATCCATCGACTTTGTTGTGGTTTCCATGGTTTGATCCTGTTCGAGTCCCCGAACAAAGGATTGTTATGGTGCATCTGATCTTTGCTGTACCATAATCATCGTCATTCTTGATATTATTATTCTACCATTTCACCCCTTCTCTCTTGTCGAGTATCCCAATCACACACAATTATGAGGATAATAGGTGTGTGTGATATAGCTACCTAACCCAGGTAATTAATTCTAGGTACACACGTGTACCTCCCCGTTGTACCTGGCTATCCATACCCACCCCATTCGACCCGGGAAGAATATCTCCATCATCTGAGACCTCAACCTCTCCTCTCGATGCCCTTGTTCTATGCCTCATCACCCCACCTTTTCTACCCACAACAAAAACCCTGATCAGCCAGATCTTTCCAGGAACCCCTAGCCTGCCTGCCTTGTCTGCTATCTGTCTGCCAGCACATTGGGTGACCAGACTGACTGACAGACAGACAGACAGACAGACGTAGGTACCCGCCTCGTGTAGGCAATAGTGGGAGACACGTTTTTGTTTCTATCGCCCAATCTCTTTCTCACCCGCTCATTCGTCACCTGTTTCGTGTACACGCACATCCCTCTTTGGCCAAACAAGGAACGATGCTTCTGTCAAGGTCGAGGTGAACAAGACAGACAATCCCCGTTCGGCATGTTGTTGCTGTCGCCGCCGGCCGGCGATGTCATCGTCGTCGCGTTACGCTCGCTGCCCTTGCGATGCGCAGCGGCTACCCGCCTCTTAACAGCGTTAACAGCCTTGGCCTGCCTCTCCGTCAATGTCGCGGCAGCACAAACGCTCCCCTACATCCCGACGAGCATATTCTTACCTGCCCCGAAACCTGGCGTCGCCGAGGACAATGCCACAGGAGGAGTTGCCTACATCTTTTCTCCTCGACGTGATTCTGTCGACTTGCTATCACTCGACATTTCTGCCACTTTGGTAGCTTCATCGCTTTCTTTCAACACTCTCTCGTCAGGTTTACCATTCTTAGAAGGTGAAAGCACGGCTTTCGTCCCTTCCCTTGCCGACAATGGGTCACTGCTCGTATATGCGGGAAACTGTTCGACCTCCAGCGGCTCTACTATCTGGTCTTTCAATCCCTCGGCTTCAGACACTACATCAACCGCATGGAACCAGGAGGACATCCAACTCGCCAAAAATGCCAAATCTCTTACCATAGGTCCTGGATTTTTAGGCGCCAGCTTCAGCTTCTCAACTATGCTAGAGCCAGAGACATCACCCGCTGATATCTTCGTCTATGGTGGCATGTGCCCAAACAACGACACAGATGCAACCAGCAATTCGCAATCACAGGCTACTTACTCTAACCAGATGGTCAAGATCTCCATGGCTCAATCAAGCGGCTATACGGTCGAGCCTGTGCAGAGTAGCGGCCCGCCCGTTCCCGAAGCTGGCTTTACATTCACCGGTTTAGCGCCGTCGTTTTCTAATCGATCCGGCATTACCACACAACAAATCAACTATGTCTTGCTGGGCGGGCACACGCAGTATGCATTCATCAACATGAGCACGGTAGCAATATGGAGTCTTCCACAAGAGAGCTGGAGTTTCGTATCGGATGTATACATGATGGGATCTGGCTCCTCGAGCAACGAATTGGCATTGAAGACTACGGCGGAGAGTGTCGACAGTCGATCAGGGCACACGGCTGTTTTGAATGGGGATGGGACTGCTCTGATTGTTTACGGAGGCTGGGTCGGTGACCTCACCCAGGCTGCATATCCTCAGCTCGCCGTTCTACAGATCGGGTCAGAATATGGTGGCGAAGGGGAATGGCAGTGGTCGATTCCTGATTCACAGCCTCCAGGCGATGGAATTTACGGTCATGGTGCTGCATTGTTACCTGGAAACGTGATGATGATCTATGGAGGTCACGCTATTTCTTCATCCGGTGCCAACGAGAAGCGACAGACTACTGGCAACACTGCATCATTCCTCAACCTCACCTCGATGACATGGTCCGATGATTACACCAACCCCTCGTACACCAGGGACTCTTCAGAGGGAAGTGCGCCAGGCCTAGGAAGCGGCCAGAAACAGAAACTCGGTCTGGGACTAGGTCTCGGTCTCGGTCTTGGACTCGGACTTATTTTCATTGTGCTCGCGATTCTCTTATTCTTTTGCTATCGCAAGAGGAAACGAAGTGGACGAACAGTCCGGGATTCCCACCTCCGTTCCCTCGCGCAAGACAATTCTCGCTTTCTGGGCCAAGATGACTTAGCAGGAGAATATGAAAATGACACCAACTGGTATATGGGCGGCCCTGATCCCTACCAGCGTGGAGGTCGATCCCTCGGCTACCACAGCTTACAGACTGGGCGAACAAGCATGGATAACAGTCGCCATGACTGGTTCGGAGACATGCCTCCAGTTCCGCCGCCAATGAAACAGATAAATCGGAAACCAGTAGCTCCTCGAGCAGCCTGGGGCCAGCACCAACCCTCATCGTCCTCTGGATATGAGCCAGTCCCTGCTCAGAGAAACGTGGGCGGCATGAACCCCATATTCGAAGCCGACGAAGACGGAACCGGAGACATCGGTGAGGAAGCGATGAGCCCCGTTCGTGACGGACGACGCGATAGTGGCGCGTATTCCGATCCTTTCCTAACGCCGACCCGAGAACGCCCAATCTCATTCCCGCCACCAACACGCACCTCTCAAACTCCTAGTCCCGAAGAACGGGTTCGCGCTTCTGTTACAGATCCTGATGTGCAAGACTGGATGACCGACGTAGATGCCGCAGATGCACTGCTGAGCGGCCGTGCCAATGCACCGAAGAGTACTGCTGCCACGGCAGGCGGTCCCGGACGAACATCTCCATCACGCCGTGGTTTCAATATCGCCGGCGAAGATGACAGCTCGCGCACAGGAAGTAATATCTCCGAGTCTAACCGCAGCAACCTCAGTCGCTCAGGTTCGCTACTTCGACAACTCCGCCCTGGATTCGGCGTCGCCGTTGCCGCCGCACTTGCAGCAACCACCGAGGGCCGAGGAGGTAGCAGTAGTTCCAGCTCGGCACCTAGTTATAATACAGCAAGGAGTAGTTTTCCGGCGCTGCAGGCTGAGGGGCCAGGGCTACTACTAGGACGAGATAAAGAAAGGGAAAAAGAAGATCCAGAGGATGAATCCCCTGAGCCGGGGAGCCCGAGTAAGAACAAACCTCGGCGCAGCTGGTTCGGTAGCTTACGACGCGTCTTCACCGGTTCAGACTCTACTCCCTCAGGCGATACAGACGAAGAAAGTCCATTTCAAGCCGGCGTTGTCGAAACGAATGACTTCGAGGCCCGCCTGAGTGGAATAAGCGGTTTCGCAGCCGACGGCCTGTTGCGACGGAAAGGGGGTCGAGGGGCCTGGGAATCCAGCGAGGCAGGTTCAAGCCAGGCAGCAGCTCGCTACGCGCCTCTTCACAGGGGAGAAGGCGAACATCATGACGACGAGGAATGGGATATCGAGAAAGCTGTCGAGAAGAGACTCGTGCAGGTCATGTTCACGGTGCCTAAGGAGCCCTTGAGGGTAGTCAATGCCGAGCCGGACTTTGAAAGCGAGCGGGACGTGGTAATGTTTGATGCAGAAGAAGCCCGAAAGGAGAACAAACCATGGGTTTCTGAACAGCAACAGCACAATTTATCACTGCCAGTGGAGCGCCCTATACCTACTCCTAGCCCCTTGAGCGAAGAAGACAGAGAAGAAACTTCGGGCTCGAAAGAGGCGCTAAGGCGGGAGTTAGACGAAGAATGGGAACGCATCGAAGCAAGCGATGCCCGCACACCATCACCACGAACATCGCCGCGGACGCCAGGGAACGAATTCTCGCGCCGTCCGCCGCTGCTACATTACCAACAACTCACAACAACATCACCACCACGCATAGAAACCGAGCTCGCACCCTCTACGCTAGAAGAGCAGATGAACCGCCTCGGCATAGAACTGCAGCAAGTGAGGAGTACGGCGGTGACGCCTGTATCCATGATATCGCACCATAGTGATGCGGACGTTTTGTCAGCTGAAGCGGTGCGGTTTGAGAGGCCTTCGGCGGGAAGTACGCAAATCACGCCTATCTTGGGGACGCCGGGAGTTGGGCGCAGCAGGTCTTCTAGCAATGCCAATCCCAATACAAATGCAAACGCAAGTACTGCGAAGAATACTGCGAAGAATGCTCCCTCCAAGAGTCCTTTCATACCCAGACCTGAGCCCATCTCATTCTCTTCATCTGCTAAGAATCCTTCCGCCAATACTACTACCAATACCAAACATACAGATCCTATCAAGAGTACCACCACCGCCCCCGCTCTACCGAATCCCATTACCACTCCTACCGCCACGAAATCACGGCCCTCCTCACCACATAAACTACAAGACTTCAGGAGCGAGTCCAATCTCCGCGCCTCGGTCGCAGGGGGTAATTCTTCCAATAGTAACGCACCCTCCACGCCTCGCCGCGTCCGCGCCATGGTGCAGGAATTCGAAAGCAAGAGTTCGCGCGAGACGAGTCCGGCCGGTTCATCTATGTCTACGCTATCTACCAAAGGAGGTGCTCCGCTGAGAGGGTCCCCTTCGCCTTCGCCTACTCGTGTCAGGGGGAGGGATATACCTGTGAGAGGGAAGGGGAATGCAGGGGGATCGCCTACGAGGGGGGCGAGGTGAAGTCAAAGCTTTTTAGTGATAGGAAGGGAAGGGGGAGGAGGGGGGGGAAGAGCAAGCGAGCGAGTGCGTTTGGAGTTTATAAATAGGTGATGATATCTGGACACTCGCTTCTTACAGAACAACAGAGTAAAGCAGAGTACTGCTCAGCTCAGCACAACACTTTGGAAGACAAGGACTAGGCGTTTTACGGCGGATGGCGGACGGGGGGAATATCCAGGATCATTTTATTTTTTGATTGTTTGTAAATCCCTTCTTCAGTGTATTGTACTTGGACTTGCTTCCTTCTTGAAAAGAGGGACTTACATATTTGTAGATGCCATGAGCATTACTTACAGTTGACTGGCTGGTGTCTACGAGATGACTGAGCGTATATGGCGAGGGAGAGAGGGAAGGTTATGGTATGGTACCATAGCTATCTAGTTAGTTAGCTAAGATGAGCTATGTGTAGAGAATCGAAACGAGTAGTATCGAAGACTCCTACGTGTCATATCGTAACGTGCCGTTGTGAGATAACATTTCTACGTGCTATGTTAGTTCCAGCTGAATTAGAGGAGGTGAGCTCAAGTCACCAGTAATGAACAAGTCAACCAAGTCTTATCTCACTTTCTTTAAGTGATGGTTTTATTCATTCAACTATTGCAGTAAACCTTGATTATATAGGTATTTAAGATCACAACCGCATCCTCTACACTGGCTTATACTACGTTCCTAAAAGAACCGAGAAAGGAGGCAATTCACAATATTCTCCTCATCCATACATACCTGGGAAATAAGGGACTCGATTCCTATTTCGTTAAATGTGGCTGCACGGCACATGTAATATTCTCTGCTGACACTACATATACGGTACACTTACGTACACCTAAGTAAACGCTATCACCAGATCTACCTAATGTACTCCAGACAACTTATGTCCAGAGTCTCCCGCAATAGCCGAGATCTCCAGTTTCTTCGACAGAAAGATACCAGCATGTGATATACGCTCATGAATGGTAGGTACTTGCTTCACAAAAGAAGACCCCTCCTGCAACCCCTTATCTGTCCCTCGCGTTACCAAAACCAGGTACAGATGCATACGATGTGCCTCCTATATAAGTAGTGTGCACACCAAGACGCACCAACCTGCATGGAATCGGCACTAAGATCCGACAGAGCGAGATGCGACGAACTCTGCCACGAACTACGACTTAGCGTGTACAACGTGCAGAACAGAACTAGCAAGTGAACGGCGATCGTTATTTCGGGCGCGACACTAGACCGTTTTGCGCCGCGCTGCGCCGCGTATGAACTCCACGTACATGTACAGTAGCGCCATGGACTAATGTAGGTATTGAGTGTTTAGTGCATGTATATGTACATCTTTGGATGAAGTGTTGTATGAGGTGGAGGGAGATTTGAATGTTAGTGTAAGTGTTGAGCGAAGTTATGTGTGTGTGTGTGTGTGAAAGAGAGAGAGAGAGATTTCAATGTATTAACAGAAATGAGTATTAAATAAACTACCTAGTTATAACTATCCATTCATTTATAAATAATAATTATTTATGAAATTAAACCAAAAGATTAGTTGAAATCCAATGGCAGCCGTTCATGAAGCTACCCCGCCTGTCTCTCGAGTGTGAGAATTATGCCTTGGCCTCATCAACTAAAGTTACGGTCTATAAGCGCCATTTCATTATATCGTTATCTCTGTTAACTGCAGTTGAACTTACTCTGATGGATCAAGGAATATGGGAAGATAGCTTATTCCGGATGGAAGAGGAGAGTCACAACGCGGAGTTCAACAGCGAACTTTTGCTATTCCTTGGGCGCCGCCTCGAGGAGGCTGGATCGCACTCGCTTTTCTCCTTCTCCGACTGGTGGCTCATCTCCGAGGAGGAGCGTCGCCGCTGTGAGCTCGTTGAAGAGGAGATCCTGGTTAATGAGGCAAGTAGACCTGCGAATACCGGCATGCGAGGCTGATAATGATGGCGCCGCGGTTGGTGGTGTAGTGGGATGACTTCCGCGAGTTCGACGACTGGCGTCGTACTTTCGACGATGACTTCGCTCTAGAGCTCTTCGAGAGCTTACCAACCAGCGTGCTACCGACTCAGCTTGCCTCACTCCAGTGTTGTACCTCCTGTGCTCCAATTGTGGCTGCTGATTGCAACATTCATCTTTCCAAAGTTAGTGACACTGGACAAAATTGCCGAGTCTGTGCTCTGCTCCTCCGTGCAGTTCAACGCCGCTGCAATGATGATGAACTAGATGTTCATATCGTTCGGGAAGGGTTGGCGTTGAAGATTGGACGCAAGGGGTCTAGAATTCTCAGGTTGTGTCCTGACTTAGAATCTCCCGCTGACCTTGGTGAAGACATGGGGATCAGCTTTCCAGTCCTACCCGAAGCTGAAAGTCCCACGCGTTTTACGCTGCTTGGTGCATGGCTTCGTTGGTGCGACAAGTTCCATTATTGCATGAATGATGCGGCCAAATCCGAGACAGCATTGCCGACTCGACTCCTCTACGTTGGCGATCCCGATCCCAACATCCTACGTCTCTACTGTCCCAAGGAAAATCAGAGATTGAAATATGTCGCGTTGTCCCATTGCTGGGGTGAACACCCTCCTACCAAGGACAGCCCTCGATTCTGCACAACCGATGATAACATTGAAACACGACTCAAACGGTTTGGTTTCTCTGAGCTGCCAAAGACATTCCAGGACGCGGTTCGAGTAACCCGGGAGCTAGGCATTCCATTCATCTGGATCGACTCGCTGTGCATAATCCAGTGAATGAGAATGATTGGGGGCGCGAGGCCAAGCGTATGGAAGACGTCTTCGCCTCAGCCTACTGCACAATCGCTGCAACTTCAGCTGCCAACTCGGAAGCGGGGTTCCTTAAGCGGAGTGTGAGCACTGAATGCGTCCTCGTCCAAGATGCCTCGGGCGGACGGTTCTACATCTGCGCCGATACGGACGATTCCAACAACCACGTTGATATAGATGATTTCAACGACCACGTGGAGAAGGCTCCGCTCAACACGAGAGCGTGGGTAATGCAAGAAAGGATTTTGTCGCGACGAACGATCTATTTCAGCGACAAGCAGATGTACTGGGAATGTAGCAAGGGGATATACTGCGAAACCCTCACCAAACTAAACAGGTACGAGCTTAACAATATGTGATACCTTACTATCTTCTTAACTCGGGTATTTCGCTTCATAGCTCTTTGCGAAAGACATACTTCACGCTCGATTCAAACTTCCCCGACCGACTCCTTAAATCGGGAGATAGACGTACTACGGAATTCCTTCGCTTTTTTTCCGAAGAGTATTCGAAGCGTGACCTGACAAAGGAGACGGACAGATGTTTTGCAGCATCCGGGTTAGAAGCCCGTATTGCAGGCGCCATGTGGTGTCAAAGCAGATACGACATCTTCGGGATGTATCTCCATAGGAATCTCCTCTGGCAGAGGTCTGCGGGGGAGAAGACGCCGCGGATTGGGTACGAGCCCGGGCTCGTGCCATCTTGGTCATGGATGGCATACGGGGGAAGTATTCGGTTCATGGAAATTCCTTTTGGTGACGTAGACTGGGCTCAAAATCTCCGATTCATTGAGGAGGAGGAGGGGAAGAAGAATCATGTGTTGCTTACCGACGTGGGAGTTTTCTGGAACTGTAGCTTGGAACAACGGGATGCAAGTTATGCCGTCCTGGACTCAAGTAAAGTCGAAAGAGGGCAGATTTGGTACGACATCGAGGTGAGTATAGACCCTCATACTGAGCGGTGTATTGTCGTTGGGAGGAACTCTCCTGGAGGCGAGCATGGGTCAAGCAATAAGTACTACATCTTAGTTGTCAGACGGACTAGTGTGGATGATGAGTATACGAGGGTTGGGGTTGGATGGGTTGACAGTGATTACGTGGTGAGAGAGAGGCGCAACGTGCGAGTTGTGTGAACGACTTCATACTTGTAAATCTGGCAGATTGAGCCAGGGATAGATTCAATGTCAAATCATGAGATACGATCTACTTACACATACTTACGTTCCGTCTACTTGCATTTTGGGTACTTGGTCAAAGTCGGGCTTTGTCTTAGCATGTTGGTTGACTATATCGAGTAAAGCTCATTGCTAAGATTGCTACTTCTGTTCCTGGATTCGATCTACTTAAACTCTGATCTAAGTAAACCCCTCGCCTCCATACTAAGCGCAGTCCAGTTTTCGATCGACAGGTGCTAGTACCAGTATTCCCGGAACGATCCCTATCCGCACCAATAATGTTCCTCTTTAACCATGTGGATTGATCCGATGGGGAAACTCGTTTACCATAGGATTTGTTTATATTTATTTTTTCAGCTCGCGCGCTAATACGCGTTTGATCACATCTCATCACACAGGTAGAGCAATGTAACAGATCGGTATATATTCCATTGGGTGAAATGGGTTCAAAGCTAGAGAGATAGAAATCCAAGATTGCAATTAAGCTTTCAAAAGTTTTACATTACTTGGATCCCAGGCTGAGATCTGAGATATATCTGTATACATGTATGTAATAAGAACAAAATATCGCGTAAACAGACGGCTAACGCGCTTCCGCTTTCAGTCATGATGTATGTGGCAAAACACTTATAACACCGTCGTTTCACTTTATCGTCGTTAATTAAGCTCCTTTATATACTGTACTGTAGTTCGCCTTTCTTGCCTTCGAGCATCGTCATAACTGTCCGTGTAAGTACGTACATATACAAGCTTCGCAACCGGATCAAACTCTTGTCGTGTTTTATTCCATCGCGGATGGAGTAGTTTCGCTCACCGATTCACTACGCAGTAAGCACTCTTCATCGATATTGCGTAATCAAGATAAGATGAGATCATGAAGGCTTATGCCTATGTTTACGACTATTACGGTGATACTGTTGCTGGCCTTTTAAGGTACATGATTAGGTGACCTAAACCACATCTCATGTTGGGATTAGAGATAAGTGCAAGAATCAAAGATTGCTGGCATGACTATCGCATTGGGAACCGCAATATGGCAATGTCGAAGGTATCGTTATGTTGCTCTTTGGCATTGTCATGTTGCCTGAAGCTAAGCGACGTTACTTGTAGCCCGCTATGTTGCACTCGGGGCTCATTGTTGCCTGGACAGCTCATCAAATCTCATTGGAAGGTGGTAACCTTATTCCAAGACAAGGCGAGAGGCGTGCATTAAAGTGAAACCTTCTTGAGCATGGCCGGCTTCTTCAGGGATTTATAGGTATTCTGTGTGGTCCAAGTCAATCTAGAGCGGGCTCTCTTAATTTGGGTATGCCCGGATTTGCTGCAAGATATGCGAAGCATCTCGGGCCGACCCAGAGTTTAATATGAATCGAATCGCGTCGCACAAACATGATGCAGCGTTGAGCAGAAATCTGATTATCGGTAGTGAAGCGACAGTCTTCGCGTTTCATTTGGATACGTGAATCTATTCAGCATGGTGTCAGGCGTTCAATCGATAGGTAGCTAATCGTTCTGGAATGTTTGATAATCGGGAGACGGCAAGCTTGTTTTATAGTGGAATGCCACATCAGACTGAGATGGAGTGCCAAGACAAACTCGAAACAAGAAGTCGGGCGGAATATCAAGATTTAATTATATTCCTTGCCTTGTCAACACGTGACTGCACTCTTGTGTGGCTCATAGTTGGCGTTGGCTAATGTTGAAATTCCGAGACAGTTGTCTTGGTTGGTACAGGGTGTCTCTTGTATTGAAGAAATACCCAGTATGGTGTGCTGATGATGCAATGACAGCAGGGTATCATGCCAAGGTTCGGCTATCTATGGCTGGGCAAGCCATCTTGCAAGGCCCCTTGTCGACGCCAGCAACAAAGTCTAGAAGAGGAAAGTCGTGCTTCTGGCTAGCTGGCCAATACCATTGGGAAGGCTGGTCTTATACCTACCATTATATGCCGGGATGGATAGCGCTACGAATAGACACGAACTCGTATACTTCCCTTCTACTATTACCCAGTTGATCATAGCATGGCGTTGATAAGACACCGCTACTGTGATAAGCTGGTGAATTGTGCCTCATCGTGAGGTGGTCGGTCGTGATGGGCTTTTCCCCGCCTTCTGCCAAACCCCCGGGTTACCTCACCTACATACTCTACCCCAATCCGCATCTGCAGCGTAAGCGCTGTACGCTTGACATGTGCCAATCGTATCTGCTAGTTGCGTCGGACGATGTTCGAAGGAGGCTGGGAGCCAAACGTGGGGCCGAGTTCGTGTTCAAAGCGGCAAGCGGAGTATGCTCACCCACCAGGTGGTATCGTGACTACCATATCGTCAATCCGCCATCGTAAACGTAGTAGCGGATCTCGTCCATCTGGAGGAGAGTGATGTGCAATTGGACGATTAGCTTGTGATGCCCAGGCGATATACTCTCGAGCCCGGCCGGTCAATGCAGATCGTGCGTCTGGAAAGTAAATTGCTTGCGACGTTCCTTCATCACGTTGTGCTTGTGTTGGTAGCGTTTCGAGGCCGTGTGTGATGTGCGGATGGGAACACTATATAGCTTAATAGCCGGTGCCACGGGGCGCTGGTAGACGCGTAAGCGGCCATCGTCGACGGTGGGTGATACAGTACATAAGAGGCCCGGCAGGTTGCCAAACCCCGTCGGCTTACCGGGGATTGGCTTGGTGCCGACGTGACACGAGACAGAGAGAGCACATGGAGATGGAGTAGTGGCCTGCCTGCCTGCCTATGAGCAGTGATAACCACCAGCACCACCATCAGAGTCAGGGCGAGCAGGCATGGACGACGCCTCGGAACTGCATGTCTCACGCGAGAACAATAAATCCATATAATATCCGACGCTCGTGCCTCGACAAAGAACTGTATATGTCGAATGAATGGCCATCGTGTTTGACCATGTTTGAGAAGGGTAGCCAGGGTAGGCAGAAATGCCAGGCATTGGGTGACTAAGGAACAGCTCACTCGCTGACCTAAGAAAGCTTGATTGAGCACCCTAGCTCACACTCTTAACGTGTATAACTACTCCGTACTCTACCATCAAATACCTACCTTACCGCCCCGGGGGGGGTATTCGTAAGGGTTACTGCAAGGGTTACGGCATTTCGAAAGGCTTACAGCTGAAGACACTTGCAGGGCATTTACCAAATGGTAACCATGTCGAAATGGAAACCATTACGGCGAATTTATTCTATTACCGTATAATAATTGTATATAAAAATAAAACATTACCCATTCGTAATATTTACCATTAGCAGACATACTTACCGTAATTATGTCCAGCCCTTTAAAATAGCCCATATTACCCCTACAACCCCTACAGTCCTTTGCAGTACAGACCTAGCCATACAGACCTAGCCATATAGACCTAGCCATACAGACCTAGCTACTTATTCAACCAATCCAATCTATCGCCAGTTTCAAGGATAATCGTTGTAAAGATCAATCCAATCCAATCCAATCTACTCCCACCACCACCACCACCACCCTAAAGGCTAGGAAACCTATCGCAATCGCTTCGCAGTTCAGGACTTTAACGGAAGATTTCTCAACCTTCGTTAAATAACGTACTATAAAGTAAACTACGGTCATACTCTACTATAGTAATTATTTCTAAATTTGGACATAGTATTACGCTTTGACATGGTTTCCAAATTGAAAGGAATATAGAAATTCGAAAGGTACACTGAATTAGTATGGAATTCGTATACAAAAGCCTTGTAGCCATAATAACCAATTGGCAACAGCGTATTCCACCTGTCACACTTGCAGAAAGGCATACTGACCCAGTAACCCTTGCAGTAACCCTTACGTATACCCCCCCCCGGCCGGCTAGGTAGGTATCCATGCTGGTATTTGGGGATTATATACTTACATAGTATGTAAGTAGCACTTTCAAGACCAGCTTGTTGATCACATATATGGATGGCAGTACAATAACCACCAGGTGATTCTGTAGAAGATATCAATTGTACAATGTACAAAACATAATACTTACCTAGTATCCACCTCTTGGAAGCTCCATCCTGGTCACTGATAGACTTAATGCGAGACTTAATGTAGAATTCAAGCCTCGAGGCCTTAAGTAAGAAGCTAACTTTAACGCCACCCCGGGTAAGCGAGTTGCCGGCTCGTCTGTTGAAACAGTTGGGAGGACAATACATAGCAGCGGTCGACTGATGACGACATTCTGCCCACTTGGCGCGCAATATTTTTTTTCTGTCCGTCGCGTGTTGCTCTTTAAGTAGGTAAACAACGTTTGACCTGTGTGGTTTTCAAGATATCCTGATCGTACCATTATAATTGACAAGATCTAGAAACGCACTTTATATCAGCGCCCGCTCTAGCAGGTACCGTAGATGGTTCTATCACTTCTCTTATCCAGGTGGCCACAACCGACTTAAACCATAAATATCCTTGGGGACTTATGAGGGCTTGTATAAAAGGGATAATGAGGTTATCGCGAGTTGCGAAATTACACTACAACTTTGACCTTAAATTAATATTATCCTAGTAGATTCATTCTACAGTGAGCCTGCTACAGTACCTAGGTAGGTATCTAGGGGTGTATTTAGGGTATGTGCATGTACTGTACAACTTACCTAGCGTTTACTAGGTGGCTGAACTAGGTAGGTCCTCCATGCGCTATGCGGCAAGCTAGCTCAGCTAGACACCTAAGCTTATAGTGAACATGTACACTAAATGCATCTCTGTTCGTTCAAGACAAGCTCTCTTTGTTTCCTTTGTCCACCCCTTATCGGGCCCTTTCGTTTCCGCGACATCCGTTCTCATTTTCATTTAGTCTAGACATTCGTTTGCTTTCGTCTTCTACTTACTTATGTAGGACTCTCTTCGCCTTCGTAACTTTGGTAGTAGTGGGCACTTTGTAAAGCTACAGTTATGGTAGTCTGACTGTGTAGATGCTGGTCGCTTGCTTAGTATTTCATCCACATTCGTGAGGCATTCGTCGTAGTAGGTAGGTATTTGTGTACAGACCTCGTACCAAGGCCAAATAAAGATCAATCAATCATCTGGCATTAAAAGATACAGTACGGGCATAACTCGTGTTCCTTTGTCGAGTCCACCTCTATCCACCCTTTCAACCAACCCGTCAGCCAGTCGCTGTGCTTGGCACATGGGAGCTGCAGCTGGGCCACACACACACAATACCTGATTACAGTATGTACAATTCAGGCTGCCCTCTTATCTATGAATACTTATGTAGGTATGTGTAAAACGCCGGGGATCATACAGTATCATACAGTACAGCGCGTGATGGAACAAAGATCTACCCTGTGGCCTTTCTATTTCGATCTACAGATGTGCTGTTGTCAGCCCAGCTACCTACCTACCTAGTACTTACATACAGCGCTAGAGGTACAAGTACTTTAAAGCGTCCCTAGCGAGATTAGGTAGGTATCTACTAGACAGGCGAGAACAAGAACTTGCTGAGCGCTTTAGTGTAGTGTACGCTAGGCCAGACCAGAGCCAGAGCTATGTGGGCACTGTATTCAGAACCTGTTGTAGGTACGGCACCTGTAGCTTGCTGTACTATGTACTGTAGATAGGTACATACATATGTACATAGGCAGCTATCCACTCTTCCCGTATCCATGATCCATCCTCTTTTTCTTCCCTGTCGTGTTGTCGTCCCGGCCACCCCCCCATTCCCACTCCCCTGCAAACAACCTTGGAACGTCCATCCATCCACCCTGTCCTATCCTGTCCTGTCCAGTCCAGTCCTGTCCACTCAATCCCATCCTATCCTAATCCTCGCTCGAATCCTCGTCCACCTCCTCCTCACCCAGGCCAAGGCCAAGGCCAATTCAACCCACCATTCGTGTCCGCCCATTTTCTTTCTTCTCCTCCCTCAGCCATCCGATTGCTCTCTATCCCAATAATCTCCTGAGAGGGATCGAGAAACCCGGACCACAGCTGTCTGCTGTCCCGCGAAGCCATCCAACTCCCCACGTCTATCCGATCTCGAGCTCCTCAACACACAAGTCGGGACCCTCACTTGCCCGTCTCGACATCTCGGGACATCCCTAACCACCTGGCCGACTGCCAGAGCCCCGGGGCCTTTGATTAGGTTCGGTCTTGACCATGCGAAGCTACGACCATTGTTCTCTCGGTAGTTTGTGACTAGGATTTGGGAATCGTCTACAATCGGTTGGCTCGCTACGCAATACTGCCCACTGAGCCATTACTTTGGAAGATAGGAACAAGAGTAAGTGGTTACAGCCATCTTCGGGTCAGCCTGGGACCTCTTCCCATCTATCGCCAAGTCAACCAACCCCATGGAATCGTTGCTCTGCGCAGTATATCCATCGTCAACTCTACAAATCATTCACTAACCTGATCTCCCCCGTTTCTAGGTACCTTGAGTGGCTGTCTTGTTGGACCCCCTAACATGGCTCGATTGCGATGTAGCGTGCCTTTCTTGGCTGCTATAGCCTCTATAACCTTGATAACTGCTCCTGCTCTTGTACAATCCCTTGACATGGAATATTGTGCAAGCATGAATACTGCCGAAACTCCAACCAGTAGGTTCTCTGTGATACACATCATCCCAGTTGTGCTGGGCTGACAGTTTTGAAGATAGCAGTATATGGCAATCCAACGGGCTATGCCACGACTTCTGCGTTGATCACGACGGCACCGCATATGCCTTTGCCATTGTTCAATCGCACAGTTGCTGGTGCAGTGACTATATACCTGCCGAGTCAGAGCAAGTAGACACCGGCAAATGCAGCGATACCTGTCCCGGTTGGAAGCCAGACACTTGCGGCGCCCAAGGTCTATACGGATATATAGCACTAGGTTTGACCCCGTCGGGTACAGCAGATGCGAGCACATCAACATCTACTACAGTAAGTATTCTAATATCTGAACGAAAACCTGACAACCACCACAGATAGCACAGAGATTTCTGGGTTCTTTCCTATCTTTCTTTTTCTATAGCGTCTAGCGGTTTCCTATGTAAACTTGGGATGATGGAAGATATTTCATTTTAACTGTATATGGGTTCAGGAGCAAACTACTACTCCGACCGTGGAAACATCGAGTACTGTTACCTCAACAGACGACTCGACCACAAGTACCACTGCAACTAAGGCCTCTACAACTATTAGAATACCTGTATGCTCCGCTGGACCAGTTCAATATGTTTCCTGTTGTTCTTTCTCTTTTCCTTCTCTTTCTTATCTAGTACAGCTGCATGGTTTGAGACGGGGTTATTAATTCTCCATGGCAGGAAAGCACCCCTTCAAAGACAACCGACCAAACTACGTCCACACCTACTACGTCCGTCAAGACCGTAACGGCTGGTGGGACGATTAGTTACGAGACAGTGACGGTGCTGCCAACGGCAAATCCAGATCCTGGAACCGGGTCGGGCCCCAGTGCTGACCACAACGGGACTACGACGTCGAGTAAAGGGCTTAGTAGCGGTGCTGCTGCAGGTATCGCCATTGGAGTCTTGGCTCTCGTTGCTATCATCGGTGGCATTGCCGTCTTCTTCTGGCTCCAACGCAAGAAGCGCCGACAGGAGGAAGAGCTACATTCCAGACCTCGTAGCCATCTGAGCGGCTCACAGGGTATGATGAGCACACCAACGACCACCATGGCGTCTATATGGGATGGAGAAAACACGTCGACAGGCCGGAGAAACAGTCGTCTAATGCCTCATGATCCTCGTATGGACCCGTTTGCCACCAACATTTACACGCGATTCGAGAACAAGAGTCGAGAAAGTATCAATACCCTGCAAGATAATCAAGACTATTCGAGGAAGGTGCTCCGAACAACGAATCCCGATCCTCCAGATCAGTAAAGAATGTTGATGGACACGAGCATTTTTTTTCGGGGTGGTGACAGTTGATGGGCACGAGATTTAGCCGTTTTCTTCGTCATTGGGTCATTGCATTGCATCTTTCTTTACGAGATACCAGGACGGCGTTTCAGGACATTGACATTTGAGAGCGAAGTCGACACCTCAATCGACAATCAGTTAGCATGGCAGTTCGACCTAGCTGGCCTTAATGTGGGCGCACTGCGATAATCAGGTGCATTCACTCGCTCGCATTTCTAGGATTCTTTGATGAACGCATCTGAACTGTCACGGCGATTATTAGATCGACATGTACGGAGAAAAGGGAAATGTCTGGAAGATTTTTAGAGATTACGTTTCGAACACAGTTTCTTGGGGGGTTTGACGGTTGGTACATAGATAATGGAGCAGCAGGTGGGCCTTGCCATGACGGTAAAACTACGAGAGATTACGACGGTTTGAATTCTGTTCGTGGAGACAAGAACCTCATCTGTTCCTCCACCACAAGATGAAAATATGAAAGTAGATTAGAGTCACTCGTACAGTGGCAAAGGAGCTTAGCTCTCTGCTCATAAAATGTATATATATTATGACTCAGGCTGAGTTCTTGTTCAAGTTATGATCATGTGAAGCGTAAAATGCTATATACACACCACATTGTTAAAGGATCTTTCGAAATCATTTCATAATAAGTCCAGCTATTCAAATCAAGGGGTTTGCGTTCCTTCGTTCCTTTATTCCTTTATCTCGTATTTACCTGTGCAACGTGGCGCAGTGCAGTAGTAATTACCGTGCTGTGCTGTACCATGCTATTGAGCTATGCTGCATCAAACGTTTTTACATAGGTAGGTATGAACCAGCAGCAAAACAGTCTGAGCGCACAGCATCATACCACTTGTCTATTCCCTACCGAGCCCTGTCTGTATGCCGGTTCCCGTCATCTGAATCCAGGTCTATGACTTTCGCAAACACGTGATTGGAAAACTTATCGTGCCTATACTCTGAATCCTAGATTCAAGTTGGACGTTTGTTTCTAACTGGTGTAAGAGAAATGCTGCATTTAAATAAGACACTTGATAAGTGTAGTTACTTCCTTACTTCCTTATTCCCTCACTCCTTCCTACCTAACTATCCTGTGTTCTTATATTATGTGCTTATCCTGTATTTTGCCCTGTTTTTTTGTCGGTACTGGTGGATCAGGCCGCGTATGCATGCGTATGTGTACATATGTGTATGTGTACATACCTAGAGTATATATGCAGTCCGGGATCTCCGGCATGGTTCGGCTGCCGTCCGCCCGCCCGTCTGTTTATTTCCGGTTACGTGCAGTGCAGTGCAGGTTCCTTGTTACTTGACATACTTCTATGTTACATAGGTAGGTGTACCGTCTTGTGAATGTTCGGGGTTGTTGGGTTCAGAGGAAAGTTAACGACATAGTGTTATGGACATGCTTGTGTGATGGATATATTGCCGTTCGTTCTAATATTAATGTGTAGGACTACTCTAGTTTTATTGTATCAGGTGATCTCCTGTCATGTTATGTTATTTCGGTACTGATGCTACTTGTGTACAAACATTGTAAATAGATAGGTGTATAGGTGTGTAGATGCACCGAGGAGAATTTTATAAGGTTGACTGCGTGGTTCTCGCAGGGATCACCACCTATCTTATATAAGCTTAATACGACTTCATACCTTATTATTTTAGTCGTTCGATCTTTAGATCTGTGTAAATCCATCTTGTTAGAGGTTCCATGTCTGTATGGCACCTCGTGTAGCATAGTGTTGGTAATCACAGATGCTACTACTAGCTTATACGACCTGTTCTCGTTGCGATTGCCAGTTAGCTAGGACACTATTACTTATTTACTATGTATTCTTTGAATTTCACCCATGTATAGTGTTCGCTCCCCCTTGTCACTGCTTACTTGGTAACTTGAAACTAGAGCTACGAACACGAAGAATTTAGTTCGCAGTGTCTGCCTAATGATTTGTAGATGGTGTAGAAGATAGCCGGCGACTGAGCGCTGGAAATATAAAGGGGTGAGATGAGATACTCAGGTATATATGTATTGCTACCTATTAGGCAGAGCGAGCTAGTGTAAAATATGCAAGATGTTTAAGATGCATAGAATTTCGCGTTCTCGTAGAAGTGAGGAGTTGTATGAGACAAACATCCGGCATTGAGAAGAACATAGTCTAAGCTGATGCTTGAAATAACCACAGCATTAACAGTCATTCATATTTCGATCCAGATTTGTACCAAACAGCTCTCAGTTTCGGTCCAATCGCTGAAAAAGAAAGTTCGAGTGAGAACGTTGACTGACACTCCAGCGTCGACAGCAATCGACCGGCAGGTTATGAAGCTCGCACTTGGGCTTGCCAAGAAATGTACAACACTGGCAATCTCTTCGGGCATGGCAACACATCCCAAAAGCATGGACTTATTAAGAATCTCGCCACCCCCAGGCTGCTTCTGGATCCCTCGTTGTAACATAGGCGTATTGGTAAAACCCAAACATACTTCGTTTATTCGAAGGCCACTTGCGCAGTTTTCAAGAGCTGGGATTTGCTGTAGCTTCAAGATACGATTATTTCAGTGTGGAATGAGAATATAGAGACGTACCGTCACATTTGATAATCCCCCGTGCAGCAAACTTGCTTGCTACATAGGTCGTTGACTGTACCGTGCCAGAGAGGGCGGATAGGGAGGTGATATTGATGATGGCCCCTGGTCCAACTTCGCGTCGCCCAGAGCGTCCTTCCGCAAACTGTGCCTCTTGGTCTTTCATGGCGCTGATATCTTTCTGTAAGCAATGTAAGATACCTTTCAAATTGATCTCTTGTAAATAATTATAGTCCGGCTCGTTCACAGTCAATATGTCGGCCGCTACCCTCTGAGGAACCTGAGATACCCCAATCAGCAATGCACTCATATAAACAAGTTAGCAAGTCTTGCTTACACCAGCACTGTTGACAGCGCAGTCCAGTCGGCCAAAGATTTCCTTGACCTCCTAATCACGCCCCTCACCGATTTACGATCTCAGACATTTACATGAAGAGCAACTGTCTCGCAATCTTTTGCTGTTGCAATGTCTTTGCTTCGCTCAGACGCGGTTAACGCAGCGTCCAGATTCAAGTCAGCAAACACAGCTACACGAACCCCTCTCTCTGCAAAGGCCAGAGCTGATTCACAGCCAATACCACTCCCTAGAAAGTCATGTTAGCTACCACCGAATGATCAGGCAGGCGGATATCATGGAATACCAGCTCCAATAGCAACTGCTATTCCATTCACATCCACTACGCTTGTTGGCACGCGGGTAGAGGGAAATATACTTTGAGTGAAATCTATAAATAGACATGAAAAAGAAAGCTGTTGCAATCCGAAGCTAAACAGGTTATTAAGGGTTGAGATAACTATAAGGATACTATATATCGAAGCACCAAGCTGAGACCCCTCTTTTCAAGAGTAGTACATGTAATCCCATGAATGATCTTGAAGATCAAGTTACAATACACCTTACGGCAGGACGCAGGGTTCCCTTTATGATATCCAGCGTGGGGATCGTCAAGTATCACCACCTTCCACTTCTAACAGCTCTTGTTAAGAGCAACTTGTCTTATTGTTGGGACGTCGTAATATGTGCACTTGTGCGAGAATATGCACGCGACATAACACAAACTTTGGGTAATATAGCTAAGGCCGGACATGCCCGAAATTAGACCTGCCCACAGCCGTCATCAGTAATAAAACCAATATCCCAGAGCTGTGCAATATAGTCTTAACTCAGGTTTCCTTAATCCACCCATGGACAAGAGAGCTCCACTGTTGAGGTATCTGATAACCTAACAACACCATCACATCCTTCTCTCCTAAAGGCTTGCACTTCCTACAGTAAGCCAGTTGCTTATTGCCAACAATAGTATCCTCGAATTCTGCAACGAACTTCAAAGTATCTTTGCACTTGTCGCAATTCCAAGCCATGTCTTCACGTACCTCGTCGAAAGGCCTGAAGAACGTGGCCTTGAGGATGTCGCTCAGAAAATCAGCAAGCTCAGGATCCGTAAGTAACTTCTTCCCAAAGAGTTCTTCCCGGAGAACAGTATAGCGTGTAAGCTTTACGTATAGAAGTAGTGTGGCTTTTAGTGCTTCAAGGCTGACCAAAGCAGAGGTGCTGTATAAGCAAAAACCCTGCCTCACGACCACCCCCCGTCACGACCAGGGCCCTAGGCACCCTAAAACGCGCTTTAACTCCCAACTACCTAATTAAACACTATTTAATAACGCAACCGTATTTAGGTTTTACGATAACTTTTTACCCTTATTCTGTTTAAAATTAACTCCTTTTTATTATTATATCTTTTAATTTTAAAAATTATTATATTATAGCTATTATTTATATAGTTTAATTTAAAACCTTAATTTAAGCAATAGTATATATTTAAAATATTAATAGATTATACCTATATTATTAGCTTTAAAGTATTCCTATTAAAAAATAGACTTATATTAACCTTTAAGCTTTATTAACCTATTACGAACGTTAATTAATAAATTAAGTAATAAAGCAGGTTAAATTAAGCTTTATACCTTTACTTTTTAAGTTTAAACTTATAGCTAAACGTATATTAATTGCTTTAAATAATAATAAAAGCTTTAAAAAAATAATATATATATTTTTTAACTTAAAATAATAAAGTTAAATTAATTAAATTATAATTTATTAATTATATATATATTAATAATATAATAATAATTAATATTAACCTTTTTTTTAATTATTTTAAAGCTTTAAAAATTATAAATATTCTTTTTAACTATTTTTATAATATTAATAAAATAGATATAAATTAAAGCATTAATAATAATTATTAAATAATTATTAATTTTATTTTATATTAAACTTTTAAAAAAGTTATTAAAAAAATAAATAAATTATTATTTTTAAAATTATTAATATTATTAATAATGCTTTATTATTATTAATAATTTAAAAGGGTATATAAATATAAAGTTAATAATTTCCGAATTAAAATTAAAGCTTATTTAAAAATTAATACTTTAAATATTTACTTAATAGATAAATTAATAATTTTATAATATTAAAATAATTATAAAACCTTTTTATACTTTATATTTAAAGCTATTATAATAATATATAATATATATTAATATATAATAGTTATAAATTATATATTAATAATAAATTTCTTTAAATTTACCTTTTAAATAAAATTTAACTTTTATTTTATAAACCTTATTATAATTATATATTATAGCTATTAAATATTAAAATCTTTAATTTATTAAAAAAAAAGTTAAAAAATAAATTATAAAAAATATTTATAAGTTATTTAAAAGTAAAGCCTTTAAAAAAAGATATATTAATAATATATAAAGCTATATATAAAAATATAATAAAGCTAAATATATTAAAAAAAGTATAAAAAATAATTAAAATATATTTAAAAAATTAATAAATATTATTATTTTTAAAATATATAATATTTAAAAAGAAAGGTATTATAAAGGTAATAGTATTAATATTTATAATTAAAGAATAATTTATTATATTTAATTTATTAAAAATAGCTTTAAAAATTATAATTAAAATACCCTTTAAAAGTTAATAATTATAGGTTAATATATAAAAATTAACTTAAACCTTCCCTTTATTTAATAATTTATTATAAAGGCTATTTTTTATAAAGGTTAATAAAGCCTTTAATAAAAAGGTTAAAATTATTACATTTTTATAAGTAAAGATTAAAGCGTTAAAAGTTAAACTTTAAAAAAATATTAAGGTTAAATAAAAAGCAATTAAAATAGGTCCTAATAATAACTTTATTTATATAATATATATATAAAAGGTAAAATATAAATTATATAATTATTTAATATATATTAACGAAGTTATTAATTAATACGTTTTAAAATATAAGGATATTAATATAAAAAAGGTTATTAAGGTTAAAAAATAATAGATTTAATTAAAAATACCAAAAAAAGCATCGTAAATAACGTATTCGTTAAGAAAATCGCTTTAGAAGTTGGGTAATTAATAGGCAGGGGGGGTGGTCGTGATAGGGGGTGGTTGTGAGGCAGGGTTTTTGCCTACTGTGCGCACCGCATCAAAGTATCGAGGCGTGAAGTTGTCGAGGCTGTCGATTGCGCTACTAAGGGAACAACTCCGAATGCAATGTTGCATTTCGGCTGCTTTTACAATCAAATATTCTGTCAAAACTTCGATCGCGCGTTTGCTAAGCCCGTCCAGATCAAAGGACTCGGCCAGAGCAAACAGGTCGATGCAAGCCTTCATCACGGTTCTTTCGTCTTCCATAGTATCCATAATACTTTTCGGCACTGAAATCTCAAGTCAAATAATGTTTTGTATCAAATGTTGCTGGCATGGACGTTGCCCTGTGTGGATGAAATAGATGACGCAGTTTACCTGCTCTAGAGACTGGCTGTCAACTTTGATCACGTAGTTGACCATGGTCGCTGTTTCAAAGAATGGGCACTGTGGCATTAGGATAGGACGATGGAGATTCCATGTCTCTCCCTCACACTTGACCTTCATATCTGAAAACATCCCCAACTCAAGAAGCTTTTGGGGGGAGTTAGACAGTCTCTTAGATGTTCTCCGGGAGTGTTATACTGACTGCTTATCACACTCAGATGCCATGATATGGCAATGTTGAGATGGACTGCTGCTGCTGCTGCTATATTAGTTGTTAGTACTTGGCGGCTGAGCAAGAAAAACAAACAAGTTGTTTACAGATAAGAGGCGCCAGTTAATATCCCTGCCTTGACTACCAGTAGCAAGATAACCGCACCTGCTGCTTCCAATGTTCTATCGCGTTGAAGCCAACCGTTGTTGCTTGAACTTCACAACATGAAAGATATCGCAGGCGAGATGAAATGTGTGCCTTCTCCATACCTTCCCATATCTGAAGGGCGGGAGCGAGAAAGATGAGAGAGAGGGAGAGACCAAAGGAAGGGGTCATGCGAGAGACGCGAGGTAACACCAAAAAAATGATCACCAGCGTGATTTTCTCCTTTTCTCCTGTTTTTATTTTTCGGCCGCGAAGTATTGACAATATCGTCGCAGCAGCAGCAACAACAACAGAAGCAACAGCAATAACTACAACAACAGCCACAACGACAATTACAACAATAACAACAGCAGCGAGGATTCTTTACACCTTCCGTGTTGTTTTTTCCCGCCTCCCACCCTTTCTCTTCTTTTCCTTCTCCTTCTCCTCCGGTTTGTTGGCATGACCTCGGCAGTTTCCGCGCCGACTAGGCCAGAAGCTTTTCACCTTGGAGACCTGCTGCGGTTATGAGTACAACCTGGCTTGAGAATTATTTCCTCCTGTGGATTTCAAGGGACAGCAGGGGCGCACCAGCCCTGACAGAGCTGTTAGACTCTTATAGCTATTAAACCCCAGCTCCAGACAAACTGACTTCAGGGGAGGCGGTGCAACATAAGTACCATACAATGGGACCTCCACGACAGGGGCCATTGGTCCCACGAATACGCGTGTCCAGTGTGTCCAGCGTGCCCGACATGTCCTACCTTCCCAACCTGACATAGCTGTCCACCTCGGCGAGCACCTCCTCTTGGGTATTCTACGGTACCGGAGTAGTGCTGGCTCTAATTAGCCCTCTGATAAGTGCATTTTCGTTTGCCAGGGTTCGACAAGTCCTGCGTCTCGCAACGTTGGCCGCTCTTCGCGAGGCTGGAAACGTCTTGACTCCAATGGAGAATGAGGGGAACGGGGGGAACAACAATAGGAGCGGCGGCAACGAGAGCGGTGGAAGTAATAGCTGCATTTCTCAAGTCAGTACGGAAAGACGGCAAGTAGGTCATGGCCAGGCTACGCCTAGATAGCTTTTTCGTTTGCTTCTTACCAACACCACAACCACTTCTGTACACTAAATGAGTACACACATCTCGCACATACTGCATTTAATGCATTTTTATTTGGAAGTGGGCCTCTTCTTTCCCTCTGTAAGCCCACCCACCACCTAAAGACCCAGCCCCTCAACAACCCACTTAATCGCGACGCGTTTCCCAGCTACCTTCTTTTTTCAACTATAAAGATCTCAATAACCGTACAACCTCTATTTCTATAACCTATACTATTTTAATCCTCTTTTTTTCAGCTATTTAGAATAGCTGGCCTTACCGTTTAATTACATACGATATATACGATTATTACAATCAAAGATAGTATAAGTATGTATAAGGCATTAATTGCTTATAATGTCGATAGATTGTATATATAGCGCCGTTTAAACTGTATACCTATTAAAAAAGAAGCTTCTAAAGCCTGGTAAGCCCTTTTAAAGGTTTAAAAAGAGTTATTAACTAATTAAACTATTATATAGGGTAATTTAAGCTATTTCCTATTGATTTATTAATTTAAGGAATATATTAAAGCTATTTTAAAGGTAGCCAATTATAATATTAAGCTTAAAAAATATTAATATATATAATATTATATTTGTTTTTTAACTTTTAAGGCCCTTTAAAGCTATATAATTAATTTTAAATATATAAATAGCGCCTTTATTATTAATATTAATACCTTTTTTAATTGCTTTAATTATTTTATAATTATTATAATCCTTTTTAAATGTATTTATAACGTTAATAAGTTTAAGGTTTTTATAAGCTTTAAAAATAATAATATAATAATTAAAAATGCTTTTAAAAAGATAATATATATAAAAGGATTATATAATTTAAAGTAGGTAACTATTATAATTAGGGGTTTAAGGTATAACTATATTAATGCTATAAATAAAGATTTTAAGCTAAAGAAGAAAGGAAGGAAAGATAAAACTAAAATATAAATATAAGTGGAAATATATATAGGCTAATAGCTATTATAAGTTATGTAACTTTATTAATATAGATTTTACGTATTTTTATAATATCCCTTTATAATATATATAATATTCCAATATAATATATA